TTTCAGTTCAATTGATTACACGCGGGATTGGCCATGCGCAACCAATTGTGTTGGAAGCTAAACCACGACAAAAGTGGAAACTGTAACCCCATTGTCCATTGTAGTTTGAATATACAATATCGTTTACGATGTGCCTCGTGTCGTACAATGGGGGACAAAAGTATTCGTACACCCTTTAAAGCGGAACAACTTTTTTAAAATTGGTCCAAATGACTTTTCTTCAGTGAAGTTAGGAACATTAGTTTACTAAAATTTTGTGTTTACTAAATATTGTACCTTCTTTTCCTTTCCCTTTTCTGTGTTATTGTTAATAAAGAGTGTTACTTGTTAATAAATAAATATATATTATATATATACCTTCTCTTTATACTGGTTCTGGTATTCGAAGCATGCATTCATACTGGATGTATCGAGGCAGCTAAAAAATTTCGATCTTCCTGAAATATAATTACGTTGCTTGTATCTTTCAAGCCGCTCGGTTCTTTCGAGGCGCCCGAAAGAAACGAGCCATCCGGAACGATTCGAGCCGACCGAAAACATTGGAGCTTCCCGAATTTTTCGAGCCGCCTGAAACTTTTCTATTCAAAATTTGTATATATCTATAAATATTTAAACTTCTCCGTTTCTGTATTAAATCTCACTGAAAAGCGGTTAGAAATATGTTTCACCGTTATTTTGCACTTCACAATTTGCGTTTAAAGATAGGCCTGTTTTAGGGCTATCCAAGGTGTCCTACCCCCTTAAGTGAACAGCGGGGCGTCCCATTCTCGATATTAAACCATGCGGCATAAAGTAGTACCATTCGCGTCCACTGGCAGAAGTAAAACCCACCCCCGTATCACGAGCTCTGGAGCGCCACAAGAATCATAACCGTCTAACCACCCTAAAAATCGGCCGGAATCTCCGGCAATCTTCGAGCGAAACCGATAAAACGCAAGCTCCTAGTTTACACCCGTTCGACCAATGAGAGCCCGGGTTGGTCCGGCGGACGGCGGCCGTCACGATCACCTGAAGTGTCCGACGTTCGTTTTCACCGAGTTATTTCCGACTCCCGGCTATCATGCCCGGCGAATAAGAGGCGCGGACGTCCCTGGTTTTGCACGCGGCGATTCTCCAAGCTCGTTTCGTGTGCCTGACGTTTCAGCTCGATTTAGGTGAAAGAGTAGTGGAATTGGAGGAGGGAAGAGGCTGATTTATCCTCCTACGCGTCTGCAGGAGCCGGCTAGAGGGTAAGAGGTGTGGAATGAGAAGCCCGAGGGTGCGAGTGGAGAACGTACTAGTGACCTGAATACGTCCTGCTCCGGGGCACAATCTATGAACATCTTTTCCTGGTAATGCTCTATGCGGATTCCTGTACCGCGGTCAGTATTCCGATCCCTAACCATCCCTGTCTTTCTCTATTTGAATATATTTAGGATTTCTGTCTATCACTGCAGGGAACACCGGAAGATTTTGAATTATTCGATTGGACGTGTCTACTCTGCGCGGTCTCGCGTATAGTGTTTCGCGTAATGTATGGATCTATGCGGAATGAGACGGAACACCACGTGGGTAATCTTCCCGAATGGAGTTTCGAGCGGAAGATTAAGCGTCCATTACGGGGAATATACAGGGTGTTTAAAAAAAGGTTCTAATACTTTAGGTGCTTATAGTACTCACCGAGTAAGACTACAGTGTTTTATTAATATAGGGCCTAAAATCAATCCTTCTGATAAAATATACAAAATTGTATTTTCACATTCGTTAAAAATGTTCCACGTGTTTTCCTTCCATTTCGACACAAAACTCACATCTGCGATCAGAGGTTTATATAATACTGTTGTAACGTTTGAAGCTGCGAAGCTGGCTACACGTTACAACTGAAGATGCTTTCGACTTCGAGGATTGATGTGTAGATCGTGCGGTCGTTTCGTTGCACACCGAGAGTATTTAAAAAAAGAGTCTGAGATGTGACATATTAGAGAACAGATGTAATATATTTGACGTGTACAAATACAGGGTGGGGAATTTAAAACAGGGCACCTGAATAACTCGCTTGTTTTTGGAGATAGAAGAAAATGCATCAGACTAAACTTATTTGGTATCGAGGGGCTCATAATCTAATGTTACTAATTTTTTGATAGGTGAAGGCATCAAGGAGATATGAAGAATGGACAACACTTCGAACACCGCTTGAAATATAATTTGTTTTACAAATAATTTTACGAATCATTCATTTTAAACCATATTTGGTGTAATACCTGTTTACGAAGAATTTGACGCTTTACCCAAATTCGAGAAAAAATATTAGGCATTCCATTTAGGAAATAGAAGATGACCCTCGTATCTCGATAAAAAAGCAAAGTAACAAAAAAACAGATTACAACATTGTGTGTCCCCCTGGAAACTATGCAACATTTGTTTGAAAAATTTTTTCGTATAACAAATAACTTACGAGTTATTTGAAATCGTCATGTTACGAGACTCACCCTGTATTTTTTTAGTGGAATGACACGTATCAAATAACTGTTTAATCATTCTCTAGTGATAGTATACTTTGCTTTGTATAATCAGTGATCAATATTGATGATTTATATAAATCAGTTGTTCAAACATTGGGACGAAACTGTTAGATACTATTTCCATTACAGGATTAAATGTTTACATACCTATCCCTGATTCTTAATTCCTATAGATGCTCCCTTTAATTAGTACTAATGGAGCACTATATATTAAACGATGTTAAGAATCACTAGAAACTGAACATCGATTCATTTCGTAGCTCCTGAGACAGATTACTGGGTGGGGAACGAGAGAAATAGAATTTCCTCTCTTGATGGAACCCCAGAGTGCTTCGGGCCCAGTCTCAGTCAGGATACCAGTTATTATTTGCTGTCGCCGGCGAAAGTCATGAGAAAGCAGAAAACGGAAAATTATTCAAGCGTGGCTCGACACAATGAGCAAAAAAGACGTCGTCGGGGTGGAAGCGGAGGATGGTCTGATAGAGACGAAGAAGGGTTCGCCAGGGGGTCCAATCTAACGATTTGTATTTACGTTGGCTGTGAGCAATACTTCCTCTTTGATTCTCCTCCATTTTTTTCGACTGGCTGTGAATACTTCAATGACATAAATTCTTCTGGAACAACCAAGATTGTTCGATCACTGCGTTGATCGTTCATTGAATATATTATTCCACAATAAAGTTTTCGTTGCGCCGATTGTTAATTGTAAAAACAATTTTTGTATTTTTTAACATGGCACCCTGTTAATGTATTCACCCTTATGAGTAAGTAATATGGTGTTTTTTTATATTTTGAAGTTAAATATTAGGAGTGACTACCAATTATTGAATTTTGTATTTTTTAAGAAAAAGATTAGATTACTTGATCCTGTCCAAATTTAGTGTACGATTTTGGAATAATTTTAGGAAATAAAGAAATAACAGCTTATAAAGACAAAAAGTTCTTTTCACTAACAAGTATCAACTCTGCAAAATTCATATAAATTCAACACATTAGTAGTTGTAGACAATTTTATGAGAAATATTGTGTCCAAATATGAAGGTTATCGGATGAATAGTTTCGGAGTTCTGCTGGGTGCCAGCTGACAAGATCCTTCCAGGCATAACGGTAAACAATGTTGCATAACTCCGCCATTTTGTAATTTGAAATAGTAACCAATATATGAAAATAAGAGAAAATGTTGTCTAGTATCGATTCAAAATATTTCAATATTTTACTCAATAGTTAAATATAAAAATTTCAAATTTACTTTTTTTTTGTAGCTTACAGCCTGGTGTAAGCCCGTAGCGAGCGGTGATCATTTTGATCGTAACATTTACATCTACATTTTAATTCTATTCTCGAGTAATTAAATTTCGGCGTGTACACGGCGATCCTGATACAGAAAGGCTCCACGTATGAATTTCTCCGTAAATACGATTTGATGACATGGAAAGCGCGAGAACAAATGAAAGCAAGTAAACTGGTCAGCGGTAGAAAATCGGGTGACCAAGTCCACTGGCGTAGCACCGCGTCAAGCCCCGAGGCGGATTAATTTAAGGGCGAGATAAATCATTCAGCTATCTCGGCAGGTACAGCAAAAACATTTATCAGCCCCCGCTAACCTGTCCGGAAGTGGTCTCCAAAACTCACAGTTATAATCGCGACTTAATGGCGACTCCGTGTTGATCATTATCCGCTCTGAGATACACGGGACGGAATTTTTGTTTGAACTTCCGGTTTTCCGCCGCGCGGAATCCACCTAGGTCAGTAATTATTAGCACAATTCCTCTTTATTGCTACTGTTAGCTTGGAAACGAATTGTTCGGATTATATAAGGTCCCTAGTAGATTCAATCTCTTTTTAATATTTAAATATACATACGATGTTTATTTCATATTACGAAAAAAATATTTTTTTCCCAATATGAAATAAATATTTATTTAATATTGGAAACAAAATATTTCTTCTCAATATAAAATAAATAATAATTTAATATTATAAAGAAAATATGTTTTTCTAAATATAGAAGAAATATTCATTTAATATTGGAAACAAAATATTTTATAACGGACCGTGAATAGTTACACTGAAAACACGGACGGCGTACTGCATACTACGTTCCCTTTTTCATAAATTTAAAAAAAGGCAGTGATATGCTTTTCGGTTATCTTTTAATTTAACAGTTTTATTTTTAATAGTACATAATTAGAATAAAAAAAAAGAGTAAGAAAAATTTGAAAAAATAGACTTCTCCATACTGTTGGCGCGGCGAACGCCGTTCGTGTCCTCCAGGGTCAATTTTGAAAATAATTTCAACTTGTACGAGAATTTAGATAGAAAGTAAAGCATAAAACTTTAAGTATTTTTCTGCATTGCAGATTTATCTATTACAACCATTTGAAATTGTTTTTAAGTTTTGCACAAGTATATATTTAGAAAATAGTATTTAAAATATCGATGAAAACATTTGTTTTCGTTAACAGCATATTAATGCGCATAATTCACAGAATAGTGTTGTTAGACAAAGGTCAATGTATTTTCCGTACTTTCAGATCTAGATCTGGGCACAACGGTATCTGTAAACTTAACAATTATTTCTGTGATTGCCATGTTTCCAGTGAGAAATTGTGGTAGTGTTTCAACTCCTTGTCGAGGCTGGCGATCGAAGGGGTACCCCATCTGACGAGCATCGGGATATTTCCTATCTTTTAACCCACAGAAACTCACTGCATCATTACAACCTGATGATTCTTCCTGTTCGACCTAAACATTGCAAAATTCACGTAAGCTATTTATTGTACGTTTCGTAATTTTTTATACAAATACGTGATAAAATAAACGGATATAATGGCAAACTAAAGATTCATTTAGATAAACAAACTTTCGTCAATAAAAATAATAAAAGAACGTGTCTGTATAGTTGGATCATTCCACGTCAAATCGATCGCTCTGTGCACTTGATGTCAGGGATTTTGTCCAAAATGAAATGTGATATAGTGCACATGAAATTGGGGGGGGGGGGCTGTCAAGCACTTGTTTACAAAATAGATGTCAAAGTTCACAATTTTTACATATTTCGTGAATCCAGAGTGTACTTATAAATTTCTATTTGGAAAACTATTCATCGTATTGAGTTCATACTCCCTTTATTTTAATATAGAAGCTTCGGCCTATTTGAATAATATTATTTTAAATTGAAAAATCATTTCTATAACATGGCAATTTTTTCCCAGACGTTAGTGTCGATAAATTTGAAAAATATGACAGGTATTCTTGGAAATCCTACCTACAAGATAAGGTGCATTTGAAAATGATGATATTGAAATTAACTCGGCAATGATCAGTAAAAGACAGAGGTGCAGCCCGTTTTAGATCAGCGAGCTACACGCTCGGCGATTACGGTCGGCCGATGGCCTAGGTAGCACTCAAACGATTAAAGTTACCGGCACCTGTTGTTGAACACTCTGTATGTAGTGTAAAAGTAGACAGAAATCATAAATATACTTACAGCATCATCGCTATAATTTGATATCATAACAAAAAGATCCATCGGGTAGCCTACTCGGTTTCCTTTAGGAACCAACATATGTTGTGGCCATCCACATCCACAAAAATTGAAAAGCTCCAAATTATCTCCACTAATCGGTCTATTCTCGTCCAAATTCCGGAAAGTTCTTTCAAAAGGTATTGTTATCGATGAGTCCGTTGAGTTATGCTCAATTGTATTTTGTCCTGGCCGAACTGTAACGTAATAAGCATAAAATTCGTACTTAAATTTCTAGATGAAAACATTGCAAACTATAATATATATAAAGCAAAGTGTAACATAAATACGGTCTAAAGTAGTGAAACAGATAATTAAATAATAGAAACTTTAAGGGGTGATAGCTGCTATAATTATAAGTATGAAAAAAAATTAATCTGCCTTCCCGTAAACATAATATGATAACCAGTTATACATTTTAAAATGACGTAAAACTATGTCAGCGGTAATCAGTTACAGACTTTAAAAGGTCGTAAAACTACGGCAGCAGTAACCAGTTTTTTACCAAACCAAATTGTAAAATAACGAGACCAATCAGAAAACTTCGGATAAGCGGCACTTAACCTTCCAGTAGGCGCGTAGGTGTTTATTACGGATTGTAGTGCGTTGTTTACCATTGTAGAACATACTTTCTAGCACATATAAAATTTCAGAACCTTTTGTTCACAGTACATAAGTAAAACTATGTTATTTTTAACTATGTAAAGACTTTTTATTTGTCTTAGATTACACTTGTACCTTATTCAATAAACAACATTCATTTTGTAGCAAAGTAATGAAAAAACCTATTGCAACAACATATTAAGTGGATAACATTAGAATAATACTTGAACTTGATAAATTTTATTGCTAAGAATATAAAAAACAACTCTTCTAATGTAAATCAATTAACACAAACATTTTTCATGTGGTCCTTGCCAGGCGTATCCGTCGCAGTTTTTACACGCTTTTCTTGTAACTTTAATTTTGTTCCTTAATAAATTTTGTCCTCCCGTGGACATACATAACATCTTCCAACATAATTAGTGTTGTGATGCTGAGCAACTAGTAAAGGTTTGGTTCTGGTATTTGCAATAGTAGTTTTACACGACTTCGAATTGTAGCAGGAAGGCTTTCTATAGTGTATCTGTGTTCAATTTGAGATTTTGTTAGATCCCAAGCAAAATCGTTGATAAATGACTTGCTGCCCAATGTTGTAGAGGAGTTGTTAGACTTGTAAATGTAACAAGAATTGATAAAGGACAGATTAAGTAGATTATAAAAAACTATGATGTCAAAAACTATCATGTGTCACCATATTTTATCATTTTGGCTACGAGGTATAGTTCTCGCTAAGATATAGCGTGGTCATAAATTAACGTATGGAGTGGCGGCAGCAGTTGATACCGCGGTACTCAGACCCGCACGTGGCTTTAACGGAAAAGAATGTGAACTGGCTGTAGTTCATTTACTACCAGATTAACTGTAAACTCTGTTTAGTATTTGCCACATTTGAAGGAACTTTAACTTTTCGCAGGCTGGTGTGAACAATAAAAACAAGTCAGAAGCATCTTAGAACTGAATGAAAATTGCACATTATTAAACAAAGCTCGAGCTCCTTATCTCGCCCTCTATTTTTAAATTGAGATGTTGAGTACTGGACTGATTTTGCAACGACGCTATGCGAGGTCTATAACTATGTAGGTCTGTCTCAATGGTTATGCTAATAATACCATAATTTGCATAAGCAGATCTGAAAGAAGTCGAGCGACAGGAATGAAAAAGGCATGCACATTCCATTGAATAAATCCTCATAGACCCGTCTTCCCTAACACAGTCATTAACACATAACGCAGAGCGTTAATAGGGGACGTCGCACATAGACTTCCTTAGAGCGAGTAAAGTACCCGTCTTGCCTCTATGCCGTCCCACTGGACTTCTTTCCAACTCTGCATAACGCATACATATTGCCCGCGCAGTCGTCTCAGTGTCTCGCATCAGGCATTTTTAATTCGTATTTTCAACAATCAATAACTCGGTATCAATAACATAATTTTGTTATTTTTTAACCCCTTGAACTTTGTGACACCTATAGCAGAGTATCCATATATGAATTTGTCCTACAACTCTACAAAATAGGTCCATTTATAAAAAAACTACACACCCTATGAAATAAATGCTTTCGAAACAACGCCATATTCGTACACACAATTTTTCATACAATATATAATTAAGATATTATTCGTGTTATGCAAGATTAGGTAAATATGTATCACGAAAGTAACATACGTATTATAGAAAATTTGTCCATTTCAATCATTAAATTCTTCTGCTGTCGGAAAGTAAAAGGTAGCCCACGTTCATCTTCCTTAGGAGCAATGAAAATCCGTACTGTTCCTCTTCGTGGCGTATTGTTGCGATTATTAACAATAATCGTATATTTAAAATCGGAATGATTCAAATGAGTAAATCTAGCGAGTACTGGCCCCCGCGGTGTGAAATCTAATCCACGAGACAAATCTACGACACTTTGAGTCCAGAAGGTATTTAAAACGTTGCGCCGCTGATTAGTTGTCAATCGAAGATCTAATATTTCGACGCCTGGATAATCCAACTACAAATGTTAATATAAAAAATAATTAACTGTAGTGCATATTTATTTACTGTACACGTGATCTATTTTGACGGTACTGAAATTGGTATGTTTTTAATATTTTCATTGAATTATCATTATATTTTATGTTGTGTAAAATACACTTTTTGGACATTTCTGTTTCTAAAAGCGTATCATTGTACATAAAAATATAACTTATGTCGTATTCTACATCCTTTCGATACTGACTGATGATTTTAACTGATTTTTTAATGTTCAGAAAAAGTTACGCGTGAATAAATTTAGTCTGTAATAAGCACATGAAATTTTTTCTGGGCCAAAGACCTTAACATTCAACGACCTTAGATATGGCATAAGGTTAATTTTGTACATATCTGCATAACCCAATTAAAACAATCTAAATCTGCTCATGACTGCATTGCATGCATCTTTTTACATTTATAAAAGTTATACAAAAACTCTTGAAGAAGTGATATCTCATAAGAAGTATACTAAAAATACCATTCTTATTACTTTTGAGAGAAACCACGTATTAAATATTACTATTTACTTTCGAATATTACTATTAAATTTTTTCTACTACTTTTATAATTATTATATTGCTATAACGCGGTTATAAATAGTACAAAATCAAGTCCTAAAATGTCACTAACGGTCATACAAAAAATACTTTCCATCTTCTTTTCTAAAACTAAGTACTATACCGTTACAATAATGAGTACACATCTGGACTCCAGAACCAGACTGTATTAAGTCCACTTTTTGTGAAAAATGACATTTTATGTGTGTCTAGTATTAAAGTTTTCTCTCCTTCCCATGGTAAAAATTATTTCGTTCTTAGTCGTTTTGTTTTTAATATAATAGTGTAAAAATGATATTCAGTCCATATTTTGTTCCAAGCCGAGCAATGTAAAGTCCATCACATAGGGGATTTAATGCAAGGTTTACCATTTCTACATATCCAGACTTGTCTTATATACATTCAATAGTTCGAAGGTACCGATTGTTTTTCGTTGAATCCTTACCGAAGGGTTCCAAAGTTACAAGGTTTCTATAACTTTGATTTGCTCTGCTCTAAGGTTTGTTAAGTGTGACTTAATATACTCTGGCCCTGGGGTCCAAGCATATAATTTGTAGTTTCCAATCACAGTAAAATATACGTGTACAAACCTGCTGTACAGTATACTCTGGTAGAGTATTTTTATATTCTTGGAAAACATCATCGACAAAAGCATGCCATCGATAGAATATTGGATCCCTCATATCAGTGGCAGTATCGCCCATTATACCAAATCTCTCCTGTGTAACATAAAATGAAATTTTACAGTTAAAAATTAATAGAATACAAATAAAATAGGATCAGTAGATACCTTTTTACGAAAACATAGATATCTATTTTTCATTTAAAAATCACTGGAATACATGTAACGAAAGCAGACGAAGTTCTTCATAAATTCATAGCCTACTACTGGCTAAGAATTCGGGCATACGTTTTAATAAGGAAAGCGTAAAAATGGAGGACAGGGTGTTAATAAAAACGCGGGACAAATTCACAGGATGGATTTTACATGCCAAGTTAATTGATACGAAAATCATAAATGACGAAATTGTGTCCTACTTGACAGGCGCACTCTGCAATTATTTTACGAGTTGGTTTCATTTAAATTTAGTTAGGTATGTCGCATTACGAAATCTTATAAACTTAAAACGTAAAAATCTTTCCGAAGTGTTATCTTTCTGAAGCGGATATTATCCTTCTAAGAGGATAGTTCCCGGTTAGACCACAGGTAAGGTGGCTACCGGTAATCATTAATACTTTTGTTCGCTATTATTTCCCTCGGTGATGTATATACAGGATGTAACAAAAATGTTGTCCGACCCGGAAATGGGGCACTCGAGGGGGTGAATGGGAACAAGTTTTTCCTTAACAACAATGTAATCTAAGGCTTCGTTACCGAGATATTAACAAAAAACCCCGACCAATCAGAGCGCGAGTTTGCCAGCCGAGTTCCCGCGCTAGCGGTGGCTACGCGCTGCTCTTGTACTACGAAGCTTCGAACAAGTAGGCCAGCATGCAACGCAGGAAACTGCGCATAATAGCAAATAAAAAAGACGTAACAAATAAAATCATACTTTTTATCATCTGTCGTTTGTTATTTAAAAAGATTACTGAATGAAGCATCAATGTAGAAAAATTATGTGTAACGTAAAAAGACGAATGCACAGTTACTTTTTTAAACAGAATGGAAATTAATAATTATTTGAAGACGGAGGCTCAGGAATTTGCAAATTCCTTTTTCAAATAACGTATTAACGAAAAGGTAATGTAACAGAAAATGAACGAGAAGTGATCGTAGTTCGTTATTAAATCGTATCTTAAGTCGATCTTATTGATTATTAATAATGTTTAACTATTAAACATAATATGTATAGTATAAATTAACATATACTGAGATGATTTGAAACAACTTTTTCTTAGCAAAAATGTTATCCGAGGCTTTGTTACCGAGATATTATTCGAAAAACCCCGACCAATCAGAGCGTGAGTTTACCAGCCGAGTTCCCGCGGTAGCGTTGGCTACAAATCGCAGCGCGTAGTATTATGAATTAAGTGCTCAGTATTCAAATAATCCTTATGGTATACAAATTTATTGCAATGTACTTACCAAATAACGATGGTCCGGATCATGGCAATAAGCGAAAGCAATGTGACCAAAATTGTGAAGATCTCCATAGATGTTTTGATTCGGGGACAGGATACTAGCTTCCATTATATTTCCTAATATGTCAATACCATTTTTTTCGGTCAATTGTATTCGTTCACCTTTTGTACTAATCACCGAGCCGGTATGAATAGCTTCGTATATACGATCGCGCCATCTTTCTAAATCTTGTATGTCGAAATTTAATTGATCCGCTGGTCGGTTGATATCCCGAAGAACGGCGCCACTAGGACGTGCGGGCCATGTACGACCAGCAACAATAGAATCCAACTTTGGGAAATAAGCTTCGGGGATTGGCTCACGCCAATTAATAAATCGTTTTACACGCCCAAGCCGGTTGCTCAAACGTTCACAATTATACCTGAAAGTATAACAACTGAGTTTTGTTTGATATCCATCAGTAATTCTCGTTAAGAAGATTTTAAAATAGACATATTTGATTTCTATTATTTAAGATACACTTTCAACATACGTATCTGTACATAGGATTTTTATCAACAGGTGGGAAGGAATTTACGTAGTCATACTATATGATAAAATAAAATGAAAGTTATTATTTTTTAGTTATAAGCTGTTTGGTCCACGCAACTTGTTCACCCTAAATAACTTCTAAAGCATGCATTGCATGAACAAATTTTTATTAGAAAAGTTGTATGGTTTGGAGGGATACATTATGTAATGCATATATTTTTTTTTTGTAAGTGGAGGTGTTACAGAGATTTGAAGGTCAACTTCGTTTTTCTTAAATGGAATGCTATATTTTTTATGCCAAAATATCGAAGAGCTTTAAATTTTGAGTAAAAAAGTACTGACCTTTATTAGCCGTGAACCTAATAATTAACGAATAATTTCACTTTGTTTCTTGAAAATGGTCTGTGCGTAATATCAAGTTGAAGATTCAATACCAGCAGACTTCCGTAAGTATAGTATGGACTAAATGCTTAAAAAGTTACGCTTAACAATGTTTCATACAAAAGACATACCTGGCCAAGATTTGTTGATGCATGTAGTAGAATAGTTCTCCACGACGATCTTTGTTGACAATTTTAATATCTCCTTCAAATGGATAGACCAAATGCCAATGCCAATGATGAAGATTAATCCCAATATCTTCTCTCCAGTAAGCAATACGATGTTCTTCGTCAAGATCTGAGGCAGTGTAATCTCTAGGAATATCGATTGGAATCTGCATGCAATGAAAAAACTTAACGTTAAAAACGTTGTCTGCTTCGTATCATTGTACTACATAGTTGAGTATTGCATCCGGCGTTTATAATTTGTCATGTTGAAAACTATGCCCTATAATATTCATAAAAAGTGCAAAGTATTCGTCAAAAAATATATGAAGCCGGTTTAACTGGAAATTTCAATTTTGGATATTGACTTATTTAACACATTGACTGCCACAGTGAAAATGACCATACGTAGCCAGACACACTTTATCTCGTTTTTTTAGTCATAAATCGTCGAAAATATATGCGTGTAGTTGATAGAGGCTGTTGGTCTTGTTTTAAATTATATTACGATCTTAATTTTACGTAAAAATTTTATAACGACATTTAAATAATCCAGCTTCTTTGCAATGTACGTGTCACCCATATTTGGGTGACGTGGCAGTCAAAGTGTTAACTAATAAGTCAATATAATCCTTGGACATTAAGCAACAAGCAATCGCACGTAAAAATTTTTTTCAAATATCTAATATTTGAATCCAACAAAATTTTGTTTATTTATACCATGCTATTGTAATGCCATGGTTACGGAAGTTGCGACGTTCAATGAAAAAGCGGTTTCCTATGGACGATTTATGTGAGGTTCGGTGAAGGCAGTTAAAAATTAAAATTCACAGGTATAAGATTTTCTCTTTACAACTAATTTATTATAAGAAACACAGGAGTACAGTATCTCAGTTCTGTTTTAAATTATGCATACTGTTCGTTCTTTACTAATGCTAATTTCGTATTACAAAACCAGCGCTAAATAGGAGCCTCTAATTTAGTTACAGAAAGCCTAAGCTGATTAAAAGAATATCCAAGCCTCCTGTACAGAGTTCAAATCGCTTCCAGAAGTAGTTCTGGAGCGCGAGTAAGAATTCTAGGCGTTAGATATACAGGGTGAGTCTCGTAACTTGACGATTTCAAATAGCTTGTAAATTATTTATTGTACGAAACAAATTAAAATAATAATTGACGCGTTATAATACAATAATTACGGCTGGCGCGTTACACTATTGTACATATATTTGGCTACGGAATTTCATTAAGAAATTTAGAATTGGACAATTAGTTCTGGAAATTTTACCCTTTAAAAAATTTTTACGTTTTTGTTGGTATAGTTAGAAGTCCAAAAGTTCCGAAAAACCATCTTTGCCACGTTAATCCCCAAAGATTAAAACACTGTAAAAATATTCTACAACCACCTGCATCCCCGTACATAAATCTTGCTTAAATAAATAGAGATAGGAAGTAACGGGTTGAATTTTCGTTGTTGTAAACATTATATGGATTCAGATGAATTTTTATTTTGTGTATTAGTCTTTTGATTTTAGAAATGTTACCCTCTAGATCCGCCATTAGAGGCGCCATGTCTGTACAACAAAATCAACTCTTTCTAGAGCTATCGCATATTGGAGATCAATGAAAACCTCGGCTTGAATTGTTTCACATGAAAAATTAAACAAAGAATCAAATTATAAAATATATTTCTTAAACAAATAATTTTTAAAAAAAAAATATTTACATGATTGGATTCCACATTCACAAACACACAATTCAAAAACATATTGATAAAGTTATAATTAGTCTTTTCGCAGAAAATGGGTTGTCCAAACCTGCCCGTTCGGAGTGACCTACAGTGATACAGAACGCTGATTTAGGAGTTCAGAAACTTAATTTACATGTAAAATAGGGAATTTCAAAACCAAATTTGCTAAGCATATGTTCATCGTTCATAATTATTAAAAAAATACAAACTTAATAAGTAACGTTTTTTAATAATCATTGTTTTATAAACATAAAAAATTATTTTTTTCAGAAAATCAAATTTATAAAAAAATTTTCGTGAACTGAAACAATGACTGATTCTTTCCATACATTAATTGCATTCTCCGATTGTTTAATATTCACAATTTCGTTAGCCAGGAGAACAATTTTGATAGATGTCCATTAATTTTCGAGAATGATATAAGAAAACTTGTCATTGAGAATGAGACCTCCGTCGCAAAAAATAATTTTTTATTTTATGTATAAAACAATTATTATTAAAAAACGTTACTTATTAAGTTTGTATTTTTTCATAAAGTTGAAATTCCCTTTCTTACACCCAAATTAAGTTTCTGAACTCCTAAATCGTCGTTTTGTACCAATTGTGCGACCGTGTAGTTCAATGTAAACTCAAATTCATGGAGGTGCTTTTGAACGAGCAGCGTCAGTTATAAAAATAAGGCGTGAGAGCAAGAGACTGTGAATGTTTTTAGACACACTTTGTATAACCTACAAAGAAACAAAATGATCAAAAGGGTTATGTACATACCCTTGATCCTGAAGGTACAAGATTGGCTTCCTCCCGAGCTCTATTAAAAATTGCACCATCAACATATTTGTCTGGAAATACTTCAGTCAAAGGTGGTATCGGCAAATCTTTTGTATCGGGACGATGTAATATAGCTACTGAAAGAGCATAAATAAACATTTGGGAATTTACACGATCGCGGCAATACACAGCTACTGATAAGAAATCCTCGTACGTCCGCATGCCTAAAAAATAAAGCATTAAAAATGATTAGCTACGACTTACGAACATACATATACATGTATGTCCTACACAAAATGTACGAAGTGCAATAGAACGCCTATGTGAATACTTCCACTGCTTCTAAAGATACCGAATATTGTAAACAAAGAAATTGAAAGTTTGTGATAACAATAGTTGTAACACTAGTGATCAGCATTATATTATTGTATCATTATTTAGTATCAGCACGTCTCATCTTAAATAACATTTTCCTTCTTAATATAGAGATTAGATATTCAAAACTACTCAAGTCAATATCGAATTTAATAACATTCTGTGTTCTGCTCTAAACTCTACTAACTGCTCCGAACTCAAATAACGTTCTTACTGTTCAGGCTTTCGGGTATAAGCCGTGTCCTTGTGGAATTGTATTCCCGACGTTTCGCAAACATTGCTGCTAGCTTCATCAGGGGGTCGAAAGACACACTCATTTTGGTGTGTGCTATGTGGTGCTTCTCTAATATACTGGAGCCTGCTCATGTTCCAGTGCATTGCTGCACAATCAGAAGAAATTTTAATTGTTCAGCTGACCAATTAAAGTTTTTTCCGCGGGTATAACTTGGATTTGATAGGTTAAGCAGGTTTAACGCGGATTCAACGTGTTGAGCAGGTATAGCGCGGACTCTTGGGGCGCTGTGGCCTCCTTCTGTCAGGAGGTTCTCACATGGAAGGAGGGCGCCGAGCGGAATCGGGAAAGATCCGATCCCGTTCGAAGCGAAAGAAGAGGAATGAGGCTGGCGCGGAGGCCACAAGCTGCTGCCTCCGTGGCCGTCCCCCTTCCAGGAGGTGGGACCGGCACGGGGAGCCCACGGGCACAAGCGGAAAAAGGGTTGCCCCGCGGGGGGCGCGACTGATAGGGGTCATAACTGCGATGACCCCTCGCGCCGCTCGCAGGGCAACGAGGGCCGAGGAGGTGGTACTGGGGGTACCACCTCCTTTCGCGGTCGGCCCACGAGAAGACAGCGTCGAGAGATGACTCATCGACGCTATAGGTAGGAGCTGAATTCCCCCCCAGAGAAGAGCCCTCCCTCCAAGGCTCGAGGGAGAGCAAGGGCGGAGCTGATCGCGGTGAGTGGTCGAACGATCCCGTGACCAGCCCTCACGCCCGAGAGGATCACCGGGAGTTTGTTAGCGGGTGAAATCCCGCATTGGTCGTCTCCGCCCACAGCGAAGGCGTTGCACCTTTTTAACGTTTTCCCCACGTTAAAAGAAGAAAAAAAAAGGAGGTGTAGCGCGGTTGCAGGCGGGTACGGACGGGTTGGTAGCGGGCATCGCTGGGTAAGCGCGGGGCAGGTATCGATTGGCCGGCCCGGATGATTGAAGAAACGGCCGAGTGATGGGCGGGATAAACCCGCCCGATGCAAATCTCTATATCATTAACAAATTAATTGGTTTCATTAAGGTCGTTATTATAATCTTTGATGATTTCCACGGGCATATTCATTATGTCTAAATTGTGTGTTGGATTGGGGTCCTGAGGATTACAGACAAACGTTCGATCAGCTTCTCTTGTCTTTACGAAGCACATTTTCCAAAGAGGAAAAATGTTTTTAACTTCACCAATTTCGCATGTCCCTTGTTTTAAGTGATCATTAAATATTTTTAGGTGGATTGTGCGGGATCCCGACATTTCGGTCTCATGACAAGACGAAGAAGTTCGGGCGATATCGAGCGAAATCTAGATACTTTCGCTACGCTCGAGATCCCAAAAGTTTCGGAGCCCGAAACTCATTCCGATCTCTAAACATTAAAGGGCAGTCCGACTTTGGGTCGACTCGGCAAAAATTGAACGTGATCGATTCGAGAGTCTAACAACCCCCTAAAGACCGAATCGAGTTTCGGATCCCAAAACTTTCGAGACCCCGAGCGAGACGAGAATATCGAGATTTCTCTCGAATTTTTCCGTCCAATCTTGAAGCTGGGGCTCTCGAGTTTTGGTAGGCCCTGCACACTCCTGATTTTCAGCCTTTCATCTTTAATTGTGTATTCTACAAAATCTCTGGTCGCGGAATAGTCGGAAAATGCTAGCAGACCTTTTTGAGAGATCTTTTTGTTTATAACGATTCCAAATTATTTTGAGTTTCTACTGCATTTTTCTATGCCATTTTCAGAGGGAGAAAAATTCAAATCTAATGGTAATATTACTTTCTATACTTATACTGTATGAAATAAACGTAGGTATATTATGTGTAAACTACTACAAACCCATGAAAATGTTGGTAAGCCGCGCAGCTAGTTTTCGATGTGCTGGAAGAAATAACGAAAATGGCTCACGTCGATCCAATTGCATAGGAATACTAATATCCGGAAGCGTAATTTGTTTTACTGAAATCTTTGAATTCGTATCATCAGCAAAACGGTTGAATACTTGGGTTGCTACGGGGCGGTACCTATCAGCCTAAACAGAGTAACAAGATACAAGAATATATTATTAAATAACAAGTAAAATGTTATGTTATAATTTTGTTGAAGTTAAAATCTTCAAATTATCTGATTTTAGAAAAATTTCACTTGATCAATGCCCTCGTTACGCCAAAATGTAATTACACTCAACCCTCGTATAACACGGTTAATTCGTTCCGTGTTGTATCGAAACCATTTTAAGCGAAACTTACAATTAGAATTAATGCAAATCAGTGAAATTGCGTTTTGCGTTATATCGAAACCGTGTTACAAGATATAAAGTTATGCAATAGCGGGGATATTGTTCCAGAAGATAAATTTAAATGCATAAAAAAGAAAATTCATGCATGTCCGCAAATAGGCTACTGTTTGATCCACGAATAAGCTGCCGTTTCCCCCCTCCACTCTTTTGTAGTATGCCGCAGTAGCCGGGCTCACTGGCCGGACCGACTTACCTTTCATCGCTGGTTGGCTAAGGGCAACAAAGTTGTCAAACCAGTATTTATAAAATAGATTTTCTATCATTTTTATTTTACATTATTGAGATTATATCTAACAAATTGGTAATATTTTCTTAATAAAAATGAGCTCAAACACAATCTTATTTTAAGTTATATGTCAATACGTATTAAACATATTGTAAATCAGATAGTCTTGAGCTATTTCACTTTTATTACACCCAACAAGGTTTAAGAACTACAAACGCTCGACACTGCATGATCCGAAGAACAGGAATAATATTCCAAATTTTTCCAAATTCAAGGAAATATTTTCTTGTCTATCCTGTACTGAATTTTGTTACATTGTCTGTTTTGTCCAAATTACTCTACTTATTTCATTAGGTAGTGAATTTTTCACTTTATGAAGTGCAGCATTGTTATAGAAACTGTACTGCTTAAATCATGGATCCAGGAATGTTGTTCTTGCTATCCAATTATACTCAATATCTTTAAATCTATCTTTAAGTTTGCTGTATAATTTTGTCGCTATGTTAAAGCACCTTCGGTTTTTGAAGTTATTTTTGTTCTATCTTAATTGCTTGTTAGACCTTTTATAAAAACAATAACTTTTGAAATTGATACATACTTTTCAGTGCTTAGTTACTGGGCTGTCCCTAAAGTCCTTGCCAAAATTACAAAATTTAATAACTGCATACGCTAATGTAATCGGGAAAGTCTCCTCTATCTTTTAAAACTAAACTGAACTTTGTACCGTTTTTAGTTTTTACATAATACTCCATTTTTGCCCGAAATCGTTCGTTCTTACAAAAATTCATGTTTTTCAAAAACTGAGGGTGATAGAGCAAGTCTGCTTACGGATTCGTGTTTAGGACGAGAATTTCTGCAAGGATCGCGTAGTGGATATTACATCACAGAACTAACGTTAAAATTTGTTGGACAGTGTTACTATTTTTGTACGTTTTATTGTATGGAACCCTACAGCTACAAGCTGCATTACACCCTAAGTGCGGCGACAGTAAGCGATGTCCCCACTCAAAGCGTCAATTTACGAACAAAATTCCTTCCTCTTACGTTATGGTCAGCTGATTTCCCTTGTTTATAGTGAGTACAAAAAAAATAAAATCAATAAAGAATCAAGCAAACTAAATGAAACTAACGTACCAAATAATCAGATGGTATATTGAAGGCAACTTTCTTCTCTCCCTTAGGTACATAGGCTGGCTCACAAGGTCGATCAAAGAGATATAAAATATCTGTTTTATTGTTTGCCATGTTGATATAAGCTTTTACGCGCAGACGAAAAGAGAAAAATAACCTAGACTTATCTAATCACACTTGTAATATAAGTTTACTCAATAGTATGGTTTTATAAAATCAACTGTAAGTATAATTCACCGTTGCAGGGTTCCGAGAAAGAACGACGTTTACGCTTTCGCGATGAAAGGCAGTTGTTGGACAAATGAATTTAATCCTAGCTTTATAGGAGAATTTTTCAGGAAATAGTGGTCTTGTTATAAACCGCAAAATCCGTCACCGCTGTCCAAAATAATCAAAACTTGTTTTCGAAGAAAATACAGGTTCAGGCAAAAGTAATTGATGGACTTAGTTTTGCAATAACATTTGAACTAAGTGAAGTAAATGAAAAATTGAAGTTAGAAGTAAAGTTTATTGGTTGCTCCTTTTTACATTAAATATGAAAAATTAAATCCGTCAAGTGTGCATCATGATGTTGGAAGCAAGAATAGAATCTTTTCATGCTGTTTTCCATTACTTTTTCAAGTGTTGCATGTGTTAAGGCAATTTCTTCTCGAATGTTGTTTTTAGAGCTTGTAAATTTTGCGGCGTATTAACTAATTTTTTCCTTTAGATAACCCCACAGGAAAAAATCTGGTGCGGTCAAATCGGACTGTCGCGGTGGACACTTCAATTGACCGTTTTTTGAGTTTATGCGGTTTGGCAAGTGTTGCCTCGAGAGTTTCATTATAAAAGTAAATTCTGGTTCGTTCAGCTATAGTGTATCTCTCCATAATTAAATCTCCTAAGTTTCCTCTGAAAAATTGAAAAAGTTAAAGAGATATTAACCCTCACTTATCTGACTATCTCAGAGTCGCGTTCTTGTCACACTGGGTATGGCATATCCGTGTGTTCTTCAATCGTATATATCTCGGAATCAGGTGCATCATTTTAAATGTTTTTTGCTTATATCGATTTTTCAAGCATCAAAGAATGAAACTATATAACTTAGAATATCGTGAATATGTTAGTATGAAGAATATTCTGAAAATAAAGAATATCAAATTTTGAATAGTTAGCAAAAATTTATTTTCTTTCAAAGTGCTGTAGTTCTAGGTTAAAACAGATTACGAGGGTTCAACAGCACATCAATCGACATTGCTTGAGTTGTATTTTGAGAAGAAATATGTAGGTGGTTTAACAATTAGTCTCAAAAACTATAATTATTTAACAAAGTGAAAATGTGTGAAATTTGTCATTTACAAATGGCCGGAACAATGTATTTTTCGTTGAGAAAAATTAAATAATTTTTAATACTTAATTTCCTCTATATTATCCCTTATATTATCCCTAATATCTAATTAACTCCTTAACAAATGTACTTTTTCTACAAATACGTAGACGTACTTGTAGTACTTCTAGTAAATACTACAGTACTTGCTATACTATAAAGTAAAACAACTACATTTGAATATTTTTTCTCATTTTACTTTCGATAATTCATTAAACAATACATTTGCAAATACTTACCTTGATTTTGTGTTCCACGGAAATTACTTTTTCCATCGTGCTTGCCGCACTCGGTATGGCATACCCAAACATAAATTTGCAATATTTACATATATCTTGACTGCTTCAACCAGAATAAGGTTGCTGTGGTTAAGAATTCTTAGTAGAAACTGCAAGCTTTTTTCCGCCCTACAGTCGCCCCTTCACTGTTTTAAAGTACGAAAAGTTATAGGAATAGCCTGGGTAGGCCGCATTCAATATGACAAGCGAGTGTTAATAAATAAACAAGTCATAATATTTTCAAACCAGTCAGTTACTTTTGCCCCACCTTGTACATTACCAGCAAATGGTTTTGAGCTTCTCTTATCCACGTATTACATCAGCATACTCTTTTATTCGAATGTTTTATTATCCGCATACGATAAACATATACAGTCGATTTAAAAAGTATTCGTACTTCATCAATTAAAAATATTTCGTATAATTGCGGTTGTCACTAAATTTTCGTAAAACAACAAGTTTCTACATACTTTCGGAAGCTTTGTGTAGATATCGTGTAAAAAGAACTCAGAGACTTGCATAGTTTGCGAAAATCACAACAAAATTTTCAAAATCAGAAGAGATAGAGAATACTAAGTATTCATACAATATGTAAATGATAAAATCTACTTTGAAATTTCAACAGCAAAATAGAATGTTTTTATGTTCTTTTGATTTTATAATGGCCGCAACTCTTCTAGGCATGAAATTAACTATGCGATATTATGCGCAATGGAATCTTGCTCCATTCGTTTTATTAATTCATCGTTAGTGCTCATTTTTTCTACAGAAGAAAGAAGATTCCATTTTGAAATGTCAATATAAAGTCGGTGGTTCTTGTAGCGTCAATAAAATGTAATGTATCAGCTGCACTCGTACTGCCCCAAACAGTAAAAGAAACATCAGCGTGTTTCACTGTAGGCAGTAAGTTTTCTGGTTTCTGTTCTTCAACTTCTTCTCCAGACACTACAATATCAATCCCAGCCTGATATGTGGAACATATTCTCGTCTGTGAGAATCACTCCATTCCAGTACTCCATTGTTTGTGTTGTTATTTGCAAATACCAATTTTTTATTCCTATTTACGTCACTTACAAAATATTTTTTCACGGTCACTCTAACCTGGTGTTTATGGTATAGTGGTTTATCCCCACCATTCCTCATACAGCACTGCAGCCGCGTGCCAGGTTGATAACAAGATATTTCAGTACGAATGGAGAAGGAAGGAGGGGGAAATAATAAACGAAACAATAGTTTATGAAATTGAAAATGTTTATTAAAAAGAAAAACGAAAAACTTAAACGAAGTAAGAAGGAAGAAGGGGAAATAATAAACGAGACAATTTTGTGAAATTGAAAAATGTTTACTAAAAGAAAAAAAAAAGAAAAAAAAACGAACTATAAAATATATATATTAAAAAGAAACAGAATAAACTTAAACTATAAAATGTTTATTAAAATGACAAAGAAAATCTTAAACAAAAAAGAACGAAAAAAGAAGAAAAAACAAACTATAAAAATGAATATAAAAGAAAAACGAAAAAACTATAAAATTCTATAATGAGTCTTAGTTAAAAAATGTTGTAGTTTATACACATTCTCCATGGCACATACGCCATGATGCGCCATGGAGCACACATGTCGGCACACATCAGCTCCCTCGTCGTTGTACAATCTATAGCATCTTCAGTATTCTCAACAATGACGTCGGTCGTCGGGTCCAACCAAAAGTGCAATTTCACGCCGTTTTTGCACCCCCGGTACAACAATCTGCACGATTCTGTTGCGAGCGATGGCATCCTGAATCACGTCATGCACGTGGTGATACGGGATGAACCTGTTAGGATTAAAAGAATGTTTAAGTTAACAGTTCGGGTAAGTGTTGAAAACAACGCGGATGTGGAGCGAATATTACTACTTTAGAAAACATACCCATCACGCCAGGCGAATCCGTGAACCTTCCGGGTTGCTCATATACAATTCGTCAATTCGTCCAAATCCAATAAATTACATGGCATATGGGGGTATGAATACCCAATGTCCCACGCGATTACAATTAATTAGCATGGCAATCTCCTTCACAAGTTGTCCGCCCACAAGCCGAAAATATCCATGATTGCGGACTCCATTGTTTAATACACTGTTGATGAACACTACGGAAACAGTGGTACACCTAACCTAACGTAACCTAACTAAACCCCTGTTCGGGTGCGTTTCACAAAATAAGCTGCTGCACTTAAGTACACGTTGCCCAATCATGGAGTTATCTTGAAAACACACGATATAACCAAAACGTGACACAGTTTCAAAGAATTGAACGCACGCTGATTATATCAATATTCACATAATCCACATCGCGTATTACCTAACCTTAAGATACAGCGTGCAGGTAGAGTGTTTTGAGAACGTAATCTTGTGCATGCTTCGAATTTCGCTCTTCGAACGGTGGGAACAGTTGGCGACGAATAGTTCCCCGTATAATAGTTAAATGTTTACCTGTCAACCGTCAGCGAGTATCGTGTATGGAGCAGTGAGTGAGATAAAAGTTTGGAACATGTCATCGACTACCTGGTGAAAAATGATTTACCGATCAGTGCAAAACGTCGTATAATAATCGTTATGTGTCGAATAAAGAACTTGAGTTTTTATGCGTAAGAGACACTCGCTCGTCGGTAGTCGTTTGTTCGATGGAACTCGTAGAGCTAAATTTAAAGCATCGTCTCTCGTTTGGGAGAACATTGGGTCTGCGTTTAAGAGTCGCATTTTTACCGATGCGGTTATCAACGTGGAGCATATCGATCTTCGTCAATTTCTACAACACACGCGACGAATCGTACTCAGCCGTGTTACTGCCGCTATCGACGAGCATGTATCCGTAAAAGTGAATGTGGTGTTGGAAGCGGAATTTATATTACGAGGTATAATTGACGTCAAAAGTTTCAACACGCGTAATTGCGAACTGTTCCAATCATCTCCATACTCAGAGAATGTGATGCAGTAAATTGTAGCTTCAATGAAAGAATTTCAAGAACGTGATAGCGGGTGGGCTTTATCGAGAATATTACACCTCTTGATAAATGTCAACAAATACAATTTATTATTGATAAAAATTTTATTCGACGCTACGAATAAAACGCTTCGAATAGAAAAAGTATCTTTGATTCGTCGGATAATTCTCGCTCGAATAAATTTATTCATTCGACGTTCGTCGAATAAAGATATTTTTTTATTCGAGCTTCAAATAACGAATGAAACGTTTTTATCCTTTATTCATTATTCGAAATTTTTATTTGGATACAAATTTTTCCCAGCTCTGCCTGGACGTTAGCATCATCGGAAAGCGACCTTATAGTTTGCGACAATATTTCAATGATATTGTAGAAACTTGTAAAGGTAATTGTTCCGAAAACCTAGAAATAGTTGTTGTTAATCGAAGATTAAAAAGGCGAAACAAGCAAATTAACAAATCCTTTTATACTACTGGAATAACTCGTGGTAAACGGGGAATCATCAACTTCGTTGGCGACTTTGCGAAAATTGTTTTTGGAACTCTATTTAATAACAATGCGCAATATTATAACAATGAAATCAATAAGCTTTATCAGCAGTCGAGTGAATCCATAGACACTATAAAAGAATTTACCAAGATCACAAAAGCCACGATTAACGCAGCTAGTCAAGATATTCATACGTTATTTAGTATGTTCTCCGAACAACAGAACAAGTTAGGTAGACAACAAAATGATCTTACCATCTGAAATAGTTTGATCATAATTTCTATGATAACCTCAGAACTCAGTGAAGACGTTAATAACTTGAATAATGCTATTAATGACGGAAAAACTGGCATAATACACCCACAATTATTAGACCCAATAGAATTTATGAAAGGATTACGCAAAATGCAAGACACATCAATGAAACCGATATCCCTAAACCTTGAAATATCTAATTTTGCCGAAATAATAAAAATCTCTGAAGTTACTGTTGCGATATTAAAGAACAGATTCGTTTATACATATAGTCAAAACTCCTGTTCCAGAAGTAACACTAATTTCAACGTACCAAGTAGCCCCAGTGCTCAAAGAAATTTCAGAACACACATATCAGTTTGTACAGCCACAAGGAGACTATATAATTATAAAAAAAATGACAAAACTATGTACACACCCACTACTATAGAACATTTCGAATCATGCACTAAATTATATCAAAAGAAATTATGCAAGCGTCAATATCCCGACTACCTAATTAGTACAACGAACAATTGCAAATCATGTATAACTAAAACGGGCTTTAATGAAATCACAGACAAAATATGTACCATAAAAACAATTAAAGTCTTATAAAGTATCTGGATACAACTAAAATCAGGAAACAGTTGGAAATTTACTTCACCTAATCCCGAAAGTATAGATATTTTATGCGACAATTCTACATCACAAACTATTACTCTACCAACACTCAAGTATGGCCAAAACCGATCTATTACACTACGACCGGAAAACCCTCTAAATATGAGCAACAAATTTCAATTATAATAAATAAAACTGTTAATTTCCAAGAACTGGAAGATACAGTACCGGACAAATAAATTCAGACAACGACATTTTTCGAAGTATTTGTTGTTATAGTGATATTACTGAAGTTCTGCCCTGCGGAGTGTTTACGATTATTCCGACGCATGCTTTCATACAAGTTACACGGAGCAACCTACGTATCGCAAAATATAAAATAAGTTTTATCTGTATATAGCTAGACAAAAGTATTCGGACGTTTCATTCACAACCACAATATGTAATCTGAAACAAGAACTTCACGAGAACATCACAACTATACCTTTATTTTATCCATTGTCGGATGGTACAAGGTAAAAATTCCGGAAAAATTTTAAAACAAAACATCACAGACGGCTCAAATGGAGCGCAATCGGCTATTGTTTCTTCGATGTGTGGACATTCCCAAATAGACGGTATATTCAAGAAACTAAACAATTTGTTCGAGGAGAACATTTAGAAAATATATCGAGTGTGGGCGACCTGAGAAAACAACAATTACACAAAACATACGTTGATTATTTAATGTAACGTCCGTAGTATCCTTAATTCAAATACTATAGGAAACGGGTTTCGTTCGAAAACATTAGTCCGGTACTGTATATTGGCATCAAGCAACGTTAATATTTCCGACATTCATATGAACACAACAGGAAGCAAACGACATCTCACATCTGAAATGTTGAAAGAAACAGACATTACAATAGACAAACTTGAAGCTAGGATATTTAAATTTACCCAGAAAACACAGACAAAAGCATGGAAAAAATTATCGAAAATATGTAGTACACGAAATATACATAGGATATTTTGCTACATTCATTGTTGTAATTCTTGTACTGCGAAAATGCGGCTTCTTTAAGGTATTTAAGTCATGCGCACCTCTAATATTTGTATTAATATACGTAATAATGTAAATAATAGACAGCAGCCAGAGCACGACGTACAATATCAAGTCTCTTCGGAAAACATAAGTATAAACAATGATAATATGCAAGATACATCAACTTCTAAAGCACAGTCTAAACAAGTTACTTTAAAAAATTTGTTAAAAATCTATCTTAAAAAATTTCATCATAATGAAAATTTGGTCGCATAGCTAAAAAGTTTTTCAATAGGAAAAGAGGTGTGATGACCAATCGCATCTATAACTCAACCCTCTGACTCACTTTTTGTTTTTCACAACTTTCTCTTCTATTAGTCACATAACCTTCAAACCTCTGCGCTGTACCCTTAGTTACTAACCCCTACCCTTAGTTAAGACCTAAGATCGTAAGTTATATAAGAGTGTACGCTAGCATTTTAGGACAGTCTCTGTACAACCAACAAACCATCTACCTTGTATTAAATATCTTATTCAAAAGTTGTGTCTTTGCATATAATTCCTCCCCCAAACGGTATATCTGTGCAACGGTGTAAAGTCGGTAATCGTAACTTTCGGAACGTTCTACGTCTACGGATTCAACGCTTTCACAGTTCTTACGCGTGGACCGTGATAGATCGACACAGTGTTTGAAAAGGTGCAGAAATGGCTCGAGTGCATATTTAGTGTCTGCTATCGGTTTCGAGGTTTTGAGAATGCATGCGGAGTTTTTGAGCACATGGTCGGAATGGTGATGCGTAGTAAGAATGGGTGATTCGTAGTAAGAATGTGTGATGCGTCTGTGAGGTCTTTAACCGTTTGAGTCCCAGGGGATATTGAAAAAACACTGTCGAAGAATCCCGAACAGCGTAACCGCGCTTCTCTAAATGAGTACGAGAAGACCCAAGCGGCGCGATAGCGCTTCTTTTATTTTATTATATTATTATGGTATTGTACCTATTGTAAAATGTATTATTTACATTAAATGAGCGTCAAAGAACGAAAAAACTGTGAAAGAGAACGTATTAGAGATCAGTTATCGCCACCTTCAATTACAGTGTCATTTAAATCACCTAATAAGCTTATTAACAATTACAGATATTTTAGGACAAAAGAAATATATTTTAAATATATTTTACATATGTATGTGATGTTAAGTAATTGAATATTGTATTCAGAGACTGTAAGTCAAGCGACGAGTGTTGTAGAAAAAACATGAAAACGCGAAGAGAAAAGGAAATGCATTAATTTTTATTAAAAAGTATAGTTGCCGCTGCAACACAGTATTACTCGTCAATCGTAGGATAAAACAAGTTTAAAAACGCGGAAATCAAAATAAATATTACTGAACGTAAGGAGAATATACATTTAAAAAAGAAGGAATCCGATTTACAAGCGCCTTATCGAAATTATCTCTACCGAGACGGTAATAACTTTGTGCACTTGCGTAATCATGATTGTTTCCTGTACACCCATATTAAAAGAAAATATCCTAAAGTCCAAGAGAATATTGTTAAACCGCACATTTCGTTAAAACAGATATGATGTCTGTACGCAACATAACTCCGCGTGCTAACGCAGAGATCTTACAGCTTGTTCGCCTCAGATTTTGGTCAAATTTTTACAGGTGAAGAGAATATTGCCCACCAATATCCGTTGTTTATAAACAATTACAAAATTTTAAAGAGATAAGCGTGGAAGTTCAAACAGCATAACAAGAAAAAAATGGATACTAAATAAGATGCACAGTTCCTAAGTAAAGAACTTTAACCTGAACCTTGTAAACCTAGGAAATTTTCTTTTTTCAATTTTTCTATCAAATAAATAAATATTCTGCGATTTTATTTCATAAACATAGTAAGTATAATAATTAGTATACTGTATACATGTACAGTAGTTGAATTATAGATATATTTCTTTAATATGAAGAAATTCTGTAAATTCACGTAATAAGTATCAACACATTATTTACTACCTATGGGTGTTATTTTCATATTTATAAGTAAATATTCAACTAATAGAAATTTTAATTCTAAAAAATTTGGATACAACTTCTTTCGCTTGCGTCTGTTATTTTTGCTTCTTTTTATTACATGTACTACTTGAATTTTATATATACTTTCCGAATAAAAACTGTGTGTTGTTTATAAAAAAGAACGAGCACTAGTGAGACCCATATCTTAAAATTTCATCAAAATTTGTGGCAGGCCGTATACACTCTATAGCCGTATACTGCTCTATAGCCTCTACATCGGACACAAATGTCCTTGGGGCAATCTCGTTCTAATATAAACGTGTCTGTGGACATCAAAGTCAGACCACTGAATAATAAGAATGACAATCGTTTAAACTTCCTAAGACTCAACCGTACTGAATACCAAGACGATAAAAACGACCAAAGAACTAGATAGAGAACACAACACCCTGTAGCTGTTGTCACTCGGCAGGATGTAGAAAGATTTTGAACACCGAAACCTCCGAGAAAGTCGATAAACTCGATCAAACTGAAAGAAACGAACGCTTTGCCAGTCATTTTTCTGCAAACATGTCCCTTCATCGTTGCACATTTCCTCAAACCGAGTTCTTTTCTTTTAGCAAGGCGTCGATGTCCTTGAGAATATCGTCTGACGCCATGTCTAGAGTCAAAAAATCTTCCTCGTTCATATTTAACAGACTATCGCAGGATGCCATGGCTGTTTCCTTGGAATCATCCATGACACGCGTGCCAATGGACTTTCTCTCTTCATTTTTCTCCACCTGCATCTGATCCTCATCCGTACTGCTGTCGCATAACCTGATCTCCACCTCGTTTCTTTTACTCGATTCCATCGGCTTGGAACTGTTCAGTTTTTCTGACCTAGAATTTTCAGGACCCCTATCATCTTTCACGCTATCCTGTGCACCTTTACTAGATACTTCATCAGTGTTTCGCCATTCCTCTGTCTCGCCAACAGGGGCAAATCTCCTGGGTGACCTCCTGAGCTTAACAGGTGGCACATTGGTCACAGAACAGCCAGTCTTTGTACTGCTACACCTGACTTTGTGCCTGTTCGTATTATCATTAGAATCCTCGAGCTTTCTCTTCACACCCCTAACAATGGTCGTTCCTCGAAGTTCTGTTAACGTTTTCATAGTGCCCTCCAACATATCCTCAATCGACTCCCCTTCACTTTCAGAGACTGTCGTCTTGGTAAGGGACTTCAACTGTTTTTCCTGCATAGCCTTGTGCCTCTTTCTGCGTCGAATTTCTTCCAACGAGAGGACTTTGAAGTCCAAACTCTTGTCACCGCTCTCCTCTTTATCGATTTGTAGGTACAGACTGACTTTTCTAATCTTCCGTGTCTTGGCCTTGCCTTCACTCACGTCACTCTGATAATCTTCCGGCTGGTACGAATAATACGCCGCGCTCTCAGCCTGGATCTCTTCCAATCTGATCTCTTCGTAGGTCTTGCAGTGAGGAACCCTCGGCTGCGGCTTTACCGGTGACGGTACACTTTCATTGTCCGACTCTGGAAGAAACACAGGACGAAATGCAAGAATATGTTACTCGAGAATGGCGTTGGTGATTTTTTACACTTCTCGGCGGCACTGCCTTAATCTTCGGCTCTCCCAGTATATTTCTCTCACTTTACATATTCTGCAGTATACATTCATTATAGTCTAAAGTTCGACTCGTGGAAAAAGATCGATTCTGCCTTTCGAGCGCTTTTTCTATTTTAGATCGTATTAACTGTTAATTATTAACTCATATCTCTGGGGAGCAACAACTATTCTCTACTCGTGTCATTAACTTCAATGTTTTTTTCTTTTAATTTTTCGTGACGGTAGCTTACATAAGGTAGCTTAAGCGGTTCGATCGTCGAACAAAGAATTTTGGTTCTAAAATAGGGAATGCTTGAATAAATGGATTTTATACTGGAAAAGGAGAATGTTTAGTACAATTCCAATACTTTGACCGATATTCCTCGGTCGATCCATCTCCGCATCTCCTTGAAATCAACCTCCTTCGCCTTTTTCGTTCATTCGTTTTCTCGCTCTCTCTTTTTCATTTCTGCTTGGTGTATTTTCAATTTTGATATTTAATCCTTACAAGTGAAACTAGCACGTCGTTGGTAAAATTTATGAGTAAATGATATCCTGGGAATTCCCAATATTTGAGCAGCCAAAATTGCATCACAAATTATCACAAATTATGTTCAATCTCCAATTGGTGAGCTTTGCATTTATTTCATGTCTAAGTCTCTTTAGAAACTTTCTTTGAAAACTTGATTAGTCTCGTGTTAGTTGCGATTTCGAAGCATGCGAGATCGAAAAACATTCTACGAATCATCTATTCTATAAATCTTGACCAGCAGCAAACCCTCCCTTTCCTTCTCTTTCGAAGAAAGATACCATGAACGACAGAACTACTGTAATTGAAGAATTTTCTTAGCTAAATAACACGAACGAGAATAAAATTCGTAAAAATCAACCAGTACATTTCAAACCTATCTTATAACCACCGTAAAGTCTCTAATTAGAAACAGTTACCGTAAATTGATAACAAATTGAATCGGTCCTGGGCGTGCTGCCAGAAAACTTTTGTAGAATTAAAAACTTGGTAACAGTATATTTGTTCCAAATGGTAATGTCAAGAAGATCTTAAAGTAAACATTCCTTTTCACATGTATTTTTCTGTCTTTTTACAACAATAATCGACAGGTCAATGAATTCTAAGAAACAAAATTAAAATACATGTGCACTAAAATCAACAGGTTTCGAGATATTCAATTTCTAAGATACAATAAGTAACTTTATTACATGTAGTTTGAAACTTGGCATATGTTGGTATTCAAATACCCGGGGTATCTCTCGTAACTGGTTGAGCAAATAGAAATGTGATGACTTAAAACAAAAAAATAAGTTAAAAATATACAGTAAAATTTCTTCGTAGCTCACTTCGTTTTCGACATAATTGAGTTTGAATTTAAGTCGAGTACACCTGCACTGAAGCATTTGTCGGCACCCTTGCGTTATAATGAGAAAAGAGTAACACTTTTTTATTCAACGAATAGATTAAAACCTGCGACCTATGAAAAATGCTTGAGTATTGCACCTCTTGTATTGAAGAAACGCGATTCTGCATATACTAATAATGGACATCAGTGCAGATGTACTCAGTAGTCATAATTTAAACTCAATTATCTCGAAAATGAAGCGAGTTTATAATTAGATTCGTATTATTTTTTCAGAGCACCCTGTGTGTACGACCCAAGCTCTTTTTCTCAGAATTCACTGTTCTATCGTAGATTGCCATAATAATTAACCAAACTACTTAAATGATACAATCAACCTTGAAATCTTCACCATTTGTCCAATATCCACTAAATTATTATGGTGACATTATATTATAAAACTCTGCAGCTTCAACTTTTCAGTCGTTCACTTCAAACGATACTTCCTATACATTTGTAAATCGTTATCAGTGAAATTGTATACTACATTATTTAAACTTGCGACTGACTTAATCACGAATTTTACTGAAATTTAAGTAAACTATCGCAGAATTTACGCGACAAAGCTTCATACCTTCGAATTCCATAAGTATTTAAACTACATATTTCCAAACATCAAATAAGACTGAACTACAAGACAGACTAGATTTGTGAATAAGTATTTTAATTCCGTACGTACAAAATTTCAACATTATATTAAAGTTTCTATTTCTCTTGCCCTGAACTGTTATTTTTCAATGAACTTCTATACAATATATATTCTCATCGATAGGGATTTTAAAACCTGTGATCTAAAAAATATCAGTCGGTTAAAGTCAAACATGGAGGGGGTATGAATAATACTTTGGTTGTGATTCACTATAGGTATCTTAAGTGGCGAGAGGCAGTAACCCATCTTTAATGTACAAGATGTGTCACAGATGCAACAAGAAGCAATGCATCCGATGAACAACAAACAAATTTTACTAATAAATATCAAGAAGCATCGAACCGGTGCATAGAAACAGTTATAATCAGAACAAAATCATATTGTCGCCCAAAGTCACCGGGAATCTGGTCCCGCTATCATACTATCTATTCAATGCATCGTCTGTGCTCCTGAATGAAAAGAGCTGACGAGTAAAGAAAACTAAGCAAGTGTTTTTGAGCGATCAACTGGAATTGCTCCAATTATAGTCTTCGAATGCAGGGAATAACTTCAGTCTACGCAGGAAAATCGTCGCTGTTGCCCGGTGTTATTATATCTTTCTTTTCATGGTATCAAGTTTATTGAAATCCAAGTATCATCTCAATAAAAATTAATAATTTCCATTCGTTTACATCAATTCATATAGCAAGGAATTACGTGTCGCGTATAATCAGCATATATTCTCTGTTAAACAAAGTCCTTCCTCTCACGAGAATTTAGAAAGGACTAACTCTCGCCTTTGTTTCGCTATTAAACGCCAAAGTGTTCACATGTCGTTCAATCGACGCAACGGCAATATCTCTTGCTTGTTGTACCAGTCAGTAGTTCAAATTCTAACTTCTACCGAAACGACACTGGCCATAAGCTTGAACAATGACTTGGAGATCAAGAAAAATTTATTGAACTGTTACGGTGATTTGCTTCCATTCAGAGAAATGTGTATGGAACAACTAAAACAAGAACCGAAATTGTCGTTGCTCGAGTGGTCTCGCAGAACCAATTTTCACGGCGTAACACCGCGGAAAACAATCGTTTTACAATTGTAAACAAAATCGATAAATTTCCGAAAATTATAATAACAATAACAGCGGTAGCAATGACAATATAGTTATTCGAACTACTGGCAGCTGTAGTAACAATAAATAAAGAAAAAAAAGAAGAACAAGACGGAAGATAATCGATCGACGAAGTAATATAATTCAAATAGAGGACCATCCTCTGCATCGAGGATGCAAGAACAATGATTGCAGCTGGACGCACACGATGGGTATCGATTACGAAATAATGTTTAATGGTGGTAGTGGAAAGAAAGCAAAAAAGAAAGAGAAAACAGGCCTTAAATATCGTTTATAAAAGAAAATAGACACGTAACTTGAACGAAATCGATAAAGAGAGAAAACAATAGAAAAACGAAGAAACTTTTAAAGAACAATTATATTCTATTGTTAACAAAAAAAAAAGATATATAAGCTCTAATACTCTTTATAAAATGTAAGAGGAAACGAAGGTGCAAGTTGCTTAATTAAAGCACGTTTATGCCGTTTGCGATTACAATTATGTGAATCGCCGACGAACCTCGCATCATTACAACAAACAAACTGATCGTCGCTTTCCGACGATCGCAAACAATTAAAAGTCCTAAAAAACATGATTACAACATATTGCTAAATGCATGATTTATCGACTATACATCGATGTAATTTATAATTAACTCTTCCAGCGCCGAGACTCAAGCACAAAGCACATCGTGTGCGGAATTCCGCGGTTCGAACACTCGCTTCGAAGTATCCCGAACAGTGAAAGGGTTAACAGAATCTAACAAGATCTATCAAGGTCGTCGCCGGCGACACAAGTCCAGCTGCTGATCTTTTTCCTTCTTTGTAAAGTATTGTTACAGGTCAGTGCTCGTGCACTATTTTGTCTCTTATATTCACGCACACACGCACTCGTGAGGAAGTTACATAGATTACAGCCCGTTATGTTCTTTTTTTTGTTTTAAATTATAAGCGGTAATTACAATTGGTACAGTGATGCGCATCAAAGGGGATTCATCGGATTTGGAAAGCTAAAAATATCGTTTACATTAAGTTTCATTTATACACTGCTTTTGTAACAGGTTGATCACTGAAACTTTATGACCGAAAATGTTTTTTTATGTTCGTGATTCCTTAATTTAAAACAAAATTTCATTATATTTGTCAGAAAACTTTTGTTTTGCTTCTATACGAAAACAGAAGCATCCTTGAACAAATTTCGAACAGCATCGAGCCAACGATATCGAATATTTCAGAATATACAAAAGCCTATAACTCTAAAGAAGTGATTTAGTATACTTCCTAATTTCATGAGTGTGCTACATCACAATCAAAAAATTCACGATTAAATCCACTGAGATTAGCTGTTGACACAATCGTATGTATTAAGTGTAAGTTAGTTTTCTCACAAGTTCTATACAGTAAAAATGAGAAAGAAAAAATTATAGACGAAGTTCATACTCTATTAATTTTACACTATTCCTCCTTATAATACACAATCTCTCTTCGTTTCGTCCTTGTACATACACATTTTCGTTTTTCCTTCTATTTCTTTCCATCAACAACTGCTCAATCTAAATACAGTTATATGACATCCCTGTTCTTTTCAAGATGTCATATAAAATTACGTATAAAATAAGAAATCTCTGTCTCTATTATCACGAGACTTAAAGCTGCGCTTGTCTGTCCCATGTATGGTTTGCATGATTTGCTAAGAAAACATTATTTTAATTGATACAAGAAAAAAACTTACTAAAAAGTGAGATTAAATTCTAGCAAGGACTAGAACGTTCAGATTCTACCCGTATAAAATTAGAGACGAAAATATTTCGAATCCTTTTTTCACGATCAATGTTCTACGCGCTCGATTTACTCAATCCCTCGATTATTAATATATCATTGACAACTCGATATATTATATACATCTCGTGATGCCATCAAATTCTCGTAATGAGGATTACATTAGTTTTTCTTTACATTTCTCGTGCATATGTGTTTGTGTACACACCACCCACACACCCACACACGCACCCCATACACACACCACAGACGCTCGCACGCGCGCACACACACGAACACACACACACATATATAATGTATATATGTATATTAATAAAAATATGTATATTAATAAAAAATAATAAATATTGCAATTTGCCATCACCGAGGTCTAGGACACCTTCGTACCAGAAACGTTTGGTTTTTTCATTAACTGTTTTACCAACTTTTTTCGACTAACACATAAGTGAAGCGACACGCGACTGAACGAAATTCAAAGTACTATTTTATATACCGAGTTCCGCTGTTTGCTTCACGTTAAAATCTACGTACATGTAAATATGTCTGAGTGCATGCAATAGTGTATTAAGTGGCATTTCTCTTCTTTAGAAATTCCTCCGCTTATTGGCATTTGCCAATTTATACGTACATAAATATATAAATACACATCTATTTATATATTTATATTATAGTTAAGTGTATTATATAATTTTATATTTCATTATTCTAACTTCTTCATCTCTTTCTCGCGTACGATTTACGTCGTTTTCGATAGTCAAAGTCATCCCTTCTCTATTGTTAGCCTTTTCATATTTAATCGATACGTTTATCGTTCAATTAATCAAAAAGGACAACTTCGGTAAAAGAAAACGGAACGTGTCTGTATATCTTGTAAGCTTCCGTCGATCGGACACTAAATGAAAGACTCGTTTATCCGCTTGCTCGAAAATGCGTTTTATATTTATCAATTAATTTTTCGTATTTTATTTCACTCGGTACCCCAGCATCCTCGTGATTTCTCTCTCATTCACCTTTCCTGTTTTTAGCAGTTATAACTCATAGTTTCATGCTACACAAGATACATAATCTGATATACATATTAATTTAAAAAAAAAAAAGAATAAGAAGAAGAAGGAAATTCGTTAGAGTTCCGTTTAAAGCGTTTGAATATCTGCTTAGTACCGTGCAGTTACTATTCGTGGCAACGTTCACTTCTTCTTAAACATACAACTTTCCATATATTTTTCTCTTGTTCATTCTCTTCATGCAAAAGACGCGACGTACCAGTAGAACAGTCTGCACACTATTGTAACAAATTTGTTTGTTTAAATACAAGACATCGCTGTTACGCTGTGTTATCTCAGCCCGCTTAGACTACATAGACACTAATTCTTAATAAAAGCCAAAACATATGAAAGCATTATATTATTTGTGTGTACGCATTATATCAAGGCTAGGATACGATTCGATCGGATACTACTTGCCCTAAATGTAAACTTATTTTTGCGTGTTCACGGTTATCTCTACTCATATCTCTTAAATTTTCATTTTAAATAAAGAAAGTTGTTACAATCAATCGCGTGTTATAGTATATGCAATACTGCAGAAAAACGAAAGCACGTGTGCGCGTGTATCTGAGGCATTATTCGATTTGAGTAATATAATTTCTTGACTATATTTCAAGAAGCTCGACGCATAACCTGAAATACGAAATGTATTCCGCCTTAAGTTATTTTCGATACATTTGTTTTCGATTCTATAAAATGACTTTTTTAAAGCGTTATGTCTCGAGCTCGAAGTACGAGGTTTTCACCTATTTTGAAATACTCAATGCCTATATTTAGACAAACTCTTCACCCTACTGTTATGATGTTGAATCGGCATCAAGTACCTGTACAAATTCAGATTGTGTGTGTGTGGCAAAGCGACGACCCATAGCTATCTTCTTATTTATCCAGTACAGTTTTCATTTCGGTATCATATAGCACATTGAAAGGACGTGGGTACTTCATTCTTGTTTTCTATGTGGCATTCAGGAAAATTCGAGGCTCATCGCATTGTCGCTGGAGAAAGATAGCCATAGGCAGTTAGAGGGCTACAGGCAAAGTTTAGATATAGCAGCCCCTGGAAAAATTGATATTCAAATCTACCTTTTTTTTTTGCTTACTTTTGATCATTTTTGTTTGTTTATAAGAATGTCATATTCTTTTAGGATGACAATTATTCCAGACTTTTCTAATTGATAAAGTATTGCATTATAATTACTGTGTTCTGGTAAATGTAAATATTAATTACTATTCAAGAAGTTTAAAACAATTTCACTCTGAACACAGCTTTTTCAAATCAATCTAAATGTTGCATGTTATCCCTCTTCCCAATGGTAACCATTGTGTATATAAACTTATATTTTTATAATCAATCCTATTGAAATAGTATATAGTTGTGACTATAGTTTAAAAGTGTAATGAGCACAAATGTTTGAAACCACCGTTCCATGAAATCATTCACGTATCAATATGGTTTTATGATCTTATTCTATCCAATAATAAAGACAACGATATAGACTGATCACCTATTGCTTATCTCTACAGTTTTTCCTGGTTAAGGAAACAATATTCCCATCTATCTTCTTTCATCATCTCTTCATGTTAAATAAAACTAAGTAACTGTATATAAATATCGATAATGCTAAGTGGTGCAGTCTTTATTATTGTAAAGGCAATATAGAGTATTTGATGAATTTAGAATACATTGATGCTTCTAATACTATTAAAAGCCAGTATTATCTGCAAATATGATATATCTTCTTAATCACACTGATGCAGCTTTAGCTATTTTGTTTTTATAAATGGTTTATCCTTTTCTTAATTATTGGTTCCTATTAATTCACTTTCTGAGAAATGAGTCAAGCGAAGATCGATTAAGTATCGGAAATGTACTAATGTCCCTAGTACTCAATCAATTAAAATAATCTGTAATTAAACCAATTTTTCAAAGTAGGAAGTACAACGTTTCGCGTAAAAAATATCATATACGCTTATATGTATACAATACTTTACATTGTTTAAAGAGCAATAGTCATTTAACGTAGTTATATATCTGTTTTCTCGTTTTATCACTATTTCTTTAGTGTAGTGTAACTATGCCAATTATAGTTCACTGGCGATGGAGATATTCATGGTCATAACCAGAATATTTTATAAACTTCAAAATCGTTTATAGGAGTTCATTTCGAAGTATGGGAAGGGAAATCTTGATGTTTGAGACTGAGAATTTTGACGTGTATGTATAGGTGAATATGGTGGTTGCTGGAGAAGTGGAGAATTCTGTTGATTTTGCATTGGCGATAATGACTGACCGGGAGAATGTGAATGTAGATTTTGCGGATGGGGAAATGATAATGTATGATGACAAGGAGAAGCCTGTGAATTTTGTACATTGGGTTGTGGTATGTTCAAATTGTTCGTGACGTTGATATTATTTAGTAAGTTAAGACTGTTAGAAACGTTATTGGGGATTGTCAGATTGCTGGGTATACTGAGTGGATTTGGAATCCTTATACTCGTTTGTAAATTGGGCGGAAGGGAAAGAGTAGCCGATGTAAGATAATGTACGCTGAAAGATGGACGGGGGGGCTAGTAAAGCCTCATACCTTCTTCAAATTTGACGATAAGAGGATCAACAGCTGGACTGCCAATAAAACTGCCTGCTTCACTACTTCCTCTACCTTGATCTGATTCTGTGCTGTTACCATCATATTTTATATCATCTGTCAACAAAATTAACAAATTTATATACATATAGCAATATATAAAAAATAAATAAATAGAATACTATTAGATGAGTGTGACTGTTTTATCGGTTATGAGTAACAAGACAAACTTTTTTTAATAATTTTGTGTAATACTTATGTACCTAATCACAATGATTTGTACAAAATTTTCATATTCTACACCTCAAAACTAAGAAATTCCAACAGAACCAAACCGTTTGTTTCATGAAATATAATCATTTTTTACTTTGAAATATTATGTCAAAGTCAGTGTCATGTAGTTAAATACTATATATATATATATGCAACTTGATATTACGCGTAGACCATTTTCAAGAAACAAAGTGAAATTATTCGTTAACTGTTAGGTTTACGGCTAATAAAGGTCCGTATTCTTTTACTCAAAACTTAACGCTCTTCGATATTTTAGCATAAAAAACATAACATTCCATTTTAAAAAACGACGTTGTCCTTCAAATCTCCGAAGCGCCTCCACTTAAAAAAAAAATATATACATTACATAATGTATTCCTAATATACAACTTTTTTATAAAAAGTTTCTTCATACAATGCATACTTTAGAAGTTATTCAGAGTGAACAAGTTGCATGGACCACCCTGTGTGTGTGTGTGTGTGTGTGTGTGTAAATAGATGGCCTCATACACTCTATATCAATTTTATACAGTCAAGTATAATTCAGACTTAACCCTCTAGTGAATGCTGTTCTGCCCTCAATAATGTAAACACTTTTGCATCACATATTTTTAAGTTACCACAGTTATGATTTGTTCGTAATTAATAATTACTGCCATATTAAATATTTAATTTCAACAAATATATAAAAATTACATGTTTATTTTCTAATACATTTTTTTTACAAATTTTACGTACTAAAAGTATTTTCAAGTATGACACTTAGTAAGACGTCCCAGTAAATGAAACTGATGTAACATGACAGAGTTTATAAATGTATTTCACTTCTTTTCCTGTTTGCAATGCACACTATTGCAGTGTTCTGTAAGGAAATTCCTTTTTCTAATGGGAGCTTTATACAGGAATGTGTTGCTCTATATCACCTGAAAACCTTTGTTGATGATCTTTACAGAGTTCTCTTATTAGCAATGTTTGAGCAAAAATTAATTTATATAATAAGTCACAAAGAGACGTCTGATACCACTTGTCAGTGGCAATGACTATATTATGAGATAATAATTGATCTCGACTGATTAATAGAAAATGCAAGATATCTCGTTATCCATCTGTAATGTATTAAAACTGGGTTAACACGTTAAGCGCCGAGCCTACTTTGTTGTCCTTTCCGTTCACGCCACGATATGCCAGCAGCCAGGAAAGATACGTAAGGTCGCCATAATATGACATGTATATCTTCATATATATTCTTTGTATGTATCGTATCGAAATCTGTATACTATTATGCGTATTTTTGTAGATTCTTTTAGAAATGCTCAAACAATTTAATATAAAAGTATAATTTTTTAAATTATATATCGTCAGTCACCGGTGACTGACGTGCGCTTAACGTGTTAAGCAACAAATTTTATAATAATACATTAAAATGACCTTTATATTCTCCAGTTAATTTTTCAGGCTCTCTCAACTGTCTGCCTCATCTAACAGAATATCTGATGATCTTTAGAGTGTATGAAACCATTAATAGCCTATTTTAATTGTTTTCTGTTCATATGTTTTTATTATCCATGTAAAAAATTCTACAATGATTTAAGCAGATGAAAATTGACTAACAGAATGTTAACAAAACATAACTGGTATAGCAGACTACTTTCCTAATTCCTTTATGTTTAATTGTGGCAGTATAAAGTCTATTGTTGTCATATTAAAAATATTAAAAACACCAAGGTGCTACTACTATATAATGTATTTTTTATACTTGATCAATTAAATGATGTTACTATCCGATGTACAAAAAAACTTTGGAACTTATGCAATATTTTATAGGTAGAGACAAAAATGACTTACCTTGACGATTTAACCATTCTTGATTTAATGACTTTGACGTTAGATCAGAATTCTTCACTGGATTAATGGGATTACTAGTAATTGTTCGAGCATTTTTATGCATAAATGAACAATGAGGTTTCCTACAACCTCCAGGCTGTGTTTCCCAATAACATGGAATTGACTTACGATTTTTCTGTTCAAATATTACAGATTCAATATTAATAACTTGATAAATATTCACTTGAAAAGTTCATTACTTTTAAACTCAAAATGTACTTACTTTTAATTCCATATGCCTAAAATTACAATGTTCATCAAGGCATTTACCCTGCTGCCAATATATGCACATAGTTTCACAACCCAAGGCAGATGGTTCATGTCTAAAAGGACACTCATCACCCTTCGAACATTATTAAAAAGAATAATTAATTAAAATATAAGTAGATTTGAAATAAAATAACAAATATTGCAAGCAAAGTGTGCCATCGTCATCATAAATAATTGCAGTGCTCATTTATTCTGTCAATACTGCAAGGTAATGACTTTAATCTGAAGATCCTTTACATGCAATAAAATTAATTTTATTATCAACATAACATGGTTGTCACATTGTCCCTAAACAATTAACATAGAATTTTGTGAAACTAATAACAGACATTTATAAATGTAGGTACTGTTAATATCATCAAAAAATCTAGAACATTATACAAGTAAAGAAAGATAAAGTTAAGGTTTTTAAAATACTCATAATTAGAAAGTGGTAGTGAAATGGAAAAAAGATTATGCCGGTAAATAATTAATTTATTAATTATTTGGAAAAGCAAGGTATCGTGAAACATGGCTTCAACATGGCCGATCTAACCTCGAGATTAAATGGATCAGAAACAATATGGAAACAAATTTATCAAACACTTCAAATTTGATTGTGGTGTGTAAATGTAACAAATATTCCGTTCAAATTGTGAATGATAGAAACTTACCTTTTTGCATGTAGAATAATAGAAAAAATAACAGTCGGTATTCTTATAATTGTGCTCCATTTGCAAGAATTGATAGAATGATGAATGATCGTGTTCCTTGCTGTAACAGAACATGTTTAAATTCATCGATGCAATCGAATACAATAAAATGCAAATAGAAACAAAACAAAATGAAACATAAAACTTTACCATTTTGTACGAAACATGATTACAAGTAATGTTGAACCTTAGTTGAGCGTTAGATTCAATTGTATTTGAAATTAATTTGAATTCAGAACTATCATGATCACGAGTATTCTATTGATGAAAATGACCTTTTCTCGATGTGTATTGCTTGTATATTCATTACTTACATGTGATAGCAACGATTCCTTAGGTGACTTCTTTTTTGCCTCTTCGCTTTGACCTACACACTGAACCGACTCGCACACAAATTCAAGTAAGTAAATAGTTCGACCGACCGTAGCTTGTCGCTCCTTTCGTTCGTTGTAAATGCTATTCAGTAATAGATACGAGATACGACGCAGCGTAAACTTCCGAGGAAACGCGAAGTTTCGCGAACGTTTGCGCGCGTTTTTCTAATCCGTTATTGTTCATTCTAAGGTTAGTTTTAATTCCTAATAGAAATAATTCAAATACTCTACTCTAAATAATGAACTTTCAATTTACTACAAATGTATATAATGACGTTTTAAATATAATACGAAAACCAAACATGGTATGTAATTTCGTTTGTATAGTCAAAAAATAAAATATTTTTTATGTATGTACTTACATACATAATATTGTTTTAAAAATTTTTGAAACTCTTATATTAGATGTTTTATGTGCATGTTTTTTTTTATATTTGTAATTTAAAATTATATGTACAAATTTCATTTTAGAAATTCAAAGATAATGAAATGTTTTATTATTTACTATTTAATATTTGAAACTTATGATGACATCCAAATTTGGTTACTAGTATAATAAATACATACATTTATATATACATTATTTCTGTATGAAATTCAACAATGCTACAACATTCTAGGCAACATACTTTATTGTACATTTCTCGCATGAACATATAATTCAAACATTTCCATTTTATTTTAACACAAGTAATAAAGTATTTGAATGAAAATTTGCTAAAAATGTTATGCACATACATATACATACAAATGATACAAGCAAAGATTAGGTTCAATATAAATGACACAATGATTTAAGTACAAACATATTACCATATACAAATTAACTGTATGAGCAACTGTGTAAAATTGTACCTCTTATTAAAAGACTTAGAAAAAGCTAAATATTCCATTTTCATTAGTTTATTTAAACTCTTATCTTTATAATGGTTTTCATAAATTACAATACATCAGTTACAAGAAATACACTGAGAAAAATGAATACAAAATATTTACTTGAGGAAGCATAAAAAAATAATTCCTTGAAACCACACCCAACCAGGTAATTAAAGTATATCTGTAAATCAATGGATATGAATGTACTAACAGTATGAAGACTTGATGATTAATCATGTTTTCTAAAAAATATTATCAACGTATCAGTAGCATACTGTCAAAACTTTTAATACTGTACAGTAATCAGAACTATGTAGATTAATGTTCATATAATCAATTTTTCATGTAATTTAGTGATTGCATACATGTATTTATCCTTTATAAATTGTGTAACATCCTATTTTCATTACATTTTTATCTATTAACCATCAAATAACTGTACACATTCACATTGAAACTATTATTTAGTAGTACTTTGCTATTAAATAAATACTACACTGCTCAAAATAATTAGAGGATTAAATATTACAACCGCTGTGTTCATCAATATGGCTTATGATTCCTGGAAAGTTTTTCATGCAAACAAAACTAGGTGTTAATATTGTATAGAAATATTGTTAATTTATCAAACCTATGACATTCTTTTGGCTTAATTGATGCTGCAGGATCTGTTTTAAGAAGAGTATTTCAACTCATCTTCTGTTGTGATAATCATGATTCTATTATACATAAATATCAAATGTAGAATTTAAAAAATGCATTTGCTGATTGTGTCTACATGAAAAACTTATCTTACAAATTTTTTGCTAAAATTCACTGTAGAAAGTAATACCCTATACATAAATGTTAATATTCACATAATGGGTATCTTCATAACTATTATAAAGTAGTCTAGAATTTTCTTTTTCTGCATTACAATAAAAATTATTAAATCATAAAGTCACTAATACAGTAAAATTTTAAATAAATACCTATATTATTACATACTATTGAAATCAATTTTTAACATATTTGAATATGAAACAATTTGCTAATATTTAAGATTTATATATAAATACTTTAAGAATCATATGATGATAATTTTACAAATTTTATATTACAAATGTAACTCAATATAGTTCTCAAAATTAAGTTGTTAGTAGTTTTACGAACGCGTTGCGATTCATAGCGAATGCTACTGCGGGAACTCGCCCGGCAGACTCGCGCTCTGATGGGTTGACGTTTTTTGTTAATATCTCGTTAACAAAGCCTCGGATAACATTTTTGCTAAGAAAAAGTTGTTTCAAATCATCTCAGTATATGTTAATTTATACTATACATATTGTGTTTAATAGTTAAACATTATTAATAATCAATAAGATCGATTTAAGATACGTAACTAAAAGGAAGCATTTCATTATGATATTATCAACAAAAAGATCTGTCTCACTTGCAGATTACAGGAACAGATGTATATAATCCCTGATAGTCAATTATGTACAAGTTTCGATCAAATTGCCAGCAATAAATGACAAAAGTTGCCTAAAAACCATGGCCATCTGTTTCCGCATTTGACTTGGGTTTTGCAGTCAACGCCAACTAACAAAGTGGCAAAGCAAATTGGCAGAAGTCTTGCAACATTTACATGACCTATATCAGATTGAGGGCAAAACGGGAAGAAGGTTTGCGCAAGCCAATTTGCTGCATATGTTGCTGTCAATTTGCTGCCTATGTTGTTGTCAATGTACGCGCAAGTTGTTTATAGCAGATCTTGCATCAAACTTGTAGCCATAACTTTATAACAGGCATTAGATAAAATTTGGCTTTGCAGTTTGGCTGACTGAGAATATACAATGACAGCCAAGTATACTTCATGTTTATAATATTTCTAAAAGGCATGTTGGACCACCCGGAGTGTAGTGATTTCGGTAGATATGTATTTCTATATATTTTCTATAGGTATAATACATGGGTCACTCCATGCGAAATCGGGCACCTTTTGGAGCACCATTACGGATTTTGTTCCAATTTGAATATGTTGTAGTCTTCATCGATATATAAACGGATATTAAAGAATTTTTGAAAATTTAACAAATTGTAGATTTTACAGCTGCTTGAAATTTAAGGTCAACCTTTTCTAAAAATCATACCTATCGAACTAACAAGTTGATCAAAATGAGCTTTGCGGGTACTTACAGTGGAGACATAAAAGTACCAAATAAAAATTATTTCAGTTAGAAGAAAATATTTTATAACCATGTATTTTGTAATTGTTTTACAGAAATGTAATTTCATAATAGTAGGGCCCAATTGAAAAATTTGAAAAAAATTGAGGATGTGGTCCTATTTGTCTTCTTTATGGACAAATTTTAAAAAATGTAGAGACTTTAAAATTGGCGATATGAAAATTGATTGAATTTAACGCTGCGTTGAAGCCCATCGACTCGAACGGGCGAGCCGTACCGGCTAGCCTAGTACCACACGGCTTGGCCGGTAAAGCCGGTGTAATTCGATGCAGCGTTCACTTCAATTAATTTTTATACCGCCAATTTTAAAGTGTCCATATTTTTGAAGATATGCCCATAAAGAGGACAAATAGGGCTATATCGTCATTTTTTTTCAATTTTTTAAATAGTTCGGCAGTATAAAAACAGGGCATTTATTTAAAACAATTGCAAAATAAATGGTTAAAAAATATATTTTTTTAACTGAAATAATTTTTATTTGGTACTCTTATGTCTCCACTGTAAGTACCCGCAAAGCTCATTTTGATCAGTTTGTTAGTTCGATAGTTATGATTTTTGGAAAAGGTTGACTTTAAATTTCAAACAGCTGTAAAATCTACAATTTGTTAAATTTTCAAAAATTCTTTAATATACGTTTATATATCGATAAAAACTACAACATATTCAAATTGGAACAAAATCCGTAATGGTGCTCCAAAAGGTGTCCAATTTCGCGTGGAATGATTCACATAGAAGATTGTTGCATGCTCTTAGGTTCAACATGCTTTCTAAATGTCAACCTGCTTTTTATTTGATAAAACGAATATTTATATAATTGAATCATTTAAATAATGCACATATAAAACTGTATATATTTAGAATTATTCATATCACAAATTATTACGTTTATGAGATGTAGTCATTTCTGAATCTGGCTGTGTGTATAAATAAAAATACACAATATTTTTAAAAGTCTTATATTCCTTTCTTTTCCAACCAATAATCCTGATAAATATTCTGTTTGATATAATAACTTGATATTAACAACATTTCTTGTTACAAATTCTTTTAGTGTTAGAGTGCATAAATGGTGATATTTCATCTTCTAAACGAATTGTAATAAAACAAATAACGTAAAGAATGATCGAATACGTCATAGTGAAAAAAACTTAAAAACGGAAGTCTAAAACTGAGGAGACATCTGCGTGACGACCATTATTAACAAGTATTAGAAAAATACCTCACATTTTATGACAAAAGGATTGACCAGCAACCCATTGTGGTAACTAAATTTAGTGGCAAACAATGGTAAATATTAATATATTACAATGACAAATTATGACATCATTATTAATTCATTATAAGACATTATCAGATTGTGATTCTGATTAATGCAATTGAATAATGTTCATTTTCAAAGATTGTGTAAGTAAGATTATAAACGTCAATATTAGTATATACTTTTAGTTCAACAGTAATACAAGAAATAACACAATGTTAATGTTACAGTCTTATCAAAACATTTCACATTATTACTGTATATCATATAACAGTCATTTTCTTATCTGTTCTTCTTTATCAAACAATAATATTAGTTGCACAGTCAGTATATGTATAAATATAAACAATTTTACAGTATCATTACCAAACTAGAAAGTCTATCCATAGGCTCAAACAACATATTGTTCAATATCCAATTAAGTTTCATATTCCTTATATCACTCTTACATTCAGTTAAACGTTACTCATGAAAATCGTAAAAATATTTATGACGAAGACAAGGGAAGCATTAGTAAAAAAATGTATATTCAATTCTCTGTTCATATATTAGATAACACCCATCGCTATGAAGCTAAATATATACTGCAACTTTTGACTAGTACCTTATAATTATGTTGTGTACATGTGCAACGAACGATATAGCAAACACTAACATACCCGTATATACATTAGTTTTAAACGTACATGTCATAGTATACAGCAAATGCGCATTTACATATTTACTCATAATACTATTCATACAATTAGTTTCCGTGTATTTATGTATATATTAAATATTTACTAATATTGCCATTATACTTATCGCCTTGTACTTCATCATAGTAAGAAAGTTTTCTTTGTATTTGTTTAATTGTATAAGTCTTGATATCGTAGCTACTAAACAATTATGGTAGACAAGTTAAACTATAAAAGAAAAATTATCACTTTTAAGAAACTATAATACGCATATCACTGATGTTTTCTTTTCTTTCATAAAGTTAATAAAAAATTGGGTATGTTAAATAGAAGTATTAAAACAGATTCAAACTTGTCAATGTCATGTACTCTAAAATGTAAAAGAAAAAGAAATCAATAAGTCGATCCGGTGTACCAAATCAAAAATCGAACCCGAAATCTTTCGCCTGCTGAGCGACTATTTCCACCATTAAGCTTTCCAGGTCGTCAGCAAATTCTTCTTTTAACATACAAACATAAACATCGTATGGTAGCTGCGCTCCAACACTTACAATAATTGAATATAAATGAACTTAAGAATTAACACACCAGTTTAATAACTTCAACGTGGGTTCACGTATTTCGTAATTACGAAAATCACTTGTAAGTGATTAAAATTATTATTATTATTATTATTATTATTATTATTATTATTATTATTATTATTATTATTATGACTTATTTGAACTACAACACTTTGAACAATCAAAACAACTGGTATGCTATCTTTTAGTTGACCAAGATGTTCGGGTACCACCAGTTCCAATTATTTGATTTTGTAGCTCTGTTATTGTTTCTTGCAAGGCTTTCTTCTCTCGTAGAAGCATTTGTATATCTTCTTGCGCTGCATTCAAATGAGACTTTACTGTATCAAATTCCTCCTTTATGTGCATTAGTTTTGAATTTTCCTCTGATAATTTTTCCAAAGTATCAAGACGTCGACGAAGTTCCTCATTATCAGATTTCAATTGTTTGCTGGACTTTCTCAAAATGTTCAGTTCGATTTCATGATCTATATTTTCATCTGTTTGATTATCATTGTTTAATAATGTTGTGGTAAAATCATTTGTATTCAATGTGTGTACTAAAAAAACAGAATATTTTCATTAGATAACAAATAAGTTTAAAAAACCACATTTTTTAATGTGATTCAATTTGGTAATGAATAAACCATACATTTATGTCAACTATACTAAATAAAAAAAGTTAAATTATTGTTTCATTAATAAACAATTTATTGTATATGTATAACATATATGTTACCACTATATGTTGTTCATTCATGCTGATTTATAAATTGCATAATCTATAAGAACTGCAGTGAGCATGTGTGTTCGTTTACAAAAATTACTGTCATCAAATTAAAAAAAAATCATACCTAATTACACTGTCCAATAAATTTTAATCTTAGTTCTGTTTTGCAATATCTACTAGGTGATCCTTGTAGAATTTTTCACCCTGAACACGAATCCGCAAGCAGAATTGCTCTATCACCGTCAGCTTTTGAAAAACACGAATTTTTGTAAAAACACGATTTCGAGGAAAAATGGTGTATTACGTGAAAACTAAAAATGCGAGAAAGTTTATTTTAGTCTTAACAGATACAGGAGAGTTTCCTAATTATACTAGTGTATACAGTTATTAAATTTTGTAATTTTTAATTGTTATGAATAGACGTCAATTTTTAAAAAAATTGTGAATTTTTACGAAATCGTGTATTTTTACAAAAATTCGTGTTTTTCAAAAGCTGACGGTGATAGAGCAATTCTGCTTGCGGATTCGTGTTCAGGGCGAGTAATTCTATAAGGATCACCCAGTAAATATTGCAAAACAGAACTAAGGTTAAAATTTGTTGGACAGTGTTGTGTGCACATCTTAGGATTGATTCGTAAATAATCTATTTGACAAAATGTTAAGCAATAAATTCTAACACTAATCATCTACTTTTATTATATCAATGCTCACATTGGAAAGGCCATCTGAATGCACAGAACAATTACAACAAGTACAGAATATTAATTACAAAAAGTAAGGAAATATATACATATCTGCCACTTGCATGTATTTCAAAAAATCACTAAAAGCTATATCCTACTGTAGTACTAGCAGCTATAATTAAATTACTACATACGTATTTGCGTTTATATTATGCATCTGTTAGCATTATAATACTGGTCACAATGAATAAAAGAAAAACGAATACAAATTACAAGTGGCGGAAAACAATATCATTACCAATATATATTATTACTTACCGATTGGTTCAATATGAAAGACGCCATTTGTATCACGTACTATTCTAAGCTTTGAAATATTTAAATCTATAGGAACCGGTCCAGGCGAAGTTATATTATTTGGAGGACGATCTTCATTTAAACGCAGTGATATGCTTTCTAGGTATACCTGCAATAAATGTTATTATACTTTAAGATTGATTACAAATGCAAGAATATATGCATATTCGAACAAAAGTGAGTAGTAATTTTTTATATACCTGCATTGGTATTGGCTTAGGTATAATTTCATCTTCAATTAAGTCTGCAAGTCCGGTTATTGAACTCATTGACAAGGCCATTGATATATCGTTACCTTTAACATCTAATTTGTCTTCAAATAAGTCCAAAACACTTTGCCTATTGTGTATATCAATGATTCCAATATCAACTTCTTCTTTAGTACTGTTACTTTCATTTTTAAATGAATGTGTATTCTTGCTATATGGAGTTTGGCTTGCTCGAGACAATTTGTAAGCATCTGATTTGCACTTTAAATCATGATCCAAACGAAGTTTGATACATGATCTGCAGTTCGAATCTGAAGACAATTCAACCCAACCTCTAGATCGTGCACTAAATTTTGTCTAGGAAACAGAAATGTTAAAGAAATAAATTTATGTAAGAATAAATGCATATGTTAGAAATTTGTCATGGATGGTTTATATTGTTTGTTATTTTAAGTTATAATTCTTAAATGCACATCACCGAATCAAAATGAAATTTTAAATACAAAAATTACATTTGTAGCCAAAGGTATCAAAGTTCTACAATTAATAAATAAGGAAGATATAAATTTATAAGGATTGAAGATAACTGACAAAATAGATTCCAATGTATAAAGTAATGTAATCCTTATCTACGCGATGAAAAATGATTTAGAACATTTTAAAATATGAAAATGGTACGATAAGCACAAAAACATCATTTTATGAATAAGAAACCATTATAAATAATAGTATACATGCTGAAAATTCTATTTATTTTAGAAATTATTTTCACTATAAGTAGAAAATATTATTTGATGAATTAGGCCAATAAGTGATGTTTACAGTAATATTATGCTCGCGGAGCATAATAATAATTTGAATAATCACATACTTTTAACAAATAAATATACTACATTTTCTTTATATCAAACAATAATTTATAAGCTACTAATACAATTTTTATAACTTTTAATAAAGGAAACATAATAATCTGTTTTATTTTATTTGATTTTATTTTATTCACGTTTGCAATCTTACAAGAGATCACCAACAAAGTGACAATCGCCAATTCTTATTAAGTTTGGTAAAAGAAGAACATCGAAAAAATGACACATATTTTTTTATCGTCTATCATTCATATAGGAAGGCGGAAAACACCTCTTACAGTTGGTAATGGAAATCCTATTCCATTTTCTATGTTATCCTATTCCTATTGTAGCTGAAATCGCGGAAGCTATTAGAGTCAGATAAACAATTTTAATTGCAAAATTGTGTCTTTAAACAATGAATAGCTTCACATAAATAAATTTCTACAAAATTCATTCATTTAATAATCATATTACAAATTATTACATTTTTTTATTTTCCCTAGAAAGGTGCTGATGACTTAGTGCTGATCGAGTTTTGCGTGAAGGGTATCCCCGCATAAGGGGGTCAAAAATGCCCTTAGACCGATTTGGACTTGTGATATACCATTTGATAGTTTACCAAGAGAAAACTATATGTATATCAATTTTCAATCTTCTACCTCGACCAGAAGGATAGTAATGGGGAAACATCGAATTACGCGGTTTTTCCTCCATTTCTCCAATTTAAACGCATGCAAAAGTTTTGTAAAAAATCTGATAGATAGTAGTTACCGGAGGATGTATTAAGAGAATTTTTTGAGATTTTGTGGTTGACAATATTAGTCCATTACTTCCATATCTAGTAAAACAGTATACAAATTAGAAAATTCAATTAATTTAAGTAAAAATGTACTGTATTCGTTATACATATATATATTAAAGTATTGCCGTACTTCCAAGAGTGTCGTTGGTTGTGCGACTAACAAGGAGAAAGTACAGTAATCGGGTCGCCGATTTTAAACAAACTTTTTCTGATGTATCTAAAGCAAAAGTGGGCAAACATGTGTATCCGAGCGTCTGTTCACATATGCATTGTATATAAAAATATTTATGTTAAAAGTTTCGTCAAACTGAAGGTTCACCCAATGGCATTCCTACTATTGGTGTCACCCCATGTGGTAATTCATGGTGTCATCCCGTCTCTTTCAATGTTATATAAATGTTTGAACGTTAGAAAGCGTGGATTTAAGAATTGATAGGGAATATCACTTATTGTAGAAAAGAATTTACAGCTAAAAAGTTGGCAAAAATGTAATTTTTTAACATACATTTTTTTACATGATGTCACTCGATGCGGGCCGTACCGTACCTTCCACACTCCCCTAGAGACGCCACTGGGTTCACCATAAGTATAAAGAAAAATTAATGAAATATCGAATGTTTTAATAATTGCGCGTCTAGCGTGTTAAGCTACAAATCGACGGTTTGTAAGTTCGAACCCCCCCTCGATAAGCTCAGTATTTTTTACTCACGTTTTCAAAATTATAAATTTATAAATGTGTTATTTCAATGAATAATGAATAATTGTTAGAGAAAAATTGACACACTAATAAACTATATATTTTTTTTAACAATTATCTGTAATTTAAAGAATTACCTTTGACAAGAAAATTGACACTCATAAGAATGATATTTGTCAACGGCTGTGTGTAACATAGACTTCACTATTTCGGCACATATAAATTGAGATCTTTTGAACGGTTTTTCAGGGATTCGAACCGCCCCCGAACTCTAACTCAAACCCGATTAACAGCCCCTCAGGGGCTGCAGCCGGTGAATACCGGCTGTCTAATTCGACTGGACTATTATTCAAGCTGGCAAAAGGTATTCGAAGTTTTCTTCAAAGTCTTCAAATAAAGATACAGATAAAAGATGAAAATTTTATTCAACACGACGGATGAAACGCGATTCTAATAAAAAAAGTATCTTTATTCGTTGAATAAATTCTTATCAAATAAATTTATTCATTCAATGTTCTTTCTGCGTCCCTTTTACGAAATATATGTGTACGCATTTATTTTTAACCCGTATCAATTATGTCAATAAAAGATAAATAAATATTATTTCAAAGAGCAGATTTGTATAGTATTCCATGTTTTTTGTACATGGAATACCCGGAATATATATTATGTCATTTTTACAATTTGTTTCTCGGGAATACCACTTCCAATATTTCGTATGTAATTTCATTAATTAAACAAAATAAGCATCATTGCAAGTACGAATAAAAAAGGTTCATCCTTGCACACATTAGTACGTATTGTTTAATTCTCGGATGTCTTTCCCTCGCGCCGTTCTTTTCCTGCGTTCGGCTAGAATCGAAATCTCGCTACGAGCCGTAGGTATTCCATTGTTCTCCTGATGGGCAAAATGGTAATAAGAGACATGTGGCAACAGCGTCACAAAACTTTCGATACGGTCCGGCACTATTACGTGTTGCGAGGTTACATTTACCGACTGGCTGACATATACATATGTATCGCAAGTCCAAATCGGTCTAAGCTTTGTATAAATCTCCGTTAAATTTCATCAAAGTTGGTAACTATCACCTTGGGAAGATTTTTTGTTAGATAAGAGTACTCTGTGCATTATTATTAACGTTTTACGTATTGTCTATATATGTAATGAAGCTGCAAATTCATACACAGGATAAAGTACAAAAATTCTTTTCAATATTCGATAATTTATACGACACTTGAAATTACCATAATTTTTGTACAAATATTTACTGGTACATATTTTAATAATGGCATCCAAAAGCTTCTTAAAATGTCAGCTACGCATCATTTCATACCATGCGACATCAATTTATTTCTACATTGTAAAATAAAAAGTGAACCATGAAATAGCTTTAAAAAATCACAATTTGCAAGAGAAACATAATAAAACGATTATTTTGATAATGTGAATACCTTTGACTATGCAACTCAATAACTTAATAACTAAGTTGTAAAAGCATATTGCACGTGTATTAATGATTTAAAGATTTCTAGTTATTCCTTGAACGTAACCTTAGCGAATACTACTACATTCAAGACTGTGTTTTTAGAAGACTCAAAAATCAAAATGATTAATAAAATATATTTATATTAAATTTGTATAGCAGTAATATAATTTACTTAAAGGTAAACCATGCAGTAGACTACATGCAATACAAGTCACGTAATGTAAATAAATATATAAGTATTTTGCCAATACCTTCCTTTTGACCTGCCACAAGTGCCACATAAAAACATTCACAAGAGAAGGAGAGACGCAGGAGAGGCATGCAAACAAGTTAAAAGACAAAGATTGTATAAATATACATATATAGTATGAAATAGTCGTAATATGTATATACAAGGTGGTCCGTTTAGTCCGTTTATCTTTTCTCTGCTGCTTTTATGAGTACAGTAAATTATCTTTGGTGGAATTTCACCGATTCAATTTAAAGAGGTGTAGGTGACAAAGCTTCTGCATCGATGAATCAACTATGTAGAAAGTTAAGGGGACTATATTGAAAAATAATAAGAAAATATATACCTATTAACAGAGTTGGGGATCAATGATTGAAAATTTTTAGTTTGATTGATTGACTGATTCTTACGGTTAAAAAATTAGTCGTCAAATAATTCTCGATTAATTCAATCAATTGATGGAGTTAATCGTCAATCGCTGACTAAAAAAAATTAAGCGTCGAATAATTCGCGATTAATTCAGTCAATTGATGAAATTAATCGTTAATCGATTAAAAACAATTGTAAAACAGAAGTTCTAACATTGAATTTTCCGCAAAAATCTGTTCAAGTTACGTAAATAGAACAGTCGTCAATGTGATCTCATAACATTCACATACTCTTATTGTTTGGAATAATTTTATCCATCCTGTAAGACTTCTTTTTCCATCGGAAAACGATCCCATTACGAAACCACTCATAAACAGTCCCGGTGCCTGAGGACTGCCCTAAGCGGGTGATGCGAAAGGTTTTTAAATGATAGATAGAAGTTAATCATTATAACGACAACATCTTGGCGACCAATATACTCTCTGGCTTTTCTTTCATTTTCGACTCTGTCATTTTGCGAGCAATCATCTTACAATACCATTATACATTACTTAAAAAGAATAATCCTTTACAATTAAAATGAAATAAAGATCAAGTTCGTATCCTTAATAACTGCACAGATAAATATTCTTTTGTAAAGCTAGTTTTCGTAAAAATCAGTGATAATTACAAAATTTGAGGGTCGCTATCTTTTAAACAATGTTAAAATCAACGAAATTATAACTTAAACCCCTTATATTTTTACATCGATTATCTTTCTATTTGACCAAAATCCCAAACATCGTGTACAAAAGTGGTCTGCGTGGCGTGGAATTGTATACCCATATATGAATTCGCCTGAAGATAAACTTTCCCTCTTTATAGTGCAAAGAATTCATTCCGCTACTTCATTTCTCCTGCGGTAATTACCAACAAACGGATAGTATCGGTTTCGAGTGTGAGGGTAAAGACAGATGATATAAACAAAGCAGTCCCAACGAAATCCGCCGGAGGTAGGAGACCCAGAAGTGGCCTTGAGGACAGATAACATCTCCCCAGGTGGAGTTATATAAACATAACGAACTTGTATCGGGATAAAAATGCGTACAAATCGAAATGAATTCCGAAAGAAATCGTCTTTTTCAGGAAAATTTTCTTAATATTGTATAGAAATTTCCTATGTTCCTCGGACATAAAGACCAAATCCTACATGGATCTGTATTACTCCCAGTCAGGCAATGCTTTGAGACCGTTTTCTTTTTTTACATGGTAGTCTTGCCTCTTCACTGCACACATGTACTGCTATACCTAACAATTATAACCTTTTCTCGCATATAAATGATATTTCATTGCTTGAAAGTTGTACGTACTATTGTAGGATATTCGGTTTTGAAAGAACGGCACTTTCATGGATAATTCTAAACTAAACTGAAATAGTTCAGTGAAAATTAATACTAGATACATACAGGGTGTCTCAAAAATGTCTCTCTTCCGAGAAATGAGGGGTTGCTGGGATGATTTGAAACCACTTTTTCCTTAGCGAAAATGTTATCTGCGGCTTTGTTAACGAGATATTACCGAAAAACCCCGACCAATCAGAGCGCTAGTTTGCCAGCCGAGTTCCCGCGCTAGCGGTGGCTACGCGCTACGCTTGGACTATGAAACTTCGAACAAGCAAGTCGGCATGCATCCGAAGAACCCGCGTATAATAGCAAATAAAAAAAACATAACAAATCGAACTTTTTATCATCTTTCGTTTGTCATTTAAAGTGATGAATGAATGAAACATAAATGTAAGAAAATCATGTGTAACGTAAAAAGACGAATCCATAATTATTTTTTTAAACAGAATCTTTAGGAAGCCCGAAGAAAAACTTAGGTACGGAAACTTGCAGACTTATCGCCGGAAATAGGTCATGGCTTGCGTTAAATTAAAAAACTAATAATCAGGATTAAATTGATTAGAACTCACCCTTTCGGAAATTCACCTGCAGTTTGCAAACCTGTGTCACTAGGTCACTGGGCCGATTCTGGTCATCGACGGACGGAACGGTTTATGGTAGGGTAGCGCCCAGTCCGCAGGTGATCGCAGGTGTACGGCACCAGCCGAAGTTAAGGGTTCTAACGTCAAGTGCGTCCAGGTTATTCCACCGAATACGTATTCACTTCACTTCACGACCACTAACACTGGATCAGCCAACACGATCACTTAATGCATTTTTAATCGAATGTGTTGTTTCTACGTTAGGAAAATTGGTGGTCCCGAAAAGGGCCGATTGTTTTCAATTTATCAGATGTTTTACGTAGTCAAACGCTTGCACAGCAGCAGCCGCATATCTGTTATTCTGTGCGTACCACCAGAACATTGTGTAATAGTCCCGTGAATTTTTCTGAAAGGGCTTTCACTACCCCCAAGTAGTTTCCTATCGTTACATTGTAAGTTTATTCCCACCGCGACGACAAAATTTAGGTAAGAAGAAACCGGCGTTCTAGAAAAACGTGCTTTGCAGAAGTGCAACGAACGAATCGTCGTGCAGTTTCACCGAAGTGCGGGGTTCGTTAATTTCTTGCCAGGATACTTTCTGCGGTACCAGGATACTTCTGCTAGTGCCGTACACCTGCGATCACCTGCTGACCTCCGCGCTACCCTACCATAAACCGTTCCGTCCGTCGATGACCAGGATCGGTCCAGTGACCTAGTGACACAGGTTTGTAAACTGCAGGTGAATTTCCGAAAGGGTGAGTTCTAATCAATTTAATCCTGATTATTCTTTTTTTAATTTAACGCAAGCTATGACTTATTTCCGGTGATAATTTTGCAAGTTTCTGTATTTAAATTTTTCTTCGGGCTTTTTGAAGAAACTTATTCATTATCAGTAACATTGGCGCCCGTTATTGAACTACAGATTTTTATGTCAATAACGAACTACGATCACTTCTCGTTCATTTTCTGTTACATTACCCTTTCGTTAATACATTATTTGAAAAGGAAATTTACAAATTCCGTAGCCTCTCTCTTCAAATAATTATTAGTTTCCATTCTGTTTAAAAAAGTAACTGTGCATTCGTCTTCTTACGTTACACACAACTTTCCTACATTTATGCTTCATTCATTAATCTCTTTAAACAATAAATGAAAGATGATAAAAAGCATGATTTTATTTGTTACATCTGTTTTTTTGCTTTTATACGCAGTTTCCTGCGATGCATGCCGACTTGCTTGTTCGGAGCTTCGTAGTACAAACGTGGCGCGTAGCCAACGCTGCCGTGGGAGCTCCGCCGGCAAACCCGCGCGCTGATTGGTCGGAGTTTTTCGTTAATATGTCGTTAACAAAGCCACTGATTACATTTTTGGTAAGGAAAAAGTTGTTCCAAATTGTCTCGCGGGTGTCTCACTTCAGGAAAAATTAGGTCTTATGTAACAAAAGAAGTGCACATGACCTTGAGATCCTGAAATAAGATACATTGGAAAATGTGTTGTATCTATCATTATGTACCTACACCCTTTTGAATCGAATAGGTATAATTCCACCAAAAAAAATTTACCCTACTACTAATAGCAACAGAGACCTTTTAGGTACAACGGATAAACGGGCCACCCTGTATAATATAAAGCTGGAAATAAAATTTAAAAGTTTCTTTGAAGATATGCGCATATGTAACTAGGAATAAAAATATTATGTAGTCACTAAAATATTAGACACACATTCCAAGAATAATCATATAAAATGAATTATATAAGTATAGAAACACTATATTATACCACCACCTCTGTTTATCTTTAAATTTTAAACTTCTACCATGTAAATAAGTTAAAATGAAAATTGCAGGATACAACTTTTCTACACAGAAATAAACTTCTGTTAATTATGAATCAGGTTATAGATTAGTTCATGAGCGTAGCCAGATTATAAGTCGGCTATTAAAATTCAATTTTTTTTTCTTTTGGAATACGGCAAAAGCCACTTTTTTCCGTTCAGGGGGGTGGGGGGCACTTGCAAGTGCCCCTCTGCCTCTGCACCCCTTAGCTACGCCCATGGCTTAGTTATTGTTCAGTCACTGGTTCAAACAAATGTAACTTTTTGCATTGTAGAAAGCAATTTAATATTGTAGTAACCTAGGAAAAAGGGAGACCGGATGATAGGGGCCAGCGAGAACCCGCGTTCAGGTACATTTATATTATCCGTTCAGACACGGACCGGCATCGACACCAACGCCGACCGATTCCGATAAACTTTCTAACTGTATTTATACTTTTAACTTTTACATTTTTCAATATAGGTATTTTCATGAAAGTATCAGGAATAAATTGAGAAGATTCTCCTGATAAAAATGAATCCAAACTTGACGTTATTCAGAGTATTTCAATAATATATAATTTGTTATACGAGTGTTTTTAGTTGTCTATACATTTATATTTTAAATCTGAACTCATCCCAGAAAAAATTATGTTCTACGCCCTTTCCCTGTGAAAATATCGGAGAGCGTCAGACGATGTCGGACGGCCCGTGTCGGTGCCGGTACGTATCGGAACAGATACTATAACAGCCTCATAAGAATACCCAAAAGAAAATCTGTCGGAACCGGTCGGTGGCGGTGCCAGTCCGCGTCTGAATAGATAAATATAAATGCAGTTTCTTCGGATTCGCGGCTGACAAACCCATATCTTAACACTTTGACGTGCGCACACGTGACAAAAATACTTTCGTCTGCCGTTTCATTATATTGTAAATAAATAAATAAATAACAATTTCCTAATTAAATTTACACGGAACGAAAAATGAAATAGTGTAATTTTTATTGCGGCTATATTTAAAATCTTAATATTTATATCTATCAATTAGATTAAAGACAGCCTAATCATATATAATTAATGAACACGTTTATATTTAAATTGATACATGTTTATCTTACCTGAAATTCATCCCATGGAATAGACGAACATTCATCATTACCGACATTTGACACTTGAACTTTGATTGAAGATGTATACCCACAAGACTGTTGAATGAATTCAACTTTAGACAATTTAAATGTTGTCATGGATACCTACAAAAGCATTCGAAAGATTAAGATACTTACGTAAGTATATTATGTTATATTCAGTGGGTGCACAGGAAATGTGGTTTTAGTAATATTCGTATTTTTACTTTATGAAGCTTTAACAAGAGTTTCCAAATGTTTACTTTTCAACTCTAGCTTTTAAACTTTTTAGTTTCGTGAACTTGGTGAGAAGTTAGTTGTTGAGAACGAAGAAAAGATCACATAGAAATTACTGCAATTATACGTATATAAAAAAAATATGAAGAAGAGCTCTGTACCTTAATAGCCTGATTGATAAACATTTAATTTCATATGCACCAACAAAATACATCATAGAATGTGGACTTACAATATCTTTACGTTTGCACACACTATCTAAGGATTTTTCGCTTTGTGTATCAGGAGTTTCTTCAACAACTTCGCTAGCTTCTTCTACCGGTGTTATATTTATTGTATTATCAACGCAGAACATTGCATCTAATTTTTCTTGATCTTGAAGACTAATTAATACATAGTTCTCACTATCAGAACTAACATCACTTCTTATAGATACTGTGTCACTGCTACCATCCTCTGGAGAAGCTTTTAAAGCTGAATCAATTGATGTCATCAAATTACTCAGTCCTTTCTTCATAGAAGTAAAGCCAACATTAAAATTATTTGGAATAAATGGTGCATTCAAAGATGCATCTCCTTTACTATGTTTGATCGTAGATATGGTTATGGGTCGCATAGTAGGCAATGCTTTCTCTTCTTCTATACCAACACATTGTTTTTCATGTGTTGTATTTGTTAACATTTGTTGATCGTGTTTAGTTGGACCATTCTGTTTAAATGTGACAACAGTTGGAGTCTGGTTAATGGAATGTATAAAATCCATAGACATCATTGAGGATGCATCACTTTGTGGTGTAGGTATGTCATTGCTTATATTAATTTTTTTACTGCTGAAGTCAACCCGTTCTGTGTTATTTTGCCATGGAGTAGACGAACTTACAATATCATCTGCTATACTAGACGAATCTGGCACAACGGATTCCACATCTCCTCCAGAATTTTCTTTACCAGGTGTATGAGATGGCATGACAAAAGTTACTTCCACTTGTGGTATTAGTGCACCGATAACAAGTGAACTGCCGAAATCAACTTTTAATATTTTATTCGAATCAATAGTTAGATACGTTGTCATCTCTGATAAAACTTCGGATAATCTTAATAAAAACAAATATTGATAATGATTTATTTGTATGCTAACTAAATTGCTTATATATGCAAGACCATGAATGTCAGCGGTTGAAGATTTTTCCGAATTTGCTGGATTCATTGACATGTAACACCATAGTGTTAGGGGGAATGCATCAAGAAATGGTACGGGACGATTTTGTCCTACTGCACGAGCACCAAAGAAATCTCCCCAAACAGGTTCTAAATTACAGCACCATACATCTTTAGCTTCTGTCCATAAAAGTTCTCGATGCAATTGCCGAATCAATTCATTTACAGAATTGCTACTAAAGTTAGCTGGTGGATAGCGAATATTATCAGTGGCTGAAATAAATGATATCTCTTAAATATAATAAATTACACAACATACAGTAAAAACCACCTGTATACCATAAGTATGAGACACCTACATGCACAATGTGCTAAAAATTTGTCTGTTATAACATGAAAATCGTCCATTTTATTTGGAAATTCACTACTAAAAAACATCTGACCCATTTGGAAAGCATTCAAACATTGAGCTAAATCTGCTCTCGAAGATCTTTCAGTTGACCGGACATTTGTTATTGATGCCCTTGAAGTCTGCATGTGCAAAGACTTTGGACGATCCTTCTGACTTGGATAATCTTGTTGACTTTCAAATACTATCTGAAAATGATAATTATATACTGTATATACAATGCTGCAACTATTTAACTATGCATTCTACACATTATCACTTACTCTTGGAAGTATAGCTTCGATTTTTACATCAAAGTACATTAAGTTAGTGGAAGTATGTGTGGTGTGTTTATCTTTACTCATTAGAGAGTGATGTAAGTTCAATGCAAAAGAATTAAACCATAAACAGGAACAAACATCAAAGTTTACTTGAATAGGATTCAGTTGTACATAAAACTTTGGTGGTGGCACTAAACAATGACAAAGTATTTTCAATTACGTTTTTTTTGTAAATGATTTATAATAATTATAAAATAACTTCGGCAAAAAAATAAATGTTCCTAAGAAATAATAGTTATATGTTCACCTACATGGAAATGTAATATCTCCAGGATAGTAATAGTATGTAAATTCAGCATGAAGAATTGTCACATCCTCTGGGAGACAAAACCTATCCCTTTCGCCTATGAAAAATAAATATGCTTCAATAAAGATACATAGTTATTCTTTAATAACATGCATGCATTATGATGACAATCTATATAGCAGCAAAAATTCATATAAAATTAAATATTATGAACAGATGAGATAATTAAATATTATGATGAGAGACTATAAACATTACATGAAATACATTAGTCCCCATTTCATAGACATTTTTCCCCGCTTAATTGACACGGAGTTATCCCTACGAATTTCTGAAACTGGTCCACGCAGTAAGCGTCCACAGATTCAATGTTTCTCACTCTTGCCTTCGATGCACTCAAGAAGCGAGCGAACAAGAAAGACATAACAGCCGACAATTCTTAGAACGCCTACCTTCTCGAATAACTGTCACAACTTGCATCTGAGCTTGCGTCAGTTAAGCAGGGACTACTGCAAACTATACTTTTTTGTACACTGACGAGCAAACTCAGCTTCCTCTAGGAGAAAAAGTGATGTAAGAGAAAGACCTTCTATCACTTGGTCTTAGAGTTACTGAAATGTATGCCAAATCAACATTCGGTTCAACATTTATTTCAGTATTTCAAATAAATTTATCAAGCGGTACGGGGCCCTTAGTTAGTTAGTTAGTTAGGCACATATCGCCCGAGAGAGGGGGATGCCGGTATCAACGTCCGAGGTCGAAGACATGTTTTGAGCGACTAGCTTTCTCAAAGCCCGTAAAGCTAGGATCAACATTATCCGTGGAGGCTTATTACCCCTGACTTTCCAACCAGATCCAACTGTTTAAGGCCCGGGTCACATGAAGGTACGAAAGTACTCGTGCCGAGAGGTGGAGAGTCATTAGGATCGTCCCATCCCTACTGAAATAGTATCTATGGAGTTGGACGTCGGGGCAACCGATCCTTCGTCTCTGAGAGGTGAGTACCAGCTCACTCTTGTCTTCACCCACAGACCGAGTCTGTACAAATAGGGGGATTCGTCATCGTAACTATTTTAACCCCCTATCATTACCTGCCTACGTCGCTTACCCCTACAGTGCTTTTTCCCCTGAAGGAAGCCAAGTTTGCTCGTGAGGGTACACTAGTACGAGTGATTATACAGGGTGTCATGTAACTGGTGATACAACCGGGTGGGGGGTGATTTTACGAGAATGAATAAGTCGAAAATATAAAACAAAGTGTTTTCATTTGTGACTTTGTTTTCGAGAAAATCGACTTTCAAAATTAATTTTAAACCGTAAGCGTTATCGCTTTTTTCTACTTCCTATGCCCTTCAATGACCTTATGTAATAGGTCGTTAAACTCGTTTAAAGCTCCTCTATCACTCTACGGAAACAAAAACATACCGATCCATTAAAAAAAATGGAAGTGACCTTGAAATATCCAAAGTACCTCCACCTGCAAAAAAACTGCTACTAGCGCTATCGGGTGGCTCTCTTCGTACTGTGCAATTTTGGATAAACAAATATATCTGTGAACCTTATAGTTATGTGAGATGATATCTGAAATGATAATAGTTATTGCCCCAACCCTGTATATTCATTAGCGTCGTTTACGTGGCAATGTACCTCTTCAACAATACTCTGTACAAATCTAAATCCACCGGAAGGAAAATGAATTTCCTTGCTTTTCTCTTCCTACAATGATTGATCAAAATTTAAACTCAATTCCATAACTCAAAAACAAAGTGTGTAAAGCATAGTGATGGGTTCGTGTACAAACAGTCCAAACATGTTTGGACTTTTCAAGCACAAGATGTTCAAACTGCCCAAACTGAGATTTGTCATACCGAAGCGACTAAGCACCGCGCAAACGTTTAAAACAATTCGAACGTTTTAAAGCGGTCGTGTCCGGTTATCGGTACCCTTCATGCCCCACAGTTGCAAAGGCTGACCTTTCGTGTATCCTACAGTATAGATACACAGAGTGAATCACGCATGAATAACAATTTTGAACTAACTATGTAACTCTTTTCAATGTATTTTTATGAAAGCGTTATGAATAATTGAGGAGATTCTCTCAATGAAAATCAGTCCAAACACAAACGTAATCGAACAATTTTTACTGATACGTAATCTTGCGATTCGAATTATGTATTGTTGAAATGTCGTGTTTGGACTTTTTTTTCATTAGAAGAATTTCCTAAATTTATTTATGACACTGTCATGAAAGTGCATTAAAAAGAGTTTTAATGTTTATTGTTGCATACTTCATTGTGTGTGTTTGCATTGCCGTCTAAGGGTCGGTTGCCAGCGGCCGATTGGCTTTTAAAGACCTTTGGACCTTTTAAAATATTTGATCGGTGTATAGTCGCTAAGCCACAACCAAATTGTGTATGTACTGCTTGAACATCTCATCGGGAGTCGAAACACGTTTGAACAGTTTTACTACCCATCATTAAGCGCGTTACGAAAATATTTTATTCGATTTTTTCGTCTTATTTTTTTTATGCAGAATCACCACCTTGCCGGTTGTACCACCAATTACAGAACATATGCTCCTATGCTTATATTTGACAATATAATTGGCAAAATGGATACTTATGTAAACTTCGTTTTACTTCGTTCTTTTTCTTTTAAAATTTAATATAAAAGTAAAACGAGACTACAAAAAAATAGAACATTGACTTAAATATCTAATTTTGACTAAAAATTTCTATAATTGTTGAACAAAATTTTAATAAAAATAACTAATTTGTAATAACTTTGAGCAATAATATAGAATATGACTGTAAATAATTTAAACATTCTTCATATCTTTTAAAAGACATACAATAACAAATTTTGTTCAAAATACATATTTTAAAAAGCATATTATATTTTGAGTACACTTGAATTATATTGTACTTTTGATTAATTATAGTAATAAGTGATATTTTTATTATAGTTGTTTAAAATGTATTAGCACTACTGAATTATAAATCAATGCTAGTTCACATAACACATATTATATGTATAATAATAATGCAATGTAGGAAGCAACAGAAGTTTCAAACATAAAGCTACTTTTAGCAAGTATTTGTAAGACAGTGTTATGTTGGTGTACTACAGCTATTATTAATTTATACCTGCTGCATGTTTCTTCCTTGCTTGAGCTGTGCAATTTTTAAATGAAAGAATTATTGGAAATTTTATAGGGAAATTACTTTTTATAAAATAGACTTTCTAATTAATACAATATTAGTCAAATTTGTACATACCTGTAACAAATTCTTTTGGTATAGGATTCCGAGATGTGGTTGTTACTTTATACAATGTAAAGTCATCAATTCTTATTATAATACATGTTGTCATTAATTTGGCAAGCTGTTCTAGAATATAATTTTTTACTGGATTACCACTCGGGTGCTGTGATTTTTTTTGTTCATGAGAAGATACATTTACATTTTGAGCGTCGTTATGTTTTTCCAAATTTTCTCCAGAGCCTTTTGTATTATTAACTAAATATAAAAGAAATACTTTTAAAATGCTAAAATTACAAATTTATATATTTTCTTATTTGTATTTACTAATCTCTCCAATACAAACCTGTAACATTTCCTTGACTTCTTGTTAGAGGAATGTGCTGTGTTCTACCTGAATCAATGAGATCCATAAACTGACTTCGAAATGAACTTAACGATTGTTGTAACCACTGACTGTGTGGGGTGGCATTCTCCTTGTAGCTAGCCCAATGTTTTCTATCAGCCATTGCCAAATGATATGGATAATAATCAATTTGAAATTTAACTAATGAAATTTGTAGTGCACCGCCATCTTTCAAATCAGGATAGGAGGATCTTCCATCTAATTTTGAAACGATTAATGTTATAATACACTCCGCAAAAAAATTGATTGATCACCTCTACGAATCCGAAAAATGGGGTCAAGTTCAAATGGTCGTAACTCTGGCAAAGATAGTCGTATAAATATCGTCAAGAAATCGTTCGTAAGTGAACTCTACTTTCAGATGCTCTTTTCAAGATTTTAGTTGCGTTGCTTCTTAGTAAAGTTATAGTGATATAAAGAACAATGTTACATGGGGTGAATAACATTTTCCTGTGTAAAATAAATGTTCGTCGATTGTTATGCGAATTTTTTTGCCGAATTATTCAACTTTCAAGCAAAAATTGACTTTTTAAGTTTAATTGCTTCTAGGAATCGGAGGAATCACTGTAGAACGTTCAACAAAAAAGCAGTAGAAAGTTGAACCTTTCTTCTTAAAGATCTACCTGTTGCATTTTTCGATTTGATTACCACTTGGATGAACCAAATCTTTTCGAAAAAAGGCTTCAAAACTGTACAAATTCCATTTTGTTTTTTTCTTTACCGCTTTCTATCTCGACAACTAGAGATGGCGTGAACTGGTACTTGTGAATCACGAGTGATTAGATCACATTCGTTCCCAATCACGGTGATTTTTCACAGTGATTTGTCATTTTTCGTGATCGCTTCTGATTGGTGGAGAAACTTAATAGTTCTTTACACGCGAGATATAGCCAGTATATTTTATATTAACGACATCAAAACAAACATTAGAATTATGTCGTATAAAGTGAAGGAATAATTAGAAACAATAAAGAATAATGAATAAATTAATGATTATAAATTATAATCTATATGTTATCTAACAAATCATCGTTTTAGAATTTCTTGTTTTTTCTACTGATTCTTAAAAACACAAGTATGTAGTAATGTAATTCATCGTAAAATCATATTGAATATGTTTTTTTGTTTAAAGATCAAGTACGTACGATTGTAGTGAGCAAATGTACTCAGGATAAAAAAATCGCAATCACGGTCGTAAATAAAGTTAAATCACGACCGTGATCGTGATTCAGCGATCACTGTGATAAATCACCGTTAGCGATTTAGCCATCTCTGTCGACAACGGGTGAACACAACATCATAATCTCAAGGGCGCCGACTCCTTCGGGGCCAACTCCGAATTGATCGAAGCGCCGATGTAAACAAACGGTCGTTAGCGAAAACACACTAAGGAGCTACCCCCTTCAGGTTATTTTAAAGCGGAGGGTTTCCCGATACGATTATGCTGTAGACGTGCCCATTGAGACAAGTTTTTAAAAAAATTGTACTACAATTTTGTGAACTTTTTACTTCACTTTAACTTTAATAAACTTATTAGAAATAAATTCCTATTTAATACTCATTTTCCAATATTTGTTCGTGAAAATATAAACTTGCATAAACATCCACAGTCTACTAATAAATGCTAGAAAGTTCACATTTACTTACTACCGGCATCGTCACATAAATGCAAATCAATTCTTTGACATAGAAAATGGTACGATGTTTCCACAACATCATATCTGGTAAATATTTTTGAAATAGCGGAAGTGTATTGATTTTTCGTTCTGGTTTGCTGTGATATCTGTGCTTGATATTCTGGCAGTACCTTAAATTGTTACAATTATGAATGTAATTAAAGTAACATATATGTATAGTTTTGACTTCATATTTACAAACCTCTAATTTTCTAGCAGCTTTTGTTTTACGTTCTAAAATTGTAGCTTTCTCTATTAGACCTCCTAAGGAGTCAATAAAATGAAGTGCCGCTTTCAATTGTGAATCTGTTAAAACCCATAGAAGGTCATCTAATATAAGAATTAGTCTAGATCCCATAATAAAGCAATCTGAAATGTATATGTTACTTATTTCTATTGTCTTTATCAGTCAAGGATTGTATATATTATGTACATTGAGAATTAAAATATTTTTAACCTGATATTCTTTTCTTGATAGTAATTCGACATCTTGCTTGATTTGTAAGTAAACGCAGTGGTGTAAGATTCTTATCTTTAGTACTTTGTGCTTCTATTCTAACTGTCTGCCATTCGAGTTCTTTAAAAATAAGTAACTGTCCACGATCAGGATCTTTTAACCTAGTAGTTCTCAAATCACAACGTTGCCATTGTGCAGACTTTGATTCCACAATAATACGATTCATCTGTGATAAAATATCATTTTATTCATCTATGATAAGTGCTTAACAACTATTTTTTTCTAAACATTTCATCTATTATATTCAATTAATATTAATATTTAAAATAAAAGATTTCATGGGTTGATATCACCAACATAGAATATAAATGAAAAATAGACAAAGAAAACCAAGATAGTAAAAAGAGAAGAAAAATATGTAGTAGAAAGTATAGAAATAAAAGAAAACAATGATAATATTCTAAAATGAAATGAACCAACAATTCAAAGTACAGTAAAGGATCCATCAGAGTTTAAAAATCGGGACCGTTTCAAAACTTTCACGGTGCATCGCGAAACGTTAGAGAAAAAAAAGAAATTTTACTGGGAATGAAAAGACTTAAATTATAAGGATATCTCTTTCCTTATAATTCCAATATTCGGTGCAATATGCTTCGTGAATGCTCGGTGATCGATTTTTGTTTTTAAGAATATAATATATGAACAGATTGGCGATCCACCGTGATTGTAAAAGTCCAGGTCGAAAGCATGTGATTCGTGAGAGCGTGACGCAGCTTTTTCTTATTATAGTATTGTTTAGTAGTAGTAAAAAGTAGGGACTGCTAAACTATCTAGTGTTAGTGCTAAAAAAAGGATAAGTGACTATACTGTTGTTTTGTGTAACTATGGTCAATGAAGAGTTATGCAAAAAATATGTTGAGATCTCAGTTCTTAAAACAAAATATTCCTCTTCCAAAACAAAATTAGCACTTCAAATTTCAAGAGTTTCGAGTTTAGAAATCTTACAAAGTTTTGGATTCTACTTTCGAAAATTGAAAAATTAGATTCCAACTTACCCCTACTTTAAACTTGTAAGTATATAGACATAAAGGCAATACAGTACCTGAACTGAAGCAATAAATGCAGGACTTTTAAACGTAACTGATACAGTATTAACAGCTACTGTTATTCCATCGATTACTTTATGTATGAAAGAATATTTTGTAGGACCTGTGTACGAAGACAATCCTTGCGAGGCAGATAAATCTCTTAAGTCCTCGCATGTTTCTATTTCTATAAGTACTTCATCCAAACTCTATAACAAGTAAAATTTCTTTATTTTACTAAGCATTAAATATGTTAACCTCTTGTGCTAGAAATTAATTGAATGATATCTATGACAAACTCGTCCAAAACAATTGGTAGCATAGATGTGCATAATATGTTGTTCTAGCACAAGAGGTTACATAATAATTACAAAAGTAGTATATAAAAATTCATATAATCCATATACAGGGTATCCCATGTACATGTTTAAATATTTAAATGGGTAACAGGAGAGTTCGAATGGAATAGAAAATGTCCTATTATACCATGTCCAATTTGCTTCTATTTTACAGTAATAAAGCCTTAAAGTTGAAACATGCTTTTAGAACAGTATCTAGTTTACACATATTGGTCAGAGTAACACATTCAAGTACGTTCTTGACCTAGATATTTCAGTTGTTCGAAGAAGTGGTGTATGCTATGGGCTACCCTAAGATTATCATAGGTAGTGCATCTGCAATGTAATACACAGACAAGGTTACTATTGAGTCAGGATTTTTTATTGAGCAGCATTAAAGAATTGGCCAATGACAAGTGGCTTATCCTGCAGTGCGAAACATGCTTCTGTAAAGGCAGACAGGTCAATGCTTTTCCTATTCAGAACATTTATGTCTGGGCCAAAATTCAATAGGGTTTTGTTGTAATCTATGTGTTCTTCTAGGCAAGGAACAATTACTGGATCATTTGCAACTAGAGCTGTGACTTTATAAGATACCCGGGTACCCATGAGATAACTGGGTAAACAAAAATTACTCAGGTACCCTGGTATCCATGAGATATCCGAATATATGAGACAATTGAGAATTTCGATTCGGTAGTCGATTGCAGCCACGTAGGCATACTGCGCTACTTAGCACTCGCGTTACACTGCAAAAACAAGATTTACTCATTCTTATAATATAATAATATGTATTATTAGTATACAGTGCTAAGTAACGCAGTATACGCGGCTGCAATCGAATAATTATAATAATATAATAACATCTGTTATTATATGATTATAATTATTATTTTTATTATTGTAATATAATTTTCAGTTTTTCTCAATTTATTCCGGTCAGTGTCGATATCGATCGAAAATTGCCGTCATACGATCGACTCCCGAATTGAGATTCTCGATTGTCTCATTATTGGGATATCTCATGGATACCCAGGTATCTGGGTATTTCACCAGTACCCAGGTAATTTTTCTTCACTAGGTATTTGGGATACCCAAGTAAAATTAACAGCCCTATTTGGAACAGCTGATTACAACGAAGTAGCTTGATTCTTGTGTTTGTGTGCATAAGCTAAACTCATTTGTACAAACATCTAATGTGTGTCAAGTTTTATAACAGCTAAACTATAGGAGATATAACAAAATGTATTAAGACATTTTTCTTCTACTTCTGCTCACTTATCAACCTGTGAAATGAAAAAACTTCACAATTGTCATTACTGTGTAAACAGATGATAATGATTTAAAACTTCAATGCTTGATTATTAAAAATAATAGCAAATCAGACATAGTGTTATACAACAGTTTTTATTTGAATTGAGCTCCTCTACCACCCTTCAAAATATTGACAGGTATACTTGAGACATCTTATATTTCCATATGCATTTATAAATATTATTTACCAAAAATATAGGAACACTTCTCAGCTTGGTCCATTGTATACGAAATGAAACCTTATTGCACCATGCATTTGTTAATCTGAGCCACGATGGTAACTCTAACAAATCCGTTAAAACTGTTTCATCAAGTTCTAAATTAGATAGTTCACCCTCCCCTTTAAATGTACTTAAATTTATTTTATCAGCTGAAAGATTCTTGGTAAACCTATAAATTTATGTAAATTAATGTAATAGAATAATATAATATCTGTTATAGTACTTAAATTCTGCATGAGAGTACAAAACATAAGGAACATATTGCAATTTGTAGAATACAGACATAGCAAACAACTTTTACTTAAGCAAGACTTTAAAATTCATTTGAAGTCATTATTCGACACGAAAACAAGGATAAAAAAAATTATCGATAATCTGATCAAAATGGTATTAATAAATCTGTACGTTGCATAAAAGACAAATACAATTATACATACTTATGTGACTTTAAAATTACAAAAGGTGTTGCAACTTTTAATTGTTTGTAGATTAAAAATAAGAAAAATGCGTTCACTAAGTCACGAAAATACCTTGACAGATGTTTCAATAATTGTTTCTTTATTATTGACACCATTTTTGACTAATTTCAATTAGTTTCTCTAACATCTAACATGCACTCCGACATGGTTAGTTTGACATTCCACATTTAGCAATGAATTGCAATGAACTTGAATGAACTAAATTCGTTCATACACGCCACTATTGCCACGACTTTCGACTGCTTTCGACTGGCTTTCGACGGTTTCGACTGCTTTCGACTCAAAGCATCACGGATTACTGTGGATCTGCCACTCTTTAGAAATAGGATGATCAGAGATAAGCTTCAGGTAGGCATCACATGCGGCGCTTTGCGACAAAAACACAGAAATGCTCATGGTCTAGTACCATTGTATGTCTATGGTTACCCATAGGTATATATATAATCTGATAGTAGTGACAAAGAACATATTATACAGACGGAGCATAAGCTACACTTTGCGCGAGGTGACCGTAGGATTGGAGGGGAAAAGGTAGCGGTTGTTAGAGCTACGTCGGTTAGCTTCGGATGCATTCGGTTCGATTCGGCTCGTTGTTAATGGATGGTGGGATGTATGCCGTACTATTATTTAATGCTTTATACTATTTATTAATTTTGTTAAATACATATATCTATACAAACTACATGACACACGGAATTTTTAACGTATAATAGGTATATTCTTTTCATCTCTCATAGCATACATGTATGTAACGTGATTGTATACCTGAATAGCACCGAAAAGGAACGAAGTTACCCGATTTACTACTATCCACCCCCTTAGTGCGAATCTTACTCCCCCGCTCAGTTAATGTTCCGTCTATATATGCTAAGACTGAAGTCGCTTCAAGCGACTAAATTTAGTCGACTGAAAGTAGTCATTGGTTACTATCGACTTAATCGATAGTTTTTAGTCGTGGTGCCCATCACTAGTGGAAAGTAGTTCTTTCATGTAAGGGTGGCATAAGTTTCACTGACTTTTATAGTCATATATCACGACCGTGATTGCGATTTTTTTATCCTGAGTGAATTTGCTCACTGCGATCGTAAGTCTTTGATCTTTAAACAGAAAAACGTATTCAATATGATTTTACGATGAATTACATTACTATTCGTGATGGAAAAATCAGTAGAAAAAACAAGAAATTCTAAAAGAATGATTTGCTAAGTAACATGTAGATTATAATTTATAATCATTAATTTATTCATTATTCTTCATTGTTTCTAATTATTCCTTCACTGTATACGATATAACCACCGACTAGGTATAGAATACACCTATCATCCAATGTTTTTTTCTGTCCCACGTTCATAGGGCTACGTAACCCTGTTACCATTTTAGTGTCAATACCCGACGTTACCGATAAAGCATGAATTCTGAGTATTATTAGCACAAATGAAGTGTTATATATTCCATTCATATTACGTGATCTATACGATTTCACGGGAATAAAAATATCCGATGCTTCAGTTTAAGGTTAAGGGATAAATATGACAGTCATGAAACGGAAAAGTATACATTTTTTCACTTAACTACAAGACAATTTATTCTAAATGCATCATTAATGGACATTTTACTAATGTTGCTTTTTACATGTTCTTGATTTATTCGTTTTTATATCTTGCCTTACATTTGTATATTTTCATAAATAGTGTATCAAATCTACCTTTTCACCGGCGGCTTACAATTTCCCTTGCGAGAATGCCTTACCGTAATGGGATTCCGGGAATCGGGTGACGTCACGGCGTGCGAGCGAGAGCGGTAGAGCGTGCCGCGGTATCGGTGCTCTTCGTCGGACCAACACGCTAGTGACGTCACGTCACACAGTTCCTTGACCTAGCGTGTACGCGACAGGAACAAACCTGCATACGCCCATACATCACAGCGTTAGCTTCCTCACTTTCTCGTGAGCCGTCGCGAAGGGTGGTCGCGCGTCTCGTACTCGTCCTTTCTCTTGTTACTAATCCATTGTTTGTTGCAGGCATTCGACAACCATCAATTTATTTACTGTGCATATTATTAATTTATTTACTGTGCATATTCTTGTGTCCCCTCTCTTGTTACTAATCCCTTGTATGTTACAGATGTTCGAGAACCATTGGCTTCGATATTTATTTTCTTGTGTACTGTGATTCATTTACTCTGATTTATTTACTCTGATTTCTATACTGTGATTTATTTACTGTGCATATTATGTATTCTATGTGTATTGTATAATGAAAAATATTTTTCCAAACAGTTATTCCATCGAAAGAAGACATCGATCAACGTCTACATCTTCAAAGCGTGCGTCTACCACTGCGTTAAGTTACTGTAAGTTAAACTTAAATCATAATTCGATATTCATTGTTATATTCATATTCATCAGCACATCGTTTATTATTAATTTTAGTCTATCTATTAATAGACTTAAATTGTGACCATCCATTGTGCATACCAAGTTATTATTAATTCATTTTGCTCGTTGATTTCTCTACACAGACTTGGGGTATGGGCAGTGGGTCTGTACCTATTATGGTACGGGCAGTGGGCCTGTGCACTAAGACTGTTTGCCGATCCCTCTGGTTTCTATTGAGAAGCCAGATATCGGACGTGTTTACTCTTTGCCTGGTAAGTAGGATTTGGAGTAAAGACTCGTGCGCGCCTGGGTACAACGTACCCGCCTACGGAGTAGTCGGGAGTCTGCTCCGTAAAAGGACTCTGTTTTACAGGGGATCTCGCTTGCACTACCATGCTTGTCCACTACTTGGTTCGGGTCTGGTACGTAGGTGACCAGCCCAAAGTTGCCTGGAAAGTGAGAGATGGATTCGGGTTTGCGAGGTTGCGCCCGTCTTTCCTATTTTCTTAAACCAGGTTCTGGCAACACTTTGATCGCGATACTTGTTCATACTGTAGTTTAACGTGGTTCATCGTAGAATTAATTTTTGGCTTGGTATATTAGGTGCGTAAACGAAATGATCGATGGAACTTTTTCCATTCCGTCTATCTCTTTCGTTTGAGTATTAGCGACTACATTGCGTTAAATTTGTTATTTCGTATTACTAGCATTAATTCGTATTAATTAGAATATTAAGATAATATTAGTTCTAAGCTGAAGAACGAAGACAACCGACGAGGGAACTTAGTTTTTTATAGGTTTAGGCTCAAGAAAGAAGTCATCCGCCGAGGGATTTTAGTATCGGTAGTATTATATAGTTAAGATTTAAGTAATTTATAAGGTTTATTGTGAAAGGTGGGTAGATGTAGAACTTGTGATTCCATCTACTTGCCTTGGGCCTCCACTCGCAGCAACCTCCTCGTGGTGAGGCCTGGGCAATCGGTATTGTCATCGGTAAAGTACTGTAAACTGAAGACAATATCGAGCTAATGGCTGCGAACTTCGAATCTATCTCATAAAACCACGTTCTATATTACATCGAACTAGGATTATTTTAGAAATCGATATGAGATTCAAAGTGTAAAAATGTCTAGTACTTTGAATGTTTTAGAAAATTATTCGAGATAAAGATGTATGGAACTACTGAAAATTACTTTAGATTCCTTTTTCTTATTCTGTAAATTCTTTGATTGGAACATGAATGTTGCTGGAAGGATGAACATTTTCACTGATCAATAATATAAATGGAACTTTAACACTTTTTTAAGTGTTACAGTGAAATTTCGTTCGCCTCCGTATTAGCGCACTGCGCCGAATGCGGATAGCATGATGTTGTAGTCGCAAGGGAGCAATTGAATCGAATAGACGTATTGTACCGTAGCGCATCGTATTTTATTTCAAACTTTTATATCATAATTTATATGTATATATGTATATTCGAATAAACATACGTCAGGAAATATAAGCTTCATTTTATCGAATTGCCTTAAATATAACTGCATAAATATTGTACAATCCTATACTAATTATAGTTGTCTGGTTCAACAGGTTATTATAGAAACTAACTACTGTACGTGGTGAGACTTATGCAATCATAATTGACAGTCATTATCACCTATGAGTTGACGAGTTATATAACAAATAGTATGAGCTAATTGGCTGCGAGTTTCTTCATTACTAAATTCGCGTGAAATTATTTCATAATAAGTTAAATATTTTCAACAATGTCATATTCATAATAATTACATACCTCCAGGGTGCATATGTTGTTAAATATTTCGCCAGTTGTTTTATAATGCAAATTGTTAATAATCACAACTAATAGAAATCGAGATACAGAGTAACATTTAGGATGTGGATCTTGTAATGAAGCTTTATAAATGAATAATTTGTATTTGATCATAAATTATTAAACAACAACCCCGTCTTAGTATTTATGAGAAATATGAAATATGAATTATTTTATTTAAATGATTCTAATTACGTTCTGTGCGTAAGTTCAGGACAGAACTGCCCTAGAAGTGTGGCGCGAGATGATTTTGGAATTTGTATTTTCATAAACGAAGTTAGAAACTAGTACTTGTGAGAACGGGCATCATTTTTCTTCGTCACGCATTAAATTCGAAGATTAAAGAACGTAGAATAATACTCTCTAACGGCTGGGAACAGTAATTACAAGAACATTGTTAAAATCGCATTTGTTTACAATGGTTGACACTGTATCTCGTCATGCGTACCCCGGTTAGTTCATTTTGAATAGCTGTTCCAACGTTATATGGACAAGTTACATCTTGATCAAGCATTCAGTTTGAAGCTGAAAGAATGTAGATTAATCCCCTGCCATTGAAAATAATAATAAACGACTAGAACACTGTTAAAATTGCATTTAATCGCGGAATACCACTATTTTTTCGACCGGTGGCGCCACCCGTGGCAATTCGCTGAAACTGCTAGCAAAATCATTTCGACAGGTGAGTGAAAATTCCTAATGATGGAAAAATGCAAATATCTCAGTGATTAGACGCTCAAAGATAATGTTGCTAGTCTTAAGTTATTTCCCACTATTCAATGCGTCCACCGAATGGAGCAGAACCCCATAATTAGAGCAATTATTTCTATCAGTGTTGATAGTACATATGCATTGTTGACAGAAATAATTCTTCCAATTATGGGGTGCTGTGGTATTGAGTCGATGCACTGGAACATCAGGAGTAATTTGAGACTAACTGCGTTCATTTTAAGCGCCTATTTACTGAGATATTCGCATTTTTCCATCATTAGGAATTTTCACTCACCTGTCGATATGATTTGGTTAGCAGTTTCAGCGAATTGCCACGGGTGGCGTCACTGGTCGAAAAAATAGTGGTATTCTGCGATTAAATGCGATTTTAACAATGTTCTGGTCATTTATTATTATTTTCAATGGCAGGGGATTAATCTACATTCTTTCAGCTTCAAACTGAATGCTTGGTCAAGACGCAAGCTGTCAACATAACGTTGGAAGAGTAGTCCAAAGTGAACTGACCGTGGTACGCATGACGAGATACAGCGTCAACCGTTGCAAACAAATGTGATTTTAACAATGGTCTTGTAATTACTGGTTTCCAGTCGCTAGAAAGTACTAATCTACGTTGTTCAAACTTCGAATTTAATGCATGACGAGGAAAAATGATGCCCGTTCAGCAGTGTAAATGCGATCGAAATCTTTTGCAATTAGGGTTGCCGCCCCATAAGGGGCTACGATAATACGGGCATAACTAATTTTACTAATTCAGGGGTTCTGCACTATTGGTCCATGCATTAAGCCCCGAGGAACAATTTGAGACTAATGACGTTCATTTTAAGTACTTAATTATTGAGATATTCGCATTTTTCCATCACTAGAAATTTTCACTCACCTGTCGGTATGATTTGGCTAGTAGTTTGAGCAAATTGCCACGGGTGGCGCCACCGGTCGAAAAAAATAGTGGTATTCCGCGATTAAATGCGATTTTGACAGTGTTTTGGTCGTTTATTGTTATTGTTAATAAGAGAGGATTAATCTATGTTTTTTAAGCTACAAATCGAGTGCTTGGTCAAGCTGAAAGCTGTCAGTATAACGTTGTAAGAGTTGTCCAAAGTGAACTAAACGGGGTATTTATGACGGGATACACTGTCAATCGTAGCAAACAGTTGTGAATTTAACAATATTCTTGTAATTACTGGTTCCGAGCTGCTAGAGAGTACTAATCTAAGTTCTTTAAACTTTGAATCTAATGCGTGACGAAGAAAAATGATGCCCGTTCAGCCGTGTAAATATAATCCAAACCTTGTTATTAGGGTTGCCACTCCGTAAGGGGTCAACGTTAATAGTAGCATAAATAATTATACTAATTCTGGTGTTCTGCAGTATTGGGTCTACACATTAAGTCGTCAGGAATAATTTGAGATTCGGAAGGAACAAATTGGGCGCAATTTTTTGAGATATAAATCGTTAAGATACGTTAACATTCGGCGCCAACTATTCTGCGATGTATCTGGCGCTTCCTGCGGGGGTTCTGTGACCCCACGTACTCACCTCACGGTAATTTTTTGATGAATTACATTACTATTTGTGTTTGTAAAAATCAGTAGAAAAAACAAAAAATTCTAAAAGAATGATTTGCTAGGTAACATGTAGATTATAATTTGTAATCATTAATTTATTCATTATTCTTCATTGTTTCTAATTATTCCTTCACTTTATTTATACGATATAACTCGAATTTTTGTTTGGATATTGTTAATATAAAATAAACAGATTATGTGTCGCGTGTAAAGAACTGTTAGGTTTCTCCACCAATCAGAAACGATCACGAGAAATCACGAATCACTGTGAAAAATCACCGTGATTGGGAACGAACGTGATCGAATCACGAGTGATTCACAAGTCGCAGTTCACGCCATCTCTACCATCAATCGTTTTTCCAGTCGATTGTATTCGCTTTTTGCTGAACTGATATTAAATTCAGAACTTATGTCATTTTCATTATTATTTGAATCAGTAGTGCTAGTTTCATAAAGTCGCAGTATTGCATTTTTTTTTAGTCGATCCAACGCGAAATAGCTATCGTTTGAAAAATGCCAACTGCATATGTATTTTTGTTTTAACGTACTATCAGGCAATTCTACCCAATCATCGAGACCACAGTTTACCAGCCATGTAATACATCGATCATTGTCATTAGTCGGGAAAGAATGAAATAAAGTGCCATCCGTTACATTACGGTTTATTAAACTGTAATTAGGATATGAATACTTTTTAATATGTGTTTTACTGATCTGATGTTCCCTGCTGTACGAATTCTAACAATATTCAATATGAAAATTGGAAAATGCATAAAAACTATCTATATATGTATAACATGTTACGAAAAGAAGGGAAAGTAATGTTATGAGGTTGGCAAGATTGTATGCGTGAGTGAGTGGTTCCTTCTTCTTGCATGGTGCGTTGTTGCATAAAAATGGTCTATGACGAGTAAAAACGGTAAACACAGAGAAGCAAGTTTTGTCTGTTAGATTGTTTTAATATATTAGTTTATTGGTGTGTTTTTCTATATATAGTATAGTTTATGTTTTATGTAATAATATGTATGCAATAGCTTTTGTTCTATTAACTTATTAACCCATATAAAAGGGAGTAACCAAGCACGTGTTCAATTCCACACCAGCCCTCAACATAACACATAAGAAACACAATACAAAGATCCACTACTGACAATAACAACAAGCAGACAAAACTAACAGTTAAACAAATTGTTACCTTCTACTAGCCTCTCTACCTCTGCTAATCTTCCCGCACTGAAGTCATTAACACATTTTTCACACTACCGTTTGTTGTTAAACATTAAAATAATTTTATTTTAACTCCGAACAACAAATGGGATTAATAACAAATGCAATAACAATAAGGTAACACTTCAAGCTGCTAGAGGTGATACTTGTAAGAACACAGTTTTAACAGAAATTCTATCAGATAATTTTCAGTACGTGTACTAATTTTCTTTGACGAATAACAATACGGATATATAATATCTGATTGATCAAATAATGAATAAGCACGACCTCACTTTCACTCCCATAATATTTCGCATTAAGACGAATTCGAATTGATTTAGAAGTTTCGTACGTTTACTAGCATACAAAAATCTTGTGAACTGCAACACAATGATAATATTCTCTCAGTAACTATACACACACACACACACGCATTCGCATTTGAATCGTGAAAGATTCGATCTCTGACCGTCAGACGGATGGCTGGAGGTCATTATCCCTTATCTTCACCGTCTGGTCAATATTATCGACCCTGACAGCCAGTGTGCAAGAGTTCCGTAGTTGATTCACGATTGTTCCCATAGAAACGTATACTCGCGATCGAATCGCGTCCGCGCGTACCATACCTATCCCTTAATACGGGGTACCTACCTGAATGTGTGTAGGTACCGGGTAAACCTTCTACAGTCTCGCGGGTCTACCGCAGTCTCAAATATTGACACGACCTACGATGAACCCGGGCATCGTCTTCTGACATCCAACGGTCTCGAGCCTAAACCGAAAGTTCGCGCCGAAAGTCGTAGACGGTCCGGAACATCGAACGCTCACCGCTGCTCGAGGCATGTAGGTAAAACACGACGGTGTTGGTCGTTTACGCGGAGGCTGGATGGTGTAGGGTATTTCTTTCTTTTCTTATTCTCCCTCCCTCCCCCCCCCCCGTGTCTTTTATTCCACCATTATTATCGACCGCGGGTATTTCGTTTTCGCGAAAGTCCCGTTCGCACGCCAAGAATGATCGGACGAACGTCGTTAGTGGAACAAAAGAGGATCCAATGGGCGAGGGAGAAAGGTGAGTACCGGAATTGACTACACACATCGACGAATGGGTTTATGTGTTTCCTGGAACGGTAGCTGTTGCGATCTGTTGAATTCCACGAAGCATACTACATTGTGATTAGGTGTACGTACAAATTGTAACTTGTGTTATTTATTGTCGGATTACATAAACGTGGTATCTTAACTGCTTTTGTATACGAGATCGTGTAAAACATATTATGTACGGAACGTAAATAGGCAATCGATAAGAACTAAAATAATGTGCTTTTGTTCGTTCGTGTTGGATTGTACACGGGGAAGATATTAGAATTTAGAGTGAGTCTGATACTGTCGCGGGTATATTAATAATTTATGCGACTACTGTAGAAGAAATGGCGCGTCTCGGCGGAAGTTGGGGACTTTTGAAAAATAACGTCAATATCCGCACCCATATCCGGTGAGTATCAACTAGAAGACATATCGTAGTCTATTCATTTTAATCTTGCAATTGCCCTTTGTAGATCGTTCTCGGAAATGTAATGTCATTTTATTCGATAGAAACATACCTTGACAGTCAGTAGATAGTAATTAATAAATCATCATTTTTATTAATAATTAAATAATTAATCACTTAAGTATTATCGATGATTATGAATTCATAGATTTTGTTGAACGAACTGATTATAATACTGTATAAAATCACGTGTTTTGTATAATTGTTAACTATTCAGAACCACGGAGCAATGCTTGTGTATTTTCTAAATCTATATGTATAGACGTTTATAATAAACTTTGGTTCGAACTATTTGAAGACTTCGTACGATGTGTTTATGACTCATTTTTAGCAGTTATTTGAAATGGCCGCATTAAGCGTCTCACCTTGTATGTCTGATAATCTACAGTACCTTTTACAATTGTTCAAGCGACTATTTGTGTCATGGTAACATTTAGCGTTCGATGTTTGACAAAGTGTTTCCTAAGGGAATAGCGGTAACTGGTTAAATTCTTTTATAATTGTATTTCTAATGAAATCTGTAACATCATAATATCTGGTTTAGTTTGAATTATTAATATAATATCATTATTATATTTTTAATAGGAATAATAGCAATGTCATTAATATGTTCCGGATGTGTATGCAAATTCCAAGTTTTGTAGACTAATTTATAACACCAAGAAGTCAATAGAAACTTTTTTTTATATCTTCTAGTAACGGTTTTATAAGGTGCAACAGAAAGTAAAGTTTGCGTTGAATTTTATTGAATTTCGCACATTAATGTGTCTTATTCTTACAATTGCATCTGTTATATGTGCAGAAAATTTGCATTGTAGTGATTAATCTCAACTTAAATAAAAAATGGTGAAATGAAAAGATATTATGTTTTTGTTTTTATTTATCTCTTTTATATATTTCTTGTTACTATTTATGTAGTATGTATAACCACAAATACAGTGATTAAATGAATGCAGAATTATAATTTTTTTAATCTAAATCTTTGGTTTTGAGAAAACTAGAAAGTATTGAATATGTACGGTTTGGCTATCGTGTCTGATCATTACTAGCTAATTCTACTTGCGGCAAACATTGGTATTAGGCGACGTTGCTTGACTTTCCCCACTTTCCATCGCTTTCACTATTTTCGAACTATCAATTTGGGGCAAGTTGTTACTGAAAGCAGATATAAAATTGTTGCAATAGGTCACAATAGTTAATATAAATAAAGATAACAAATAATAGGACACGGACACCTTTATGTGTGATGTGTTGAACAGACTTTACTCAATCGTACGGATACTCCATAAATTTTCCGAATAGAATTTTTTACAATTGATGTCTCATAAAATAAATTTTATACTTTGTTTGTTATTCTATTTGTTGTTGTAACATGTCTTATATGTATGTTGTTAAGCATTCATAATTATAATTTGTATAATAAATAATAAGTAATAGCCGGATTAGAAAGTCCATAGTGAATAATGCACTATCCTTATTCAATCAAACCATTTTGGAATGATTCTTTGGATAGCGGTAATTACGATTACGTTGGATGAAAGAACTCATAGATTTTAGTGTCCATATTTTTGAAGATATGCCCATAAAGAGGACAAATAGGGCTATATCCTCATTTTTTCAAATTTTTAAATAGTTCGGCAGTATAAAAACAGGGCATTTATTTAAAACAATTGCAAAATAAATGGTTAAAAAATATCTTTTTTTAACTGAAATAATTTTTATTTGGTACTCTTATGTCTCCACTGTAAGTATCCGCAAAGCTCATTTTCATCAATTTGTTAGTTCAATAATTATGATTTTTGGAAAAGGTTGACCTTAAATTTCAAACAGCTGTAAAATCTACAATTTATTATTTATATAATTTATTAAATTTTCAAAAATCCTTCGAGATACATTTATATATCGATAAAGACTACAACATATCCAATTTGGAACAAAATCCGAAATGGTACTCCAAAAGGTGTCCAATTTCGCGTGGAATGATCCAATGATAAAATATAGTTTTCAATTAATATTTTTTTCATAAAAATACTATATCGCTTCTATACTCGAAAAGTTATACCTTTAATGCAACGAATTATTGAGTCGAGTTATAAGTAATTTTCGCCACAGAAAATGAACAACAAATATAGAATAATTAAGTAACTATAAGAGAAATATTTAAATCGAACAGCAATCATTATGTTAAGCACTATTACGATTAGTTAGTTTCCCGAGTAACTTTGCCAGTGGCCGGTTGGAATTGGCACTTACAGTGTTCTTTACATAGGCGACGTTGGATGTAGTAGTGATGTCATTTTTTTAGCACTACTGGTAACTATTTACAAATGGAAATTCCACTTACATTGTATGTTACAGTATTCCCTTTGGCATGTAGAATATTTTTCGATAAGAAAACAATATTCTTCAATTTGGTCACTTGCAGCGTGTTTTACAAGAACTCTTCAATTATTCTTATCCCGTCAACTCTACCAAACGTCTAGAAAATTGAAATGAAAACAAAGAATATTACTGTTCGAACATTTGTGAAAGGTACTTTATTTTCGTGCGATTTGGTGGGCTAGAAACGTTTAATAAACGTATTTAAAGATAGCCCCGCGCGGCTTATCGACCCCTTAGATGAATCAGACACCCCTACCCTCTGTGCAATACATAATGGAACGCATAACGCAGCAGCTATCCAGTCGACGCAAGAATGCCCTTGGCGGAAACGAAGGACAAGTCCTCGAAACCTTTCCGTGCCAGCGGCCATTACGGAAGTACCGTCAGCCTGAAGAGTCTCGCGGCCGAGAGTTCCGGAAACAGTGTCACGAGTCTAAAGTGTCTCGACTGCAATGGTGGTAGCTTGATAAATCTACACGAACAACCGGATGTGTCGCAAATCAGGCACAGAAGTCCGAGCCTGCCGCCGATTTACAGCAAGGATCAGCAACAATATCTCTCTCAGGTCTGTTTGCACGAACATTCAACGCTAGACTGACTTACGGGAACATTTTTTACCCCCATTGAACTTAAAGTTTATTAACTTTGAATTCAATAAGGTTTGAGTACCTGTTGCGGGGGGGGGGATTAAGAGAGGGCCCCAATTTCAGGTTGCCGATTTTAATGAAACTTTTAGGCCATATAATAAGCTTTTTTCTCTTCACAAGTCAACCCCCTCCCCCATATAGGGGCAGACACGTGATTCTTATGTTTGGCCCGATCGACGTACCACGGCTCTCACACGATATTGTAGGCGAAGGGGTTAAAATTTAAAAAGAATTAAACTTTTTTTACAAGTAGGAAAACAAATTTTTTTTCCAGTTATTTGAAATATTATTTTGAATTAGTTTAAAATATTAATCATTCAAATTAAATTGGTAAAATTAAAAGTACAAAGCACCATACGGAGACTCAGCTACATGAGACGATGGTACGACAGTAAACGCGTGAGCTACTTTATAGCGAATTTAGCAAATACGCATTGGCTCGGTGACTCTGTGCAGCTCTATGCTAGCGTTGCCTTAGAACGGTGCTCGTGCAGTATTTTGTCAGAGTAGCACGCATAACATGCGAGCTATCTCAGTGCAGCACTGAAGTGGGGCAGTACTGGGACGAAACAGGGGTCAAACTGCACTGAAATCGTGCAATTGATTTGAATCGATCCTGTGATCCTGAGTGAGTTACAGTGAGTCGATACTAAAACCAGCGAGGTTAAAATATACAGATAGTGTACAAGAATAGAGAAAAAAATATCAAAGTTAATGTAAAGTGGAAAAAGAAAGTTTATACATATTATACTCATATATTATACATATTTTATTTTTAGGTTTCTATTTTATACATATACAGTAAAATGGAAGGAAGTGTAATTATTAAAAGATTTATCTACGATGGGAACAATTGTTGTATAGAAAATGAAAATGAAATTTTATGCGAAATTGAAATATTATAGTGTGTGTGTGTGTATTAATTTTCAAATAAGTTAAAAAACCTTTTACTGGCTTTTACACATGTTCATTTGGGAGTATTTGAGCCGATTTTACCAGGTTTCATAAAAATTGAAAGGTGAACCTTTTCAGAACCGCAGCCACAGTGTCGATACAAGCTTTCCTGTGTTATACCTACAGTGGGTGTAAAAAGTATTCGTACACCCTTTAAAACGGAACACCTCTTTTAAAATTGGTCCAAATGACTTGAGTTTTTTTGTGAAGTTAGACATTAATTTACTAAATGATGTGAAAAAAAAATTTGAAAAAGTTGTAATTGGTCCGAATCGCGAAGAAAATATTAAAGGTCGTGTTTTACAACTTTTTAATCTGAGGCTATAATGAAAATTTAATAAATACATATCGAAGATTTATGTTAGTTATATACATGTTGAAAATTTCATCGAAATCGGTTAACGTTGCTACGAGATACAAACGATTAAAAATGTTGAACATCGCAGTTTTTCCCGACTTTCGATCTACAACTGTAGTAAATCTAACAATTCTCACATCTTTTGATGCCTGTCGCTCGTTTCTGTATTAACCGATTTCAATGAAAGTTTCAGTATGTACATAACTAACATAAATCTTCGATGCGTATTTATTAAATTTTCATTATAGCCTCAGATTAAAAAGTTGTAAAACAGGACCTTTAATATTTTCTTCGCGATTCGGACCAATTGCAACTTTTTCAAATTTTTTTTCCACATCATTTAGTAAATTAATGTCTCTAACTTCACAAAAAGACTTAAGTCATTTGGACCAATTTTAAAAGAGTTGTTCCGTTGTAAAGGGTGTACGAATACTTTTGACACTCACTGTATATACACAACAATCCATTTTGCTTTTGCTTTCTTTTGGTGGAAACCGAACCCCCGATGTATTTCTTTTCCATTTTCTTAAAACATTTAACGTATCTAGTGTATTAAAACAAAGAATTATACTTTGAATGACCAGAAACAGTACTGACTTCGTATGTTACATGGGATAGTCGACCTGATTTTTTATATTACAGATAAATTAACATGTATGTATATTACGAGTTTATAACTTGCCGGCACATTATTCCATTTGGTGAATAATAAATGAAAATGTGTTTTTAATTACCGTATAAATGCTATGCTGAAAGCTGTACGTGACTTGTAAGTCTTTATTCCTAAGGGGGAAAGCAAAAGTAAGGCAGTCTGACAAATCGATTCTTATCGTCGAGTTCATTCACCCCTAGTACATATACTCATGCGAAAGTTTTAGTGACCATTTTCTCCGAAAAATTATGTGCTTTTAGTTTGTACCAATTTTCAGACCGAACTCGAATATTGTATAACGCTCGACAAATTATGTGATACGAACTGCAGTAACACGAAATGTAAAATTCTCGATCATTCTTGGCTTTTCTAATTCCAAAAAAAAAAATATATATTGGGGTGTCCCACAAGTCCTTGCCATTTTCAACCAGTTTTATTTTTATTTTGTATTTATAAAACCTTAATTTCTATTCTATGATATAATCACCGTCATTACCAATAATATTCAGTTATCTGCTCGGCAAGTTTTGAATGCCTTTTTGCCAGAAAAATTGGGGCTGGGATGCAAAAAAAGTCACCAATATATTTTTTGAGGGTGGTATAATTGTCAAACTTCTTACTCATCAGATGTCGTTTAAAAGCTCGGGATAAATGTTAATTTTCGTTCTCTATTAATCTCTCTGTTATGCCCGCGTCAATCTATACTTATTACGCGGAAGGTTCGTGACCGTACTCGCACATTCTGGAAACTTCTCGGGCCTGCTTTGATTTAAAGACAAAAACGTTCGAAAAACAACGAACCTGGTAAGGACTTATGGGACAGCCCAATATTTTCATATTAAATATACATCATATATGTATATTTTATTAATAACAAAATAAGTATTTTCTAAATTGTTGTTATTTTAATGTTGTAACTTTTCTGAAGCAAATTTTTTCACCTTTAATATAAATAAACAAAGCAACATGATACGAAATATCTAATTTTATCGGACGCAAGAATCGCACGATTAAAGTAGGTATAATAAATAGAATAAATTTAAAATCGTTTCTTAATATTAACTGTTGCAAAACTATTGGAATAGTATGATTACTTTTGCATAGTGTTACATAAGAATTCACTAGTACAATTTTATACTATTTAATTAAAACATTTCAAGCTAAACCTAAATCCTTGCCAATCATCTTAGCAGTTCTCGACACCGCAATTAAAATGTAAATATTTATGTGCGTTCATAGTAGAAATTTTAATAAAAAAATGTACAGTAACAAATTAAACAGAAATTGATTTTCCTGTAAAGATTTTAATTATATTACGTATACAACAAGGACTTTCATCATGTTTGAATATTTTAATACCCTTTAACAGATCTAATCGTAATTGAAATAATTATAATTATTCAAAGTCCTTGTTATAGGTATTAAAAATTATCATTTCTGTATTAACGGAAAAAAATTAAAAACATAATTATTTTATGGAAATCACATTTCCCAATGAACGTTATATGTACCAAGATTAGAAGGCGAAATCGTAAATCTTGAAAGTCGACAGGAACCCTGTCACGGTTTGTCGCCCCTGTCTCGAACTGGCACAGTAATCGTGCACAGTATACACTTTCATGACGAAGAAAGCAGGATTCGTAGATTGATGAAAAGCATAAAGCGACTGTTAGGTCACGCGAGACTCTTTTTACCTTGCCACCGAGAATAAATCGTCTATTCGCGTTTTTTTCAGAGTCAACAACGAGACTACGGCGTCGACGGATTGTGTTACCAGTCGGAGAAGCTTCAACGGAAACATGATCATCGATCGTACGATCGTGACGAAAACTCCGAAAAAAATCATTACGGTTCGCAAAGCGAAGAACGCGAGGGAGAGACGTCCGGTTACGCGAGCGATTCTGTAGACGTTCCCGTATTATCTACAGGAAGTAAGAGAATGGATTTCTTTAAGAATATTGTTAAATTATTTCAATAGAAATAAAAGATTAAGTTATAATAATAATAATATTTACTGGTAAATCTATACTTAGAATATGTCTTTGGATAGAGTATTAGTAATTACAAATTTATCTTGACTTCTACATGTCCGGTTAGTTGTCGCGTTATATCTAGTTAACCAATTTTTTCCACATAGCCTTCAAAATATACGTATTCTTATTTCTAGCCTCTATTTAGTAATTAAAATTTGAACTTGTAACATTATGGAACGTAATAGCATTGACCTAAGTTCAATTAGCATAATAAAACAAGATTAACAAAACAGAATTTATATATCTTTGAGTTTATCGTAATCACAGCAATATTGTTTATCTGTAAAATCTATTTCACTAAAAGATTAAGTTATATTAAGAATGTAATATGAGTTTTATTCAAGTTATTATGATTTAACAATCTTTAGGGGGACTTTTCATCGCGTCCCAATAATATAAGTATTTTGAAATTGTCTTTTTTTATTTTTATAATAAAGAGATTTTTTAAACACAATCCAATTAAAAAGTTTCACAAAACGCCTTAAAAATCATCGTATGGTTAAAAATAATAAGCATGTATATTAACTTTAAGTTCATAAATACATGAAATAATTAATATTTTTCATGTAGGCGATATTACGTGCGCTTTTTGACGATCCTGATTTCTAGTTGTCTTGTTTTTTTCCATTCGCGATTGAAAACCAACAGATTTTAGCAGTTCTAACCCGCCGTATATGAAACACAAATAATTTCTTTTTTATCCGAAACTCATTAAATATAAAAATATTAATTACCTTTCAATTGAGAACGATTTAAATGTGGGTAGGTTATATTAGGTGTGATTACCCTACTTTACTCAGATTCAGGCGATAGAAAGAAATTTTGTAATTACTAACATTATATTCAGTAACACAGGAGGACCTATATGCATTTTTTAATTTCACGTCAGCATTGTTACCCGGTTGTAAGCCGCCAGGAGGAAATATGATTGAGAAGACTTGGCAGAATCCATACTACAACACAACACCCGAAAGTTCGTTACCACCGTCGAGGAGATTATCGGATGGCAGGATAGGCGAGCTTAGGCCAAGGTGGGGCAGTGTCTGGGGTCAGGAGATGACACGAGGAGATCCACCTGCGCCTTCTTGGCTTTCGAGATTAGGCCATTCGAGTCAGGTACGAAACATACAAGTATTCTTCATAATCTGGATTGTCGCATGAAAATAACAAAATTTATTTTCCTTAGAATTCAGGCAATAGGTATTCAACAACTGCAAGTTAAATTTTTTGCATTCTCTTGTCTACGATTAGAACTACTTATTCTTTGTTTGTAGCACCATAGTATGGTTTCCATGCATAATTAAGTATGATGTTTTATTTACAAATGGTTTTCCAATTAGACTAAAGTATAAGCTCACGTATCGAAAATATACCTCATAACAGATTGGAAGAAGAATTATTTATAATAATTAGCTGAGGCTGCGTTATGCTAAATCAATTGAACAATTCTTGTTTTTACGATATAAATTTTGATCAACTTCTTCATGAGCACTCACAATTACAGTTTTAAATTTCTAAATTGATAAATATAAAAATTTATAATTTTGGTCAACGGTGAATTTGTATAAATATTGATTTATATTTACACTTCTTATCGCTTTATGTTTCGAGAAATGTGAACAATTTTTATTACAATTGCTTATTTCAATTCAAAAAGCTTCCTAAAATGTTTATTTCCTTATTTTAGATAATTTTGTAGTTATGGAATATATGCATTTCTGAATATGTATTATTTAATCAACTAAGGGGTTTCAGTTAAAAATAAAAGTAAAACACTAATGACTTTTACTAATTGTCTTGCCTCATTATGCCTTACACATAATTGCATTAAAATTTATATATTAATATTTTTAAAACGTAAATTTTTTAAAGTAATCTTTTATCCTTAATTGTTTTCCACTATACGTTGAGTGACTGCTTGTAAAAAATTTAAATTACCATTTTACTGTATGAAGTGTATGCATAGTTATTGAAACTGCAATGTCATAACGTCGGACAGTCATAAATGTAGTACATATGCAGAATATAGAGTTGTGATTCTAGGGCTAGTAGCTGTGTTTCTTAAAGAAAGTAGGACGGCCGGAAACCCTATTTGTAATTTAATTTCGAACATTAATCATTTATCGGATCTATCCATAAGGTCGTCTGTATTTTTATCTAATATTGATTTCACTTCAGTTTTGTCCTAGATACCCTGTTGTTCCAATTTCTTCTATCGTAATCATTTATTTCCGATATTTATAGAACTGATACAGAATTACCGTTTCTACGAAGAAATACTATTGCAGTTTATGTTTAAAAAAATATTGACTTTGGACCAAGACAAATTTTTCGTTTATACTTTTTATCTCGAGTAATAGTGATTGGATGAAAAACTGTAAATAGAAAAAATGTGTGTCGTGACAAGCCTTATTACTTGTCGTCTTAGTCATAAAATGGTAGATTGTTCATTAACGCTATGACAACCGACTAGTTTCGCGAGTAACTTTCACTAGTGGCCAGCTATTTTTGTCAAGAATAAGAACCATGAAACTGTTTCTGCCATGTGTATAAAAAAATCCATAATTTTGAACATTTGAAAAGTAAAAATTGATATTCATATGACGCTAATTCCGCGCCATTAGCCACTAACAATTGTCACTCACATTACGTCACTGTGACGTCATCGGTCGTTATAATGTTAATACACTTAATACTAACAACAACAATTATCTACATTGAAGTTTTTAATTTCTCGTTAATGTCCATTAAGGTATTAGTCATTAATCACGAAAGTGCAAGCAGTTCGGACAGTTCGACGGTAGGCACAATTGGGTCTGACAACACCAAAACATATCTTCGTGGTCAGAACATTCACGTCGATGCAGATATTCTTCAAGAACGAGAAGCGAGAAGACAAAAAGCTCTGGTGCTTCAAGATGCGATTAAGAAGCAACTCGAAGAGAAAGGTCGCCAGAGGAAAGAAGAAAAAGAGAGAAAATTGAGAGAAGAACGCTTGGAGGAAGAACGAATTGAACGCGAAAGGGAAAAAGAAAAAGAAAGGTATAACTGTGCCATTTTTGATCAAGTACTTTGCCTTTTTTTTATAAGTAGTTGTTCAAGTAAAAGTAATTTACATTACATTAAAATTATCGATAGCTAGCTAAAAGGCGGACGCCTTAAAGGATACGCATAAAATATTTTTAATTTATATGTTAATTAAATTGTTTATCAACCATTATTACACAGATCAAATCACAGACTTTTTTAACAGAATGATCTATTTTTTATACCATAGATCGATAGAATATCAAATTCTGAGTAAAAATGGGTTGACCTTCATAAGTCCTAAACCTCATAGTTGACGAGATATTTACAAAATAATGTTTAATACGCACTTACTATCTGGAAGCTATAGGTACTCGAACTCATGCCCCTCAACTCCAATACAGCGATTTCAATACAGTGTTTATTTTGTAAATGTCCCGTTAACTAGTAGGTACAGGACGTATGAAGGTCAACCCATTTTTACTCAGAATTTGATACTCCATCCATCTATGGCACAAAAATAGGTCATTCCGTTAAAAAAAATCACAGTGACCTTGAAATCTCTAAAATGCCTCCACCCACAAAAACGCACGTACCTCATAATATGTGTCCTTTGATGCCATTTAAGTTCCACATCTCAAAATTTTCATAAAATGTACGGGTAAATCATTATTCGAAGTGGTTAAGTTAGCTGGGACACCTTGTAAAAGTATATTTCATTGGGTTCTTTATAATAGTATCGCCATTTTCACTATGTCTATTTACTTATCTGTTATCTCATTCAAATGATCTGTAGATCGTATCCACTGCTCGGTAAAATAAATAGCATCACAAAGTCCCAGCGATGTGATACAGAGGGAATGTTTACGCGCGAACTCACGACGAGACTGTGATAGTCAACGAAGGTCGTAAATCTCCGACACGATTGATATCGACACCGATGTTCGGCGTTTCCTAATACGAATTAACGTGATCAGGATAGTAGTTTTGTATGAAGTAAAAATGAAAACAGTATATGTAGATTTAATGATAACAAATAACAAAACAAACTAATGATACAACTATTGAATAATGAATAAAATGACGAAGTATAATACGCGATATAGGTGGTGCGGTTACTCCGGAGTCTTATATATAAGTGTATACAGAGTACAAGTTGTTGTTGACTCTTTAGCTGTTGCTGGTAGACTGACTGTGAAATGTAAATGAAAAAGCCATGAAAATAAACGTTTTTCCGGATTGGCTGAAGTATGAAGGCAGTTGCTAAAAATGCTATTCACTGATTGGTTACCCTGAAGGAGGAGAAATCCGTTGGATTTTTCAGGAAGTCGTAGGAGAAGAAAACCTCTCCTTCAGGGTGACATGTACACGTGCAAACCATTAAGTTGGTCGCTCAAGGTTTGACTTGACCTGGCGGAATTTGTGCGCGTATTGGAAGGGTACAGTTTTATGATCCTTTTGTTCCGACTTATGCTAGTGCCGCGTGGACGACAACGGCTGTCGACCAAATGTTGATCCTTTTGACAGGGAGATTAAAAAGGGAAATAAATGTGTATAATGGATAAAAGGAAGTTTTGTTCTATGGCAACAGCCCTTGTGACCGGGCAGAAAAAATATAAAATTAGGGAAGTTATTTCTGAAGGTCTTCCGTGCGTATAAGATTCTAACTGTAGATGTTTATGGCACGCAGCGCGTAACAGGGAATACTGTCTTATATAGAGTGTAACAAAAGTGTTGTAGGTCCCTGAAATGGGTCACTCGTGGGGTGATTTGGAACAGATTTTTCCTTAGCAAAAATGTTATCCGAGGCTTTGTTATCGAGATATTAACGAAAAACCCCGACCAATCAGAGCGCGAGTCTACCGGCCGAACTCCAGCGGTAACGTTATCTACCAATCGCAGCGCGTAGCCAACGCTACAGTGGGAGTTCGACCGACAGACGCGCTCTAATTGGTCGGGATTTTTCGTTAATATCTCGTTAACAAAGCCTGAGATAACATTTTTGCTAAGGGAAAAGCTGTTCCAAATCACCTCACGAGTGACCCATTTCAGGGACTTACAACACTTCTATTACACCCAGTGTTCACCTGATGTAATATTGATAAAAAAATTTTCTTAGTAACTTCATACACTTTTATGTACTATTTTGTGTTTTGACGTCATGCTTGAAGTAACGTTTATTTAACAGAAGACTTTATGAAAATATTCTCAAAATTCCATATATTTACAAGAATATACAGACTATAAACAATTACAATCTAAATCTTTACGTAAATTTATATTTCTAGAGATTATTTTACAAATGTGGGAATTAAAATCTTTATTAAGGTAAAAATAATATAGAAATGTTATTAAGTTCCACCAATACTTCTTCTTCATTGTGTTTCATGCAAAATATGGACAGTCTACTAATCAGACCGAAATTGCGTTTATATTAGACTCGAGGAAGAACAACAAAGGCTGAAGGAGAGGGAAGCCGCGAAATTTCGTCAAGCGGAAACGATGCGCGAGGTTATAGAAGCTGCAGAGCGTTTGGCCAAAGAGCAAAAGAGGAAATGTCGCAAACGCGAGGAGACAGACGAAGAAACTGCTGTTACTTCTTCCAGAAACTGCGAATCTATAATTTCGAACGCGAGCCAGTCAAATCAGAACTGTCCAAGCGAGAGAACTCGACAGAATCTAACTTTCAATGCCAACACTCAACACACTGAAAAGGAAAAGGAGATTTCAAGCGAAAGAGAGAGTAACGACGAAAAGAAAATCTTGAACGTTTCGGAAAAAACGTTAGCGGACACGAACGAGACGACAGCCATTCAAGTTCCTATTAGCAAAGACGTGGCTATCGTGTTGAGCGGCAGGCTCGAAGATTCGGAGTTGTTGAATAATGCGAATCTGCAGTTGGTAAACCTGGTACTGACGCCAACACCACGAAAATTGGAGAACAACTCGAGCAATCTAGCTGTAGGGTTGAACAGTTTCGTGCACAATATGGGAAGTATAAATTTCACGTCGACCCAATCGCGGATTCCATCGACAATTGTGGAGAACAGATTACTCACGCCTAGTAAATACAGATTGACGAACGGCCGTGATTTCGGCACACAGACCGACGTAGAGAACGATTTCCATGATTCCCGCGAAGATTTGCAGGACATGACGCTGAAGAACGTCTCTATGAAGGACCGCAAGGACGCGACGAATGCTAGTAAAAGGGACATTGAAAAGTGAGTCGTAATATGATGCATTGAATCGCTTCAAAACTTAAGGATTCGTAGGGGATATTATTCTTCTGTCTTGCGAATAGAAGTGGTAATTATTGTTTCATTTCGTTCTTTCGATTTCGATTTCTCATTACACGTTTACTGACAAGGGAACTTCGGTATCCTAGAATTGCGATTTCTTGAACCTTTGCAGGTTTATATGGAATGTCTATGGAACTACGAAGCAATTTTTTCTTGTTACTACATTTTGGTTAAACGGGTTTAATCATAATAAATATTGCATATACGCAACATCGATCCTCAAATAGTACTGGTCTTATGCATGGAATAAGTAAAATAGCACTGTTTTTATTTCAAACATTTATAATTCTTACCTTCTTTACTATTATTATTTTCGTAGCATTGCTGAATTGTTCCTGAAAATAAAGAAAACATAAAATTTTATGAATTTTACATTTTTGACAAGTCATTTGAATTGAGCAACCCCAAAAACACGAGAATACCGATTTTATGAAAATCCACCGCAGTTATGAATTTTGGCCAGCGTTTCGGGAAAAAGGACCACTATGTAACGTCGACTATCATTAACAAGTGGAGAGCAACGATTGTGGCGGGAGTATACAATATGTACGGTTAAACTGAGAGGGATTAAATATTTCGTAAGCGAATAAAGATATGAAAAAATTATTCATACAAAAATTTGTTGCTACATAGAGGGCACAGTACACAATGTGCACAGTTTTTGTATGTGTAGTGGTGGATGAAATGTCGAGGTCACTCTGATTTTTTTAAATGGAATACGAATTTTCGAGTTATCGAAGTTCCCTTGTGAGCAAGATACTTACTTTACGGTTGTGTTATGGCTTTCTTTTTTTTTTATAATTACGTATTTCTTTGCACGTGCATGCACCCATGATTCTTAATGATTGTAAGCTTTTATACACTCCGATGAAGAACTTTCTAGAAACTGATGAGATTTTGTTATTTCGTAAAACAGATATAAAGGACACGTTTGCATCTTAATAGTTACGATGACTCCAATTTGAGGACTGAAATTTTCTGTGTAAAAATGATTATACAATTTCTTTTACTAGAATATAGAAGATACAGTGTGTCATTTTTTGTCGAATATATAAGATTTGTTTAAAAGGTATTCTTGTTTCAATAATAATTGCTTTTAATATAGCATCAAAAAGATACATTTTTTTTACTTTTGGCAGATACATGGTCTCGGAAAATTTTATCAGTATCTGTGATAAACGCTTTGCGTATATTATCTGCGAGATAATAAAATAAGACTTTAGTAAGCTTTTTATGAAAAATTGACATATTAACATACATATTTTTAACTACTGCCCTGTGGTATTCTGTTCAAAATATCTTGTTATTATTTATAAACACAATATCTGCACGCTACTGTTATTGTCAAAAATAGTCTTATTTTATCGTCTACCGTTAATACTCCGTATTCTATCAATATTTTTTTAACGTTGTCGCATATGATGGTTATTTATGAATTTTAAAGTTCGACAAACGTCGGTTCGTCAGAAGTTCCTGTAAAAACTTTTCTTCGATCAAAATCACAACCTAGGACAAGTATTAATTCGAGGCCGCAATGGAACGCTAATCGGTAATTTTCTAAACAATTGTAAAGACAGTGGACTCCAACTATATTGCCATGGTCGGGGCTGTAGGGGTGTAAAATGGCAATGAGTTCAGAGCCCCCTCCATGCTAGGTTCTATCGTCATAGCCTCGGCCTCAGCGCCTGCGCAAAAGCTGGATCATATTGGTGCGCCGGCGTACACAACGTGGTGGAAAAACGAATTTGTATACTCGAAAGTACGTGTGAAGAGGAAGTGGTGATATAGTTAGAGTCCACTGTAGATAATTATATAATAATTGTACAATGAGTAATATTCCGAATATTGACTACATTGCGTATAATAATTTATTTGTTTTCTAGACCTGGAACTCGATATCGTACGCAGAGCGAAAAAGATCCTCATTATCAGCGACGGTTACGAATGAGGAGACGCCAAGTTGAATCCAGCGATGAAAGATCGAGGTAGGTATACCTTAATATTGTTGCGTCCGGGTGTCGCTTAGTCACGGATATCTTACAATGAAACGAAGATGACGGTCGGTCGTTACCGACCGTTGGTAGTTATCGATCGTAGGAAGTCAATTGTCTGACAAGCAAGGAGAGAGACATCGTCGTCCGACAAATTCAAACATACATATAAGAGTTCTATTTAATTTATATTAGAGATATATTGTATTGTGTTGTACTAAATGAAATTTATTTTTCAATGTATCCTACTTTCAACTTAATACATTTTCTCTAATGCTTTTCTAGACCAGCATGATATGACTAACGTTTCTGTATATTTTTACAATATACATATTTTTTTAAAATGAGAATGATAGTACCAGAAACTTTCTTTTATGCACAACACCTTACACTAATGCAAAAATAGCTCCTTTTGGTAACATTTCTAATCATAGTAAATGAATTTTACAATTAATCAGTTAAATTATGTGGTAACTTTTGTTTTGTCGAACGTCCCTGACAAATAACTACTACTATAACTGTCGTTGGTAAATAAAACATATTTTTTTCATAGATCACCGTCACCCGACAGAAGGAAACTCATAAACGTCAAATCAAAAATACGAACCACAAATAGACGAAAAGTAAAAGTGGACAGTTACGACGCAGATCTGTCAATGGACAGCTTAAATTCCATTATACCTCTGCGAATTGATAAAAATGGACGGATAGCTATCGAGGACAATAGACTGGAACAAATGGACAAGGCTCGATCTATGAATGGTCGCGTTGACGATGCTGATAACGTCAGACAATCAGAAAACGAGAATTCCAATGTTTGGTGCGGACAAGAGATTCTGTCCAAGTTGTCCACGTTGAAAAATGTATGTGTTATGTAACACCTACCTCGGTGCATAAATAATTTCAGTTGTTTAAAAATTTCAAAGTTTGTTGGACACAGAAAAAGTCGTTTTTTATTTTATATTATATCATGTCATTTAATTTAAGCTATCATATGAAATATATTTTTAATATTCAGTTTACATTTTTTATAATAATTGATTTATAATAAACTTTATATAAACATTATTAAAATGTTTTAAATATGCATAATTTATATACAGGGTGTATCCGAAATGGTGGTACAATCCGAAAGGATGTAATTCTACATGTAAAAATAAATCGAAAATATAGAATAATATTTTTTTCGTACGATGCTTCGTTTTCGAGAAAATGTAATTTGAAAATCTGCTGGGCATGCGCGCAATTGAATGGGACTGGCTAACGCGTCTGTTCTTAATGGTTAAAAAAGACATTTTTTAACCATTTATTTTGCAATTCTGTTAAATAAATACCCTGTTTCTATAGTGCCGAACTATTTAAAAATTTGAAAAAAATGAAAATATAGCCCTATTTGTCCTCTTTATGGGCATATCTTTAAAAATATGGACACTTTAAAATTGACCGTATAAAAATAAAGTTTGTGGCGGGCAAACGAGCATTACTTCGTTTGGTTTAAACGCAGCATTAGATGAATTTTGAAAATTGATCAATTTCGAAACGAAGTATCGTACAAAAAAATATTATTCTACATTTTCAACTTACTTTTGCATGTACATTCAGGTTCTTTCGGGTTGTATCACCATTTCGGAAATATTCTGTATGTATACACTATGTGATTCGATAACACGGAACGTATGTCATGTCTAATAAGGGTACTATATTTGGGAGATCCATGATAAGAACTTTTATTGGTGCAAAAAGTTTTATTTGAAAAAGTTCGTCAAAATCGATTTAAAGTATTCAAAATTAATTTCGACGTTAAGAATAAACCTCAGGAAATGCAAGTGAACGATTTCCATGTATAGTTCGACAAACACTGCGTAATCATATCGGTTTGTAAGGGAATTAAAGCAGGTTGACCACACAGCAATAATTTATCGCTTTCAAATGTTAATAAACAGTATAAACGATGAAAAACGAAGTTATTTATGCGTCGAAGAAATAAAAAGAAAAATTTAGTTACTCTCTTACATGAAACGAAAATATATTTCAGGGACTGCTGATGAAACAAATGGAATGGGATTCCGAGAGATGCTTGGTCTCCCCCGCTGCGTCTGAAATCTTTTAATGAAAACCATAAGACCGCGTCATTCTGCACACTTTTCATTTTGTTTTGTTTCGTTTCGTTTCTGTAGAAAATGAGATTGCGCGGAGAGTATGATGAAGCCGGAATGGAGGTTTGTAATTCGAGGAATGAGAGCTGTGCATTTTTCTTGGATTGCAGATGTAAATAATGGTCTTCGAGCTGGAGGATCTCCTGAAAGAAGACAAGAAGGATGCTAATTTATTGCCTGATCTCAGTAAAGCGACCTGTAACTCGCAAGAGGAATTCCGTCGACTACGCGAGAACTGTCCTGAATTTAAAATTAAACCGGAAAAGGTTTGAATGACGTAGTTTCAGCAACTTCCTCCACAGAATAGCGTACTAAGGCTCATTAATTACAAATTACCGTTATATGGGTCATATGCCCAATGAAACAACTTTGAAACTATTCGTTATAATATAACAGTTTTATAGACAATTACTGCATGCTTTCGGGAGAAATGTATGTCAAAATAATTATTTTTTTCTGCGCATGTGACTGAGTTTTATCACTTCGCCTTTTTTAATGGAATACCCAGTATTTTTGTTGTAGCACTTGACATTTCAGCAGAAAAGTTACTCATTGGTTCAGTAGTGTATTTATTCCACAAACAGTATTCTAATGACGAAAGGATTGAAGAGAAAGTCTTTTAGAAATGTATAATTTTAAAACCCGTTTATGAATGCACACTCATAATATTAGATGTGCAATGCTCAAAATAATTATAAATTATATTTTCTTATCATACGAATACATCATATCTGCGTTAAAATAAAACTCGTAACGAAACATTAAAATTATTAAGAATTCTAGCCACAATTTCATTTTTCTTTTAACGAGTATACTATGGGAAAAGCATCTCCCCTCGTTATATGTATAGAAAAAAGTTGTTCAAAATATCGAGTTTTACAACATATCCAAAAATTATACAAATCGGAGGGTAGGTAGCTTTTCTACAGTTTCACCTTGAAAAGTATATGTCTCGACTACCATAGTCTTATTCTACACCTCTGAATCGGTGGGGATCTATAAAATAAAGTCACCGCAAAATTGAATTTGACCTTGAAATATACAGGGTGGGGCAATAAGTATTACCATCTCAGATATCTTCGAAACTACATATAAGGTTCACAGGAATATGTATAGTACGAAGAGAGCCATCCGATGGCGCCAATAGTTTTTTTTCAGGTGGAGGTACTTTGAATATTTCAAACATGATACAAGGATTTGTATCCACACTTGCGAGCAGACCGATTTCATTTTCTTCGTTCGTTACTCGTTTTCGGCTTTCACTTTTACGAACACGTAAACTACCGGCTTGGTAGTAAGGAGTAAAAAATGCTAAACAAGGTAGACATTTGCCACTAAAATATGTCAGGAATTATTAACTTTTTCACATAATACCTTAATACTTTATGACGCAGAATGTTTAGTAGAATTGCTTTATCAAAAAAAGAGTATTTTTATTCCATAATATTTCAATACCATTAATAACAAAACATAATTAACTTTGTAAACTCAGAAGATCCTTCACCTACGAAAAAATTGTTACTGCTAAGTAACAGCCCTCTCCATAGTAAACAACTTCTGTGAATAAACTTTTTTGATATCTCTAAAAACAACGGAGATAATTAACATAACCGTAAAGTGCGTATAACCAGCCCATCCTATATATATCTGCGTCGCACAACTAAACGGCTGAGTGGTGGGGAAAGCGCTCGGATAACTGGTCACCGATTCCTGTACGGTTCCTGGAATTCTGGTCCTCTACAGCCTCGACTCGTGCAGGAATCGAATGTCTACTGTAGGTAAACTGCAAATAAAGCGAGTCCGAATGCTAATCCAACTGTAACACAATTTTCCAAGAGAAGGGTTGAATTGCGACCCATGGTCCCTTTGAGACTTTGTACCCCCATGACGAGTAGAATATGATGCAATAATAAAAAAGTTTGACCGTGAATTTCGGGGACAAGGTTAATTTTACGGTCGGTTTCTGTTGCAAATCTCCACCGATCCAGAGGTGTAGAATAACGCTATGTTAGTCATGATGCTGAATTTTCAGACACCCTATACAACTGCTTTAAAAAAATATATAGGTAATATCTTGCTAGTGAATAAAACTCTTAAACACAGGTGAAGAAGGATGATACGAAGGTGCGCGACAAGGAATGTTCCTGGAAGCCAACGAGAAAAGAGTTGAAAGCGCTCGGGAAGGAATGGAACTATGGAAATCCAGTGCCACCGGATATGAGGGGTCTGAATCTTCGAGAATTGCAGCAGGTTGCCATTGACTGGAGAATGTTGACGCCTATCAGGCCAAAGTACCGCCAGGACGAAGAAATGTTTTCAAGATTGGTACGTCACGTAAATGTGATTTTGCTAGCCAGCGATTACACTGTTCAAAAAAAATTCTGAAAACTCTAAAATGATGAAGTGAAACTGGCTTTATTTAGTTGATCTCGAATTACTGAAGACAATGGCAATCTCACTTTTGATCCCATACGTAAGGATTTTTTTAAATTTAATTGTAAATATGGTATACAAGATGTCATGTAACGATGGCACAACCGGATAGGGGATCATTCCATGTGAAAAAAAAGTCGAAAATATGGAATAAAATCTTTTCATTTGTAGTACAGTAGACTATAACTATATGGCCATGTTCGGGGCTGTAGGAGAGTAAAATGACAATGAGTTCAGAGCCCTCTCCATGCTAAGTTCTATCGTCATAGTGTTGCTGCGCCAGCGTACGCAATGTGGTGGGAGAACGAATTTGTGTGCACGAAAGTACGTGTGAAGGGAAAGTGCCTCATGTGGCAATGTGTTCAGTGGCAATGTAGTTAGAGTCTACTGTAATTTTTAAACCTGTGAATTTCATAAGTATCTGTATTATCAACAAAATATCATTTACATTCTCATATCTCTTAGAATATTTCTATTTCGTAATGTTCAAATTATACCAACATTACCTCTTCTATCGCAATTTTTTTATAGCAAGTACATGCGTCATAATATTCGATCAAAGGCAAGACAGATGACAAAACATTCAAGCAAATTGTTTTGTTAACGAAATAGGTCAAATAAAATGAATGAATTCCGTCGTACAAATAAGGTTCTTTGAACTGTTTTTCCGTGGCACAGGTGGAAATGGGAAAACTAGAGGCAAAGACTATCGCTAGAGAATGTCGATCGTCTACAAGTCCCATAAGACGTAGCAAAAATCGTGCGGGTGTGATTGAAAGTAGCGTAAAAATTTGCTCAGAATGCGGAGAGGAGTTCTGTTTCGGCGAGTTCTGCGGCGATGTTCTTTATGACTCGTTTATAAGGGTCACTGTCACGACCCAACAGCCGAAAGTGAAAGTGTCCGCCGATACTGAGGCGATAATAGCCAACATGGATCGCAAGAAGAAGCGTAAGAAGAAGAAGAGAATTAAAAGTAAAAGTAGAGCGCCGAGGAAGACAGCCAGATTGCTGATTCGAAGCAAAGGAAAGAAATCGATGAGCAACGATTTCGAGAGGAGGACCAGCACCGATATGATTGAAAGAAATGGACGCGATTCAAAGACGATCAAACCGTTTAAAAGAAAGTGTAGCAAGTATACTAAAAAAGGATTGCGAAAGTGATGATAAAGCATGAATGAAAATTTCATAGATATCTTAATAGGAATATAATATTTATGAAATATCAGATACTTATTTTATAAAGTTAAGTTAAGCGTATTATTATAGAGAACAAATGTTTAAATAGATATATTAAGACAACTGTTGAAATAAAGTGTAGTTATCGTATGTGTAATACAGGTTGTTACTGCGAAACAAAGCTGTTAATGGGTAAAATCTTCTAAGATAAAATTCGTACTACAAGCGAGAACATGGTGATTCGTCATGCAAATTTAAATGAAAATTTGGAAATGATTGATTTTAGTGGAAATTTCATTTACGAAAAAAATAAAGTAATATGTCCGTTGGAAGGGGAAACAGGCGCGTGAGGTGACCCTACGCTGCCCAGCGCTGGTCTAATACATTCAAATCCCTCGAAATATTGATTTACGTGTTTAACGACAATTCTTCTTACATTAACCACCACAGAATCAGTATTTTGTTCTGAATCAGTGACTTTTTTTCTTTAACTGTCTCTAGCCAACACCGAATCAGTATTATATACATACATATATACATACATCTTTTATTTATTAAACACAAACCAACCTAACCTAACTTCTATCACTTTGCAAAAAATGAAAACTAGCCGTAATTTTAAACATTTATGAAACGTTCCTTATACGCCTTTTAAAACAAAACTATAAGAATTTAAAAACTCATAAAATGTTCTCAAAATGTTCAGAGAACGTTAGTTGTACACATTCGGACAAATTCTGACAATGTTGACACAGGACGTCCGTAAGACGTTCCACTTTGTACATAGGACCTGACCTTAGAACATTTAAAGATCTTAACGACGTAGAGGGGACATGTGGACCTTTTCGGGACATCCTCCGAATGTACCGAACGTCCGGAATTGGATCTGTATTAATTGTGTAGTTTTAATGTAATTAAAACGTGTTTAAGCAATTAAACATGAACATAAATTAAAGATATTATCGATTCTTGCAAAGAACAAACTGTTGAATATTGAAGAAATGTTGACATTAGTAAGAAGATCACAATTAAAAAATATAAAATGACTCAGATAACCATTGAAAAATACCCCTAGTATTGTATATAATTTTATATACAATATACATTTTATCAAACTATTAAATCTAGATTCAGAATTTTCAATGAACATATAAAAACATATCCTATATGTAAACTAAAAACCAAATAGAATGTTTCAAAAAGTTCATTGGATAATATAAAAATAATTACAATTTATTCCATAGAAGTAGTTTCTTTGTTAAATATACAGTATATCCTCTACCAAGATGCATAACATATCAAAACACTGTATTATCAGTATCTGAACTAGAGAATTTGAAACTTTCAAAGTATCTTCAATACCAATAAGGAAATTCAAAGGAAACATATAAGTATCAAGTTCAAATGGTCTATCGGTACCTTTAAGATAGAAGTTTTCTTGCACAATAAATTACATTTTTTAAAATTCATTAATTTTTTTTAAATGAATATTAAGAAGGAATTACTTAATTCTTTTAAACAGAATTACAGACATAGTCCAGTAGCAGCTTAGTATTTAGAACAGAATGGGGTGATCTAGAAATTCCACCTGGTAATCATTATTTAACTAAGGAGTAAAAAAGTAGACCATACTCTCTGGACTGCATCAATTACTCATTCATACATAATGTAGCCACAAATTTATTATCGTGGAAATTATTATATTTACACTGAATTAGAAATACAACAAAAATTTAATTAATCCAACAGTCTCAAAATCTAAAAGTTGACCTATAGTATTGAAAAATAATTCTTTGTGGAATAGTCTCTTAAGCGATTAAAGAGTATTGTATGAATTTCGAAAATTTGTGTTTTTTAAAAAAAATGTTTCAATGGACAATTGCAGGATAATGTGCAACTACTACACTATATCAGTGACTCGTTTTTGAAATAATATAAAATATTATTAATCCCTTCTCCTGCCTAATGTGTAAAATTAATTATAATTGGTTCACATATTTATACTTCTTTTAAAATATACTTTATATAGGTAGAACTCATTATTTATGAAATAACAATTCTCAATCTCCAAGGAGGTATTTTATCCCTTAAGAATAGGATTAGATAAAAATAAAAACATATATGTATATCTCTTAAATTTCAATGCTTAACAAGACATTTGTACTTCTTTGAAAAACATAAACTTTATCTATCACAATGTCTTAAAAATAATATTGATAAGAATCGAAATGGTAATTTCAAGTACCTTACCCTGTATGGAACTAGGTACTTCGAAAGTCAATTTACAATTTCAACATTCCTCACAACTAATTAAATATTTATAATTGTTGATCTGCTAGTATGTAAGTAAAAAATTAAAAACTTCAATGTTTTGTAAATTATATTAATATATTCTTTGGATCGAATATAATATAATCCATGTTGTATAATAATGACTTTCGTCGCACCTTGTTTTATTCTCTTTCGCAACTTGGCACAAATTTTGTCACAGGATTTGTGATCATTGATTTGCGTATAAATACATTATATCGACCCATAAAACTCATTACTGATGTACTTACCATAATAAAATATGACCTATGGTTTATGGTTACAAACCATATTATTCCGGATCTACATATATGCTGAAGTAAATTACTCTCTACCGGATATAAGAAAATATTTTTCTTCATACATCGAAAAGGACACGTACACCAGTAATGCAATCTTTTCCTCTTTTAGAGATTGTCCTGCATTTTACTATTTTGGGATATATCTCATTAAAGACAGTGTGCAATATGTTAGGATAGAAAATCAAAACTAACCTAACAAAACATTCAGTTTAAGATTTATGGATAAAACGTAAAAGACATAAGTACCATTTCGTTAACAATTTAAGTTTAATAAGAAGATCTTATAATATGTCCTATAGATATAGCTGTAAATTATACAATACTAGTGCATCATTATGGACATGTCTGAAGATTTTTGAAAGAGTAACATGTGTACAATTATTATTTTCTTGTGAAAACTATGACTTATGCCTCTTTCGTTAAATGCAAGGCAGCTTTGTTAAAGCAGACCATCAGTATGCCGAAAAAATCAATAACAAAAGATTTTTTCTTCATACGTTCATTTATGCACCTGCAGTCATGAAATCTATAAAACATAATCCATCGAACAACCCAGTCCAATTGGCATTATATACATAGGAAAGGAACAATTTGGTCAGGTGGTTGATTTGTAAGTCACTTAAAACGCACCTGATAAGTCCAAAATGACAAGTGTCGTTTGGACTAAGCAGGATTTTCATGGTGCTCCTCTTCACAAAGAGTATCATTTTCATTATATTCAAATACTCTCAGTTATCCTTACGAGCTTTCTTTTTACTCTTCTTTTGTGGTTTAGCTTCTGTCCAGAGGTCTACAATTAGTTTAGAAAATTTGTAGAAAGTTTTATATAAAAATTCAAATTATAGCAATATCTACGATACACACACATAATTACCTGATAGTTCATCAAATACAACACCACCTTTTTCCTGTGCTTGCATAACAGTAGAACTTTTTTGTTCAACATCATCAGAAACTTGTTCTATATTTTCTTCATTCTTTTGTGCTTTCTGTTCTTGAAGTTTATTATCTACCTTTGGTGTAGATGGAATAGCTGCAGATGTGCTGTCACTCTCAGGAACTTTTTTACCCTTCTTAGATTTTCCATTTTTCTTTTCTTCTTTCTCCCCTTTTTCAGTCTTAAATGGTAATTTATATTAATTGAATACGGCATGCATATCATATGAAAGACTTATAAGTTCTAAATCATTTTGTATATTTTATAATACCTTGGGCTGTTCTTCTTCCTGTTGATTCACTATTTCCTTAGTTATTTCTTCATTAGAAATTGGAATAAGAACTATGTCTTTCTCCTCCTTTTCTTTTATTTCTTTATTCTCTGTTTCCTTGACATCTTTATCTTCAACTTCAATTTTCTCAGAGTCTTTTTGTTTAGCTACAACTTCATTAATCAAGTCAGTTTTCTTTACATTTTTCTTGTTCTTCTTTGAAGGAGATTCTTCTTCTTTCTTCTTATTTTTTTTATCTTTCCTAGAATAAGCTTGTTCCCAATCCCCTACATTTCTAACGATTACCTTCATCAAAGTCCACTGGCTTTTCTAAGAACAAGTTCTTCAAATTTTTTTTATTTTTTGTTTGTTCAACTTTGTTTTCTTTTCCAGCCTTTACTGCACCTTGATCCTTATCCTTCTTACTTGCTATAACCTTATTATCTTCTTGTTTTTGTTCTTTCAGTTTTCCTTCAACATCATCTACTTTGGGAGTAGTTTTCTTTGTATTCTCAGTTTTTGACGGTACAGTTTTTTTAACAGGACTTGCCTTTTCAGTTGAAGCTTGGCCATTAGCAGATCTCTAAAATATAAATAATTATATATTTTGTTATAAATTCACAACAACTACACTTTTCTTCTGATCCTTCTTTTTAATAATCAAATACAGAAACAAAGCAGACTATAATCAGTTGTATGGAGCCATTAAGTACCTGGGACCAAATGTGTCGCGACGAAGGAAATTGAAAAATTGACAAGAAAGTGCAAGGGAACCAATATTATCCGCTTTAAACCATGAATACGCGATTAATTTATGTCTCATGCGCCGAGACAAGACACTACATTTAACTAGAGAAGCCAGCTGATTATCAACTAATAATGTGTGCGTGTACATCTACTCATTACGATTAAGCAACCATATGGAGGGTGAACGATAGATATAGTGTCGCATCCACATTGTCAGTTGTTCGAAAAAGAACGAAGATTTACTGTTTAAACTGGACACTTGTTGTGTCGTGCTAACCTTTTCTTTGATCTTGCTGCGTTTCTTGCTGGCAAATTTCCGGTCCACGTCGGAGCCCACCGAGAGCTGTGCGAAAGGTGGTTGATCAGCCTTTTTGAAACCAAAGACGAAGACGAGGATCGCGCATAGAAGCACGACACCCACGGGTAACGCGTATTGCGAGTGCTGAAGTAGCAGGTTGACGTCCATGGCAATACGAGAGACGTGTCAACGTGTGAGGGACCGACGACGGAAATGAGGGACGGCAATGGAGTGACGGCGACAGCACACACGATTACAACTCGACAGCAATCGGTGAACCGGACGCGGTATGGAATATACGGATCTTTGGAACTCAAAACATAGCGCTCTAGCGGATAACCCACGAATTACTGGATGCCAGGCAGGCAGCCGATCTCCGCTGACGCGGCTATGACATGCCACTGACTGAATGAATCAAACGAAATTCCATTTTATACATTTATAAAAAATTATAAGCAATTAAAAACAATAAATTCCTAGACACCGATACGTGTGAATGTTATTAGACTAAGAGTTATTATTTTTCTAGAACAGAAAAATATTGTGCGATACGTATTTTCTGGTTTTCTATGTTAAAAGTAAAGAACTCAAATCACATCACTACAACGATCTGAAGATTCACGTTACAAATACTGACTGGTCAAATTTTTTACTTAATCGTTATAAAAATAGTGTAAATTAACAATAAATTATCTTACTTTACTCTGGTTGAACAAATTTGAAGCAAGTTTTCAAAATGGAGTGTATAAATAAAGTTGTTACAATAGATAAAAAAATTTCTTTCTTTATTAAAACTATCATTATTTAAATCGCATGTTTTATAAATACAGTCTGTTTCACAGGAGCATTGAAACGATATCTGGGAAAACAATTGATATTCTTCAAAAACAGGCTTATAGTACATGTGAACAACTACAATGCAATTATCTAATATAATGCATAATCCACTTCATTTTCAAGTGGAGCCTCTATGCTTTTACTCAAGTTTTCCACATAGCCCTTAAGGGATGCCTTCCATATTTGTTTTATTTTGGCGGCATAACTGCTTTAAAGTAAGTATAGGGCTTCCACGAAGCTTAAGTTCGATGATGCTCCAGACATTTTCAATCGTATTAGCGTCTGGTGTTCTGAAGGCTGGTTCAGTGTTTGGATACCATTTTCCATATTTCACGAAGTGTACAGTTGACTCCAGTTTTTTGTATCATTGACTTGAATTATCTTCACCAAACCACTTTTTAGTAGACTTCAATAAACCTTCTTCTTTTACAAAATTTAAAAAAATTTTTAGACGATTTAGTCCTCTATTTTTTTTCAAAATTATCAATATTCTTTGTAGCCCTATACCGTTTGAGTCACTTCCTTACGAATTCGTTTGACTTTATCGTGTAACGAGCCACCGCCGCTGAGAAGATCAATTTTGGTCCTTTAAGGTGTGTGTAAAGAAATACTGCTTCAAACCGTTTAGCGTACGCTGCACTCATTTTGAAGTTCGAGTGTTTACAATGACAGATGAAGCCGAACTGACAGATTCTTAATAGCGCGTCATAGTGTTTTAGAGGTACTATAAGCCTGTTTTAGAGTATTTAGAAAATATCAATTATTTTTCCAGATATCGTTTCAACGCGCTTGTGAAACAGACTGTAAAAATAAAATGTGAATGTAGTATTTGAGCTAACTTTTTACTGCTTTAGCAAATTGCACAACCATCGGTTTGTCTTTTAAAATGTAACCATTTGTTTGATCCAGAGCTAATTGTGCTTGATCTATATTTTGTAATGTAATAAATGCTTGACCCTTCATTCTGCCTTCTTGCATAAGTCGAATATGGTATCTAAAATTATAAATATTATTAGAAGATTATCTTACGACTTGAACTATTATTACATATTAAATGTTCAATAAGAGTTATTACTCAAACTCTGTTTTTAAATCAGGTACCACAAATTTTCGATAAATAAAATGTAGATCCTTTTTTTCAACTTGCTTCGCAAGATTTTTTATGTACAAACGGTTTGATGGCTTTCCAGGATGATAATTTTTAAAAACTGGAAGTAGTCTTTGATCTGCAATATAGACAAAAAGATCAACACTTGCCTAATTGATTTTTTTTTGTAATTCATATGTATACTCTTTTTGACAATTTACACTAACACATGGACAGGTATACAAATTAATTAAACAAATATATTGAAAGGAAAAATAATTCTTACCATTCGCTGAAATTTTATTATCTGTTAGTTCTTTGGATGTAATCACATTTTGTTGAATATCTTCAGTGTTTTCCTTTTCAATAATTTCAGAATCTTTAGGAAGTGGAAACATTAAGCCGAAACCACCATCTGTGTCACTTTTCATAACAGCATTATCTTCCTTATTTGAAGTATCCAGTAATGAATCTATTGTTTTTAATTCAATTTTAAGATTTTTTGTTTCTGTTCGTTGCACTTGTTCAAACATATCTTCTGGTTTTACAATCTTTTGTGTAGAACTTGTAGGTGCAATTTGTTTAGCAGGGTTAACAAATTTTGGAATCTTTAAACGCTTTGTAGATTGCAGACGTTTTCTTTTTACAGGAATAATTTCTGCAGACTGCATTGCATTATCTTCCTCGTTTGACTCTATTTCAGATTCCTCTTCTTCCACATCTTTATCAGAACCTATATTATTAATCATAAAAATGATTATACTAATAAAATTCTTTAAAAATCGAAATAAAAACACACTACAATCTTACTAGCTTCAGTTTTCTTATTAAATAAGCTGTCATTGCCAAATATATCTGTATATTTTTGCATGTTATAAACTTCCTTAAGCATTGGAAATTCTGTTTCTAGTTCTTCGAAAGGGGGTGGCAAATTCATTTTGTTCATTAAGTGTAAAACCTATAATATTATTCTAATTAAATATTTATTATTTACATTGAAATTTATTTTATTAAGTTTACCTGTGTGTAAAAAGCTGGTTCTTTAAATAATTGTATAGCTATTCTTATTAATATACTCTTTGTTGGTGCTGAATATTTATAATATATGTTTGGTGGAGGTGGTTGTGTCAAAACATGATTCATAGTCCAACTATTTAATTTTTGTAAAAAAACTTGAAAATTAGATTTATTCTTTGAATCCTTCTTGTTTTCTTCTTTTGTAATTTCATCTTTTGGAATTTCATTTTCTGTGTTTTCTGCTGTTATAGATTTTTTTGCATATTCTACTGTCAAATATTGTCCTGTTACATTTAATTGGTGTAAACGTAATAATGCCTCTGTAGCTGCTTGTTGAGATGGAAACTTTGCAAATGTTACAGTATACTTCTTGGAAGGTCTTAGTGTTCGTGTTTTTATGGCACCATATTTTTTAAACAATTCATTTCGCCGATCATCAGACAATTCTTGTGGCAAATGGAGAATCCTAAGTGTATCAGATATCTAAAATAGAATATCAGAAATTTAATATGTGTAACATCTGAGTTTTCAAACTGTACTTTAGTGAAACAAAACGTAAATAAAACATTAGGGGTTACTCATTGAAAAGATAATTAACAATAAAAACATAATTTTTCATTTCTTATTATTTCTTAATTATGTTTACATAGAAATGGAAAGTTACGTGTGCCGTTTTAGCTGACATTCTAAAATAATATTTCAAATAATAATTTTAACATCATCAAACATCACTGAACATCACAGTCTTGTAATGCTTGTAACACCGCTAGTACTAGAGTCGGCTGTGACTGTGCTAGTACTAGAGTTGGCTGCGCCCTACCATAAAACCACGCAGTCTATTATACATGTCTATGATTTATAACGGATAAAGAAAGTATTTGTAGCTTCAAGGTTTTTGTAATAAATATATTGAACAGAATGAACAATACAAAACACTATAATAAAGTTAAATTATAATTTCTACAAAGGTAAATAGAAATTTGTATAATATAATTCAGGAGTGTGTAAAATTATTTTTAACATAGTTGCAGAAAAACATTATCCCTTTTATCATTCAAATTTCTTAGCATTTTCTCTATTTAAAGATATTTTCCTCTCTATGATAAACTTCCTATTTTATGCATTTTGTTCGTTACTTATGTATTACTACGCTGATGCTGTCATGGAAACAGTTTACACGGAACTATTTTCGGAAGTTCACTTGTCAGTTTGATCTGTCGGATTTACCGGCAAGTTTAAAGATACAACCACCGTCTTTCGTTTGCATTATTTAATTTACGTTTTTGTAGACGTATGGATTTGATATTTTTCACTATATTCAATATAGTGTTAGAATAAGATATCTGATTGTTCTATTATTCGCATCTAAATTATTGATTGGTCTTGGTGGAACTGACCGCAAAACGGAATAATCTGTTGCTCGTTGCGTTTCAGGATATTTTAACTTCTAAATGTAAGTATGACATGACAATTTAATTTAATGTTACATAATAATAGTTCGAGTATAACTTTTTGTTTGTATACAGTTCAGTCTAGAAATATTTTCTTCAAAATGCTCAGTTTATTGTAGTTACCATGCAGCGCCGAATCGTACTTACAGCAGGTCATGGTATCAATAATCAATAATCGAAATTTGTGATAGAAAAATATGGTGACAAGTTCTAGCATATTAATGTATATACTTATATGATTCTATGTTCTCCATAAATTAACAATTATTACGTTTGATTACAACAAAACATATATATTGTAATCAACAAGATTCTCTATTAAATGTTTCTTGTACTTGTATTTAAATATGGTTTGCTTATTTTTAAGCAAACAAATTGTCTTACTATTAAAAGAATTTATATCTACGTTCTACAAATTAAATTTATTATTACACATTTTTCATTTTTGCATGTTATACTAATATACATTATTCCTTAAAATTGTATATTATTTTTATATTATACATGTCTGTGATATGATATATTTTAGGTTTAATCGAGATAGGGAACAAGGTAGAGGCCGTAGAGGAGTTAGTGGTCGTGGTAATAATAGAGGAGGTGGTGATAACTCCCGTGGAAGTAATATGAATAGATTTGGTGGACGTGGCAGAGGAATTAGTAATAATGGTCGTGGTAGTATAAAGGGCAAACAGCCTGGAGGAGCACTTAGAAAAATCACTTGGGATATAAGATCTTTGGAACCCTTACGCAAAGATTTTTATGTTGAACACCCTGCAGTTAGAAATAGGTACAAATTTTTGAAATTGCTTATTTTAAAAGAAATTGATATTCTCTCAAATGAAATGTTCTCTATTAGATCAAAAGATGAAGTGTGCAAGTTTAGAGAAAGTGCTGAAATAACTGTAAAAGGTGACAATGTTCCTAATCCTATTCAGTATTTTGAAGAAGGAAACTTCCCTCCTTATGTATTAGAAGTAATACAAAAGCAGGGTTATTCTCAGCCTACAGCAATTCAAGCACAAGGATGGCCTATTGCACTCAGTGGCAAAGATTTAGTTGCTATTGCTCAGACTGGTTCTGGAAAAACACTTGGAGTGAGCCAGATTAACGATATTAATGTTTGATTCGTAAAAATCTGCAAACGTTCTTTTAGTAGAAATTTTAGAATATATATGTAGCTATACTTAACAATTTTAATAATTTCTGGTATGTTTCTATGTAAAAATACAAAATATTGAGTGTGTTAAGTTGTACCTTCTTTTCAGTACATATTACCAGCAATTGTGCATATTATACACCAGCCACGTCTTAGTAATGGTGATGGCCCAGTTGCTTTGATCTTAGCTCCTACAAGAGAATTAGCTCAACAAATTCAAGAAGTAGCTAATTCTTTTGGTGAATCAGCAGGTGTAAGAAATACATGCATCTTCGGTGGTGCACCTAAAGGACCACAGGCACATGATTTAGAGCGGGGTGTTGAAATATGTATTGCTACACCAGGTAGACTTATCGATTTTTTGGAAAGAGGAACAACAAATTTATGCAGGTATTACAGTTTTTAACTTAAGCAATTCTACATTTATGATATTGAACACACATTTTTCTAGATGTACATACTTGGTATTGGATGAAGCTGATAGAATGTTAGACATGGGTTTTGAACCGCAAATTAGAAAAATAATTGAACAAATACGACCTGACAGACAGGTTTTAATGTGGTCAGCTACATGGCCTAAAGAGGTTCGAGCTCTAGCAGAAGACTTTTTGACTGATTATACGCATCTTAATATTGGTTCCCTGACCTTATCAGCCAATCATAACATTATTCAAATAATTGATGTTTGTCAAGAGTTCGAAAAGGATGTGAAATTATATAGATTGCTTCAAGAAATTGGAAATGAAAAGGAGAACAAGACAATAATTTTTGTTGAAACAAAACGGAAAGTGGATGATATTACAAGAAACATCAGACGAGATGGATGGCAAGCATTAAGTATCCATGGTGATAAAAATCAACAAGAAAGAGATCATGTACTACAGGAATTTAAAAGTGGGAGGACTCCTATATTAATAGCAACAGATGTAGCTGCTAGAGGCTTAGGTGCGTATTCCTTTGTTATGTATAGTATTTAGATATTTAAAAATTGTAAGAATCTGGGAATTGGCAACACTTATTGGATTAGCCAGTGATGCGTTATTAGTATGACCAGTGGACAGTAATGTATGTAGCAGTGTGTAATACAATGGAAATATTGTGTAGTAGAGCCCTAAAAATTCAAATACATTCATTAGACAAGATTTTTAAATCTGTTTTTATTATTTCTTTATAATACATACTGTAACAGGTTTGTATTTTGTATTATTAATTAAATATATAAGTTAAAGTAATAAATTAGAATAATCAAATTTATAGAAAGGGTTCTATAAACATGCACACAAGCTACCAGTAAGACTGTCTGCTTTTCTTTTTCAGAGGCACAGAGTATCCTAAGTGAATGCGGTGTACTGCCAGTATTGGGCAGACACAGTGAATATTTTATTTTATTTTGCTTATATTTTATTAATAACTGGATACAAATTTTAATACGAAACTTTTTAAAATATATGTTAATATAGTATTAAAAAATATAGTATTCTTATGTAAATGATACTACACACCTTTAAAGTAAATACTTATATACAGAGTGTTTCAGCTAACTTGATCACCTCGAACAATGACTTAATGGTACATTTTATGAAAATTTTGAGGCATGGAACTTAAATAACATCAAGGGGCACATTTTATAAGGTATGTGCTTTTTTTGTGGGAGGAAGCATTTCGAAGATTTCAAGGCCACCTTGATTTTTTTTAACGGAATGACCTATTTTTTGTACCGTAGACCGATAGAGAATCAAATTCTGAATAAAAATGTGTTGACTGTCATACGTCCTAAACCTTATAGTTAACGAGATATTTACAAAATAATCGCTGTATTAAAGTTGAGGGGCATGCCCCCAAACTCATGAGTTTGAGCACCTATAGCTTCCAGATAGTAAATGCGTATTTAAAATTATTAGACATATGAAGGTCAACACATTTTTACTTAAAATTTGATACTTTATCGGTCTACGGTACAAAAAATACGTCATTCCGTTAAAAAAAAGTCAAGGTGACCTTGAAATATCCGAAATGCCTCCACCCACAAAAAAACACGTACCTTATAAGATATGCCCCTTGATGCTATTTAAGTTCCACGCCTCAAAATTTTTGTAAAGTGTACCGTTAAATCATTATTCGAAGTGATCAAGTTAGCTGAAACACCCTGTATATGAAACTAAAATTTCATAGTAATTGTTACATTTCAAAAGTGTTCATGCTCAAGCAATTATGTCGTTCGATATTATCTTCTAGCATTTTAATATTATGCCCTGTATTAAACTAGCAACTACTCATTTATTTACAACTTATTCATTTATAAATAAATAATTTTTTAGTTATTCCAAGCATAAGTCTTAAATATGTTTCAGTGCCTCTAATTATTAAAATCATTATCTGATGCTTAAAAAGATTAATGCATTCAGGCTTAAACCCTAAAATGCTGCCTTTATCCCAAACCAGACACTACCGCTGTGTCTGTCTAATCTCTAGGCCATCAATACATTTTCATATGAAACCAACCGAATAGCCCTACTTTAAAAGTAAATGCTTAATGTGGCTGTCCTTGCTGATTTTGCAATGGAAATTCTAAACGAAAGGTGGGTGGTTTTCAAACCTGATTTACAGATCAATTTTATTTTTAAGTAAGAACCTAAGGGTTCTACTTTGCATTGTTATAAACAATATAAACTATTCAGAGCTTGATGTAATGTAAGCATTCAATATGTTCAAAATTTATCATCAATAATCAAACACCTTGTATTTTTATTGTTGAACATGTGACATATGTATATACATAATATATATAAATAGTTTCACAAGTTTGAAGATCATTCTATGAGTTCGATGAAACAAACAAATGAACTGTTAATTAGATTAAATATATGTAACTGCAATATTAACATCGTTTGTATATTTGTAAATACTTTGTCACAGATGTGGATGATGTCAAATATGTGATAAATTTTGACTATCCATCATCATCAGAAGATTACATACACAGGATTGGTCGTACTGGTCGAAGAAAGCAAACTGGAACTGCTTATGCATTTTTCACAAGTCATAATATGAAACATGCAGGAGATTTAATAGAAGTATTAAAAGAAGCAGGGCAAAATATAAACCCACGGCTCACTGAAATGGCAGAACTAGCAAAATCAGGAAATTATGGAAACAGAAGTATGTACTTATATTATGTCTATTTAATATTTAACAAAATTGTATAACGTTTATGCTTTTAATGTATAAGGTGGTAAACGATTTGTGGGCAATGACAGAAGTAATGGTAGAAGAGGACATAGCGATAATAGAGGAAGAGGATGTTCTTCAAGAGGAAGAGGTGGTAGTAGTACTCGTGGTGGAAATTCGTATCAATCTGTTTCAAGCAGTTATTCTGGGTCAGATTATGGTAGCTATAATAATATGAAGCAAAGTAATTCTATGACTCAGAATGCAAGCTATGGATACAGCACACAAAGATCTTATGGGCAAAATAATTTAGCACAAAATTATGGAGGGGGAGATAATTACGGAAATACTTATCAATATAATAGAGGCATAACATATTAAAACGACGTTTACAGTATTGAAGAAATGATTTTTTATCAAACAGTGTTGATAGTAACATGTGTAATTCAATTTTCGTTAGCAAGAAAATATACTGAAATAATTAAAAATGCACAAGGGAATCAGATACCAAAGAAAAGATGTTATGTATTTCATGTATATGATATACCAGTCAACAATAATAGTCGAAATATAAATGGTTAAATGTATATGTATCATTTAAAAAAAACTGCAACTGCAATTGCAAAATAAAATTTAAAACAATTGAAAATACTAAAACATGTTTAAAATTAATTAGATGAAAATATTTATGTAGCATAATTTATTATTCTTTGTTGAATGTTATTTTGTTTTATGAGTGATACATTATGAACTTTTAAATGGAGTTTCGAGGAAAAATTCATTTTATAAACAATAAAAATGATATTAAGAGCTGTAATTAAATGTATTTGTTATATTTTTGTGTTATAAATTAAATTAATAAAGTTATTGTTTCCTTTTTCGAAATTAGTATACTTTTTCTTCCTATTTGCGTAATAATTACGAAATACGAATACAGTGATAGACAGCAGATTTTATTGTATGTAATTTATAAAAATATGTTAGATACAGTAAAGTTATAATTAAATTGAATAATATTCTTACTTCATCTTTAACAGCTCAAAATTGTCAAGAAATAAGATAAACTTTTGTCTTTATAAATTGCTGCAAGACAATGTAACTGTAGATACTTAAAGATCTGTAGTTTGCAGATGGAATTTGATTCTTCTGTCATAAGTTCAATACTTTATTTCCGTGTTTTACCCCTACTCCACAGCTCTATTTCCGGCAATTCACGCAGCTATAAAATTCAGTAAAATATTTATAGTTACTGTTTGTAAATCCTGAGGCTTTAAGAAATAAACATCTTTTAAATGCTATTAAATTATACGTCAAAGAAAAAAGTAATAATGCATACGATATAATACAATATAAATTACAATGAAAGGAACTATTTTCTGGTGCATTACGACGCCATGACGTTTGTTTCACAGATTCCCTTCAGAGCGTGTGAGGACCGCAGCGTACTTGTGATACATTCTTGTCATTAGTGCGTCGATTTAATCAGAAAATATATCGTATTTCAAAGTAAAAAATAGTATATACCTTCATCAACATGTAAGTTACATACAATTTTTACTAACACTACGTAAAATTTTCAGTTTCCCGTAAAATCCTTATTGACATTTAATGTCTGTGATCAAGAATGCCATACTCCATATTGCTTTCATATTAGCGAAATTTTCTACAGTTATAGTATGCATAGAAATCTTATGATTAGTAATCGTTCGTTGAAGATATTTTATATTCAATGAAACTGTTATGATTATTCAAATAAGTATCACTTTATCTTTAAGTATAACATTAAGAATAATTTACATGTGTTTAATATATATTTTTATATAGTATATAATTAACTTGTATAGTTTAACTAATACTGAAAGTATTTGAGTTTTAAATGGTAATAAACATTGAAAAATAATTGTGTTGTACATAAAGCACTTTATTTGATCATTACATGTTTTCTTTTAATTAATTATTATTTTACCTGTTACTTAGAATCAGTTAATGATATTTAAATTTAATGTTTAATTATAAAAAATTGTATTGCAGGGCTTATCGTGATCGTGATCGTGGTGACAGAAGAGGAGGTGGAGCACGTGGAGGGGGACGTTTTGGTAGTCGAGATGGAAGTAGTGGGGGTAGCAGATTTGGTAGCAGTTCTAATAGAGATGGTGGTAATTTTGGCAACAACTTCAAAAATCGGCAACCCGGCGAGCGTCTTCGTAAACCAAGATGGGACATGAGCACACTGCAACCATTTAGAAAAGATTTTTATCAACCTCATCCTAATGTTACAACTAGAAACCCACATGTAGTTGAGGCTTATCGTTCAGATAAAGAAATTACTGTAAAAGGTACAGATATACCAGGACCAAACATATTTTTTGAAGAAGGTGGATTCCCAGATTATGTTTTAAATGAAATCCGTAGACAAGGATTTGGGGAACCAACAGCAATTCAAGCACAGGGCTGGCCCATTGCTTTGTCTGGACGTGATATGGTTGGGATTGCGCAAACAGGGTCTGGAAAAACATTAGCATACATTTTACCAGCAATTGTACATATTAATCATCAACCTAGGTTGAACCGAAATGATGGACCTATAGCCCTTATTCTAGCACCAACAAGGGAGCTTGCACAGCAGATTCAACAAGTTGCATCAGATTTTGGAGTCTCATCGCAAGTAAGAAATACTTGTATTTTTGGTGGAGCTCCAAAAGGTCCTCAAGCTCGTGACCTTGAACGTGGTGTTGAAATTTGTATAGCCACTCCTGGTCGCCTCATTGATTTCTTAGAACGTGGTACAACAAATTTACGTAGATGTACATATTTAGTACTGGATGAAGCTGACAGAATGCTTGATATGGGCTTTGAGCCACAAATTAGAAAAATTGTTGAACAAATCCGACCTGATCGACAAACCTTAATGTGGTCTGCAACATGGCCAAAGGAGGTTCGCAATCTCGCAGAAGAATTTCTGACTGATTATATACAAATTAATATTGGTTCCCTGCAATTGGCAGCTAATCACAACATCCTTCAGATCGTTGATGTATGTGAAGAATATGAAAAAGAGGGTAAACTTATGAAACTGTTAGAAGAAATTTCAAACGAGCCAGAAAATAAAACAATTATCTTTGTTGAAACTAAGAGGAAAGTGGACGATATAACACGTGCAATTAATAGGTATGGATGGCAAGCAATTGGCATACATGGAGATAAAAGTCAACAAGAAAGAGATTACGTATTAAATCGTAAGTACTAATTAAGCTATATTTTTATCTTCAGAAACATACTTTGCCCAACATTAAATAATTTACTTCAGAAACATACTTTGCCCAACATTAAATAATTTACTTCAGAATTCCGGAGTAGCAGATCTGCCATACTAGTAGCTACAGATGTTGCAGCAAGAGGATTAGGTAAGAATCTATTTACACATGAGTGGGTACGATGTAAGGGTCAGGCTGCGATGGTTATTTCACGTTTGTGAGAGTTGTATTGTAGTGATGTGGCAACGGATAACGGCATGTGCCAGACTGATTGACACTAGTCTTCACTTGGTGTGAATGGAAATTATTTGAAAAAACATATAGAGGTCTCAAAACGATTAATTAACACAATCAGCAATCCAAACTAAGTTCATATATTGTATATAATATTATCTCATTTTAATCTCACTAGTTCATTATTCAGGGAATTTAATAATATACCGTTCAAAGCATACAAAGAAGTTAATATTATTATTCTCAACTTTTCAGCGCATTAATATTGAAAGGCTATCTTATCAGTTGTTCGATTCCAGTATAGTTTAGGTGGATTTTGACATACTTTTGAGTTTTAATAGGATTACATAAACTTGTAATGTAATATCTTCTCAATAAAGCAACATTAATTGTGGTGATCTAACACTATACTCATTTAAAATACACATTTGTAAATTGAGGAGATGTTGATTACTACTTTGCCAGTAAGACTAGCTTATTAAGTTTGTATTAATGTGAAAGTCAAAAGTAAGTCAAGATATTTCAGCAGTGTAATTAGATTAGGTAAACAGGTAAGATAGTAGGGACTCATCTTTTTAAATTTTGCTCTGATTGAAAAAAAGTCTTGTCAGTCTGGTATTAACGTGCTGTTCTATGTGTTTTCAGAGGCACATGCGACGGAGTTTTATCAATGATAAGAACTCTGGAGAGCTTGCTTTGGAATATATAATTGAATGGGGCGTGACTGCTGGTCTCTGTCCCCGCGCAACAAGCTAACCTAACGCTGTGCCTCGGCTCACCGTGCCACTTGAAAAAACACACTCTCACTCTGTACCTGCGACGGTCCAAAGTATGGAAGTCATAGTGTTAGGGTATCTAGCGTACAAGGACTATAGAACAGGATAGATATTTTACCACTTTCTTATAATAAAAGAATAGGGAATGACATTACATTGTTTTGCAATGGTGTGAAAATACATTGTGCGGCAACAGTCTTACACAAGAAACTACATACAGCTGTACAAGCCCTCTAGTATTAATTTTAGTAACATTTACGATCATTTTTTTAGTAATTGAACATAACCATTTCATATAAAAATGAGTTTGTAAACTCTCAACATTGCAAAACAAACGTTAATGTTACTCGTGCAATGGAATGCATGTGGGGTTGATCGGAAAGTGCACATAGTGCTCATCCAATGTTCCAACCTCACTGAAACAATACGCAAGGACCAAATTTTGAAAGACCAGCACAGATCCATACTTTGGTGCGGGAGAGAAGGGTGTGAAGTTGCTAAGAGTAAATATACAGCTCGCTAACACATAATGCGAGAATTCCATGAGAACCATCTGAGCTCTGATTCCTCTACATTTCCAAAAATGTATTTACGTTTCCAGCTTTTGACAACAACAGGTAAATAATATAAAAACTTGCTCTTTGTGGTCAATTTGTTTGCATACTTTGTGTGAACGCAATAGATGGAATCAAAAGTTTAGCAAACACGTGATGTATTATATATTAAAATTATTTTGTTTGATTTTTTTCTAGCTATAAACAAATTATATCTTTTAATTCCATCTATATTACACATGTTAGAATAATCACTAACGCTTTAACTAATTCGCTTTGTAAGTTATTGGAACCACAAAGACACAAATAGTTTCTACTTTCGATGATTATAACTTTTAATATTGTACAGATGTGGAAGATGTTAAGTTTGTGATAAATTTGGACTACCCATCCAATTCTGAAGACTATGTACACCGTATTGGACGTACAGGACGGTCGCAGCGTACGGGAACCGCGTACGCATTTTTCACACCTGGTAACGCGCACAAAGCTAGTGACTTAATTCAAGTTTTAGAAGAAGCGAAGCAAGTCGTAAACCCTAAACTCTATGAGTTGTCAAGGAATCCAGGCATTTATAAAAGTATATTCTTAATTTAATTCAAATTAACCAATTAATTTTTTAATTTAAATATTGTTACTGTTAATAACGTAATACTCGTTTCACAGGAGGTCGTTACGCAGGACGTAGTGGAGGTGGCAGTGGCCGTGGTTCAGGAGGCCGTGGTGGTGGCCCTCGAGGATCTCGTGGTGGTCGTGATGGAGGAGATAATAGGGGTGGCAGATTTGATCGTTCCAGTGGTGGAGGAGATAGAGGAAAATGGAATGGAAATAATAGCAGTATGTTTTCGAATAAGAATTGTAATGTTTTTTTTACAAATTATTCAGAATTTGTTTTTTTAATTATTTTTGGTTCTTATTTTAGGTGGTATGGGAGGAGGTAGTTACAGTAGTAAAACATTCTCTCAAAACAGTTATGGTGGAGCTTCTGGTGGCGGCTCCGGCGGTTATCAAAACGGCGGTGGATACGGAGGAAATGGAGGTGGAGGTGGTGGTGGAGGTGGTGGTGGTGGTGGAAGTAATTATAGGCAACAAAATGGTTATTAATATCAGAATAATTAATTCTAAAAGAATATATTATGTAATATAGTAAAAGGAAAAAGAGACGGGAGAATGGTCCTATCTGAAATAGAACATGTTTTCCGTACAACGTGCTTCTTATTGTGACTGGACACGAAAGAAAAGTAAAACGCACGCGGTATTATCACCGTTTGAAACAAGACATAAGGTATTAGATCGTTCAGGTTATGTCGAGTCAAGGACACCTAGGCATTCTCTTTTTTAGTAAAAATAAATGTAAGTGTAATAGTAGGTAAAAAACTTGATAACTTTTGACTTGTGACTCCTGCAGTTACGACCACTTACTCCTTTTTAACACAACTTCATATTTACCAGTTCTCTAGGAATTTCAATGTGTATTGAAACAAAAGAGGAATTCGTAAAGTCTAAGTACAAGATGCAGTAGTATTTATTTCCAGAATGTCAACATTTTATAGGAGTGAGGAAATTGAACCCATGAAAAAAATAAGTACATGACTCAGAGTAACTTGCCTTATGACTACACTTCTCGAATTAATTATGTCGTAAATGCACGGATCAATTGTATTACTTGAAAGCGTACAATGCATTGCACTGTATTTAATTTAAACGCGCGTGAAATCTTAGCGCACTGTAGTATTAGAAATTTAATAAAATAATATGAGTACGAAATCTAAACAATTTTATATTAAATTTCATTACCATATTTTACTTTTCTTCTATGGAAAGTACATGCTTTATTTATTAAATTTCTCATTTATCTAGGGATATGCTTTAATATTACATAACTTACAAAACCAATAATTTTTTATATCTAACTTTCGTCAAAAGCAATATATTTAAGCAAGAATGGGAGATATCTAGTAGGAAACTTAAGAAAATATTTTTGTCATGCAATTAGTTTGAACATTACGCTTCTGTTAATATCGCTGATGTAATGCGATAATATATAAATAACATAAATAATTTGATACACATACTGATATAAATAATCAGTATTGTATCTCACACAAAAGTATCTTATGCATTCTCTGTGTAGCTTTCATCAGAAATCGTGCGATTAGGTCAGTGTTTATTGATTCATTCCAATGTAACATCCTCCTTTATAGCTATATTTCTGCGATATTATTAGACTTCTCATAACTGCCAATCATGTGTGCCTGTTCAGTTGTTTTTTTCGATAGTTGAATTCCCATTATAAAGTCATTTGTCATTCATTACGATGTCCAATGTGTAACATGTTAATATACAAGGTGTTCCGCTTAAAACAGACCACCTAAATATCTTCTTTATCTGTGATCATACAAAAAATATTTTTTACATAATTTAAATGGTTTCAAGAGGTAAATCATATGGTGGAAGAAATTATTTAAGTGAATTTAAAAATTTTAGAGTAAATTTTTTATAAATAAATAAATTTTTAGAGTTCAAGGTCATTTCAAAGTTATACTATTATACATGGATAAATGCATAATAATGTTGGCTATGACATAGAACAGGAAAAATGATGTGCATATACGTAAAAAAATATGGGTGACCTTGAAGGAAACATTAAAAAATGACACTTATAAAAAGATTTTGTCGTCATCCAATTTGTCTCTTGAAACCATTTAAATTACGTAAAAAATATTTCTCGTATGATCATAGATAGAGAAGATATTTAGGTGGCCTGTTTTAAGTGGAATACCCTGTATATGTATATTTCAGTGTCTATGACATCGCGTGAATAGATTTATCGATATCAGTCGAATAAATCAAAATTATTAAACAGAAATTATAGAAACAAAATATTAATGTCTCATTGATACAGTAAACATTGTAGATTTGAAATTCTCCGAATATTTTTATATTGTACAATGTTCAATAAATCATGAAGTATTCCATATTCATTGTGCTAATATCACATTGTACTATCACGCATTATTGTTTTGTAATTAGTATGCATTTGTGAAATTAAATAAATGTGTATTGTATAATCGATTAAAATTGCATTTGATAAATACAAATGAATTATTCAATTAATGCAAGCAACACGTTTGCTGCGATATGTGACAAAAATACCCCATATTCCATCTTTTATTATGTTTGTCATCTTACTTAAAAAGCGATATTACGAAACTCATAGATTCTATCACAGTAAACACATCATAGGAAGTTAAGGAATTCTTATTTACACGTCAGTTTATTTGACCTTGCAGATTGAGTGATAAATTTTGTACATTACTTTAAAACAGAACATTCGAATGTTCTAAAAAATCGTTTGAGAGCAAGTATGTATATATAATATATGCATGTATATATGTATGTATGTATACTGTATATACTACATATATGTATTTGCAAGTGAGGATGTGAAAGTGGGGATGGGTTGATTATGATCATATGACACGCGAATCGACGACGCGCGCAGTTCGTTCCGAGCTCTGGTAGGTGTAGTGTGTTCATTGGTTATCCGTTATTATTTGCTAAAAGAAAAAGTTCGTTTTTCTGTCGTAAAATATCACTGATTTCTTCATTATGACAGAAAATCGCAAGGAAGTACGAGTATGGTGTGACGGATGGTAAGTTTCTATTAAATTAGTTCTATTTATTATACTACACTCTAATTTTCGTATGCTTATTTTTCGAAATTATTGGATGACTATGTGATTTTTTGACAATATAATGCAAATAATTAGTGTCGGTGTATGACACGTTTCTATGTACAAATCAATGCATACAATTGTTACAATGATAAGTTTGATTAGTATACAAATCCAATCGTGTTCGTGGTATTTTCTTCTAGTACCTTTTTTTAATCCTAACATATATCATTGAGTACTACAGATGTTTGTATCAAATTTTTGGTATCGTAAGCTAGTAACGAATGCGAACTTTACTCGATACAATTCTTTCAAAAATCTTGCCGGCAAGAGTTTTTTTCAAGTATAAGATTGATTTTCTTCTATGAAGTTTTAGAAACTATTACCAGTGACTACAGATACATATAATAAGACTAAGGATGCCATTGTTGTCAAGGGGTTATGAAGCAGATTCACACTACAGTCACGGTACGGTCAGATCACGTCAAATCAGGTAGCGGTCTTTATCGTCTTTATCATTCACACGTAATCCAATGCGAGAAATATAGCGTAAATTCAAACCGATCGTGATCTAACCGAGCCTTTGACCGCTAGTATGAATCAGGCGTGAATCTGTGCCTCGAGAACGAGCGCCGTTTGCTCTATCTTACCATAAGAGTATGAAACACATTCGCACTATTTCGCACTGCAGCATACATGTAGGATACATATGTATGAACGTACATATGTGTGGGTAGCACAGCGAGAATTTCGTCTGTGGTGATCAGAGGTGGGTAAGTACGCAGAATTTTTTACTTTATGCGTGGCACGTGTCTTAAATGTCGTAAATGTGTCGTAAATATCGTATATCTGGAATGAAACTGTCTATAATGTGTTTCTAACTTATAAAACATTTTTCGTATAATAGTTTATAACGAAGTGTCAATTTATTAACAATTATAATTCTGATTAAAAACAACTAAACTAAATTCAGTTACATTGATGAAAAACGGATATTGAAAGGTTCCAAAAAATGAGTATAGAATAGTAAATATAATTTGTTTACATAGATTGAAAATTATGTTAATAAAAGTTACTAGAAAATTTCTTTTTCTTTATGTAATATCCCTTTTAGTGTAATTAATTCAGAACATTTTAAAGCATTTTATTTTACAAGGAAGGCACTGTCAACAAGAATTTTGGATGCACAATATGATGAGCTTGTTAATTCTACAAGGTAAAATGAAACACAGGCTGAAGTATTACTAATTGATGGGTGGAAAAATTCAACAGTTAATAGTAAAACTGTTATGGCTGTAGCCAATGTTACATCTTATAAGTGGTCAAAAACCATTTCTGGACTCTTAGAACCTTAGTATAATAAGAGAAATTGCAGAGGTTCTGAGTGCAGCTGTAAAATAATTAATTTCATTACTACTTATAGCTTTACATTTATTGATATTAATATTCTTTTCATAAACGTCTTCAGTCTCATCTGTACACATTGTACTGCAACTTACCATACTTAAATCAGATGTAATGTTATTATGACACAAACATTTTCTGCATGGATGAAGGCATAGAGAAGATTTCAAGGTCATCTCTATTTTTTTTAATGGAATGCTATGTTTTTTTTAT